TTGTATTATTTTCATGTCAAGAGCCCACATGTGGTCCTTTTGAGGGTTATTGTAAATTGAACTTTGAAAATAACAAGCTGACTTACAATGATTTTATAGAAAAAGTGGAAAAGAACAAACATTGCTTTAAAAAATTATTTGCAGTTTTTGAAGGCAGCATTAATTGCTTTCTTCAAAATATTTGGTATATATATTTTTTATCTTTCCCAAAGTAGCTTTTCACAAAAATGATACATTTCTCCATACATGTAGTATCAGCATGATTTATTGATATAATATTATAACTTACTTGGCTGTTGTTGCTTTGTATTTCCCCCCTCTTATTTTATATATCTCTGTTGTAAAAAAAAAACATGTTGTGTTAGATCTCTACATTCACTCTTGTTGTACATGGCTAGTGAAACTTGGCATGGAATCAACAAAACAATATCTCTATTTGTGGTTAGGATTTATCATATTCCATCAGCTATGTATACATATTTACACATATTTCAAGTCTTAAAGTCACTTGGTACAGTGCTTTAGAAAAGGTAAAAAAAGTTTAAATGTTGTCTGCCCTTGATTCAACCATGACAGTTGGCTTTAGTGCTTTACTCCAATTTATTTTCCATCCACTTTAATTTTCCATTTATGAATACAATTCATAAAGTGGTGCTTTTACAGATTTGTTTTACTTTTGATGTGGGGAGTAGTTGTCAACATTTTTTAAATGAATGAGTAAAAAAATAGTAAATATTTTATAGAATTTGATGTGCAAAAAAAGCCCTTAGCCTGACCCTTCCCCTTTATCTGCTTTCTTTTATTTGCTTAAAAGCCTGTTTACCAGCTTTCTCTTTAGTTACCGTAAGCTAAGAGAGAGTTGTCCACTTAAAATAAAATTCATGTTTATACGTTTTCCATGTATGACTGTCAGCAAAACAACCTGAAAATTGACACCCTATTGCTCAGCGCAGTACATATAAATTGAAACCATTGTAAACAGCTACTGTTAACTTCCAGATACAAATGACAAGAGTCCTGTTGTTACCATAGCAACTGGGTGTAGTCATCTGCAAGCAATTCTTATCACTTAACTGAGCACCTGTCACATTTAATGTCTAAATCTATGAATATATGACAGTGACAAATGAGATGAGGGCCAAAATTGATTTATACACCCTGAAAAGATATGGCATTAGAATTGTAAATGTCGTGACAGTGAGATGAGAAAGACTGAAGTGGAAATCTGTTTTAACTCTGGGTCACCTCCAAATTTGCATGACTGCCTCTTTGTGGTAGATCAAAGGAGAGAGAGAGAGAGAGGTACTCATTTATCAAGTTAACACATACCTTTGTATCAGGCTGCACACAGTAGCATTCTTCTTCAGGAACTTTTTTGATACTTCTCTTTCTTATTCTGGCCCTGCCACTGGATACAAATGTGACTTGTCCCATATTCAAAACAATGCTATTTCTGGCCTGACACATGTTAGACCTTTCCCCTAGGTTGGGACTATGTATGCAGTCTGTGTACAGGGTTATATTGCAAGGTCTCCACTGGCTTAGGAAGAACCCTTTTTTTGTTTGTGACAGGGATATAAGTTACTGGATATGTATGACAATGTTTAGGCCTTATGCCTATTTGCAAGAATTGTATTATTCCACTTCTGAGGATGAAGAGGAGTCAGATGAATGGGAGGATGAGTTGGTAGGGTTCAGGGAGGAAAATGGGTTGAGTTTGATTTGTGAGTTCTGGAGTTTTATCTGCTGGAATGGATGTTAAAAGCTGACCTTTGCCAACACCTTGATCTTTTGTGATAGAGTTAAAAAAATTTTGGTTGCAATATGCTAGATTAGGCATAAAAGCAATCGTGAACAAGTGATTTTTAGTAAAAGCAAAACAATTAAAATGCTATATGACACCCAGGATTGTTAATCTAAAGGGAAATAGTGTATAATAGGCAACTTCTGGTGCACTAAGACTTTTTTATTAGAACTGGCAAGTCTGGTCCAATGTGTGGTACATGTAACGTAAATACTGTATCACTGTGTGTTCTGAAGAAATGCAGACTTTAATCTTTTCAGATATTTAGACTTTGCTGAAGGATTATTGCTCATGTTGTAAGTAGTGAACTTCTATATTCTGTTGTTTTCTTTTTTTATGTTGCAAATTTGAGCATGTGCCAGGTTTCTCCTCTTTTCAGGAGGCAGATGAAAGTCTGAACTTTGAGGAACAAATCTTGGAGGCAGCTCGCTCCATTGCTGCAGCCACAGCGGCGCTGGTGAAGGCTGCTGGTACTGCACAGAAGGAACTTGTATTGCAGGGCAAGGTAGGATTAGTACTAAAGTCAGATAAATTTTCCCTCATTACCTGCCTTTGGCAGGCTTGAGAACTTTGCTTCATTTTGACTTGTGAAATTTTGCCCTTACCACTCTTTCATTCATTTGGCTTTTAATTCTTGGATGGCTATTGAAATTTAATTTACCTGTGCACAGTAACGTTGATTGCACCAATGAGTTTTATACATAGCATTACATTATCATATAGTTTTATCAGGGTTTATAATCTTTGGAGGGTTATCCTACTTTTATCATGATAGATGAATATTACCAATCAGCAGGGTTGAGTTATTAGTTTATTACCATGGTAATTAAGTCCCTAAAATTTTAAACAAAACTGATTTACTGTCGTCTGAAGTCAATTTTACTTTTAAAAATATGCAAAAAAGACATTTTAAGAAAAAGTAATTCTTTAAAATTTTTGGCGTGTATGGAAATTGTGAGTAATTACCTTACAGTATTAAAGTGCCTGCTGTCACATAATTTATTTGCCGCAGGTGGCTGTCATATAAAGTAGGTTAACAACCGTATGGTTTTATAATATAGATGGGTGTTCACTGTATATCAAGTTCATATAATGTGTATAATGGCATTAAAAATATATTATTGTAAAGGAGATAAAATATTTTGAGGTTGAGCATTTGTATGGCATGGCTACTGGAGTTTATGACTGCAAACTGAACCATAGAATAATGAACCAGCATTGCATTAGAAATTATTTCCATTATTTGTTATATAAAATATATAGCATATATATATTGAAATTTGAAAGGATGCCAGGATTTTTTTAGAAGCAGTATGTGATATCTGTAGTTGCATTGCCAGTTATACAGTGGTGTTTTAAACTTGTACAAATATGGATGTAATCTTCATATGCTCACCTGAAGTAAAATTAATTTGTTGTTTTGTGTATCTTTTCATGTTGTTTGACTTTAATTGTATCCACCATGTATTGATCTAGGTGACAGCAGCCTACAGAGCCTCTTCTTTCCTGGATGAAGATGGCCAGTGGTCACAGGGACTCATCTCAGCAGTGAGTACATGGTCTTCAAGACTCAGAAAGTAACCTTAAGCTTTATGGGGAAACATTATGGCCATCTGAAAGATGGTGAAGCACAGTTGAAAAAAATAATAAAATACTGCTCAGACTGTACCTTGTACGATTGATACAGTGGTTCTCTATAGATGTGTATTCCAACATTTGATTGGTTGATGGTTAAATTTCCACCAATATGAATCAAGTTGACACTATCATATTTTTAGTCGCTGAAAATTTTCGGTTAAGGCTTTAAAATTTATGGTTAAATTTAGGAATTCCCACTGGAATAATAATAATAATAATAATAATAATAATAATAATAATAATAATAAGTAAATTATTCTCTCATTTCAGGCCAAGATGGTTGCTGCGGCCACTCACAACCTGTGTGAAGCTGCCAACTCCATGGTCCAGGGGAATGCCAGTGAGGAGAAGTTGATCTCCTCTGCCAAACAGGTGGCTAGCTCTACAGCACAGCTGCTGGTGGCCTGCAAGGTGAAGGCAGATACCGACTCTGTGTCCATGCAGAGACTACAGGTAAGTAGGGGGGGGGGGGTTCAATTATAAGTAAGATGATTACGTTTTCAAAACCTACAGTAATTATGAGAGCTTTTCAGTGGGCAAAATTTATCGAACTTGCCATAATTGGTTTCCCTCATTTGTTTTGAGTTTTTTGGCAGATGAAAGCAAAGTCTACTTGATTATTATGTTTGGTTATCTGGAATGGACATCACATCTTATTCGTGTGTTTCTCATTTCCCTTGGGTACATTTTGTACAAGCAGTTGACGACATTAGTCCAAGGCTCTTCTCAGAGCATTTCTCCCTCACTCTCAGCTGAACTTTTTCAAACATTTAGAGTTCTATTTGAAGCATTTAAACAATATTCCAGTGATAAATCATCCTGTCCATTCTGGCTTTAGGTTTTCTGTGAAGTGTTCATTATATTATCATCAAAATTAAAATCATTATTACCAGATTATTATTTACCGTTTTCAAGTTCTGCCCACAATGTTAAAGTTATCCCTTCTTTTCCATGTCCCTCCACATAGGGAGCTGGTAATGCTGTGAAGAGGGCCACAGAGGCCTTGGTGAGGGCAGCCCAGCAGGCCAAGGAACTATCTGAGGAGGAACAAAGTCTGACTATCAACAAACGTATGGTGGGAGGAATGGCACAGGTGAGTGAAAGATTTTCATCATTGACATTGCCCCAGTTTCACAAAAAAAAAAAATTTTTTTTTGCTCTTAAAGGAAGAACATTTTCTTTCTTGTGTTTATCACACTAATGTCTTCTTTTGAGAGACATTCCATATAAAATAAGAAGAATTTTCAATAAAAATTAACGTAATTACTTTTGTACTAAGTGGAGTTAAACAAGTAAAGGTTTGATTTTCATAACCAATATTTGGGAAAGATTTTAGAAGGGCTGGCTAGTAGAGGAACTTGACATAAACATTTCTTAATTTTTTTGCATCAGATCATCATGGCTCAAGAGGAGATCATACGCAAAGAAAAGGAACTCGAGGCAGCCAGATCGCGGCTGGCAATGATCAGAAAAGAAAAATACAAGGACAACCCACCAGAGGAAACAGATGCTGTGTGGTGATCACATGGTCATAAAGACAACAATATTAAAAACAAAAATGTATAAATCTATATAGTGTTTAACATATGACATCCATTCGAAGTATAGATACTCCATGAACTTCTGTTGGTTAAGTGGCAGAATGGACCTGATCATGTTGAATGTGGATTGAGGCATTGAGATGGGAGACGTTTGACTTAATGTTATGCGTAAACATTAATTTAATACCATGCCTTGTACACCATCGAATTTGCCATTTGTCGCACCATTATGCCAAATTTGAGATTCTTCAAATCTAATATATAAATTGTTATATACACCATTCGAACCATGAGGATGAAACGAATAGACTTTCTTTTTCCTTGTGATTTAAAGGTAATATTATTTGTGCCTACATACATATCATGATATTCAGTGCCTACTATTTGGTGCTATTCCAATTTAATTAAGTAGTATTTTTTTTCTGTAGTGATGTTTAAAGAAGATCACATTTATATTAACACAGGTAAAATCATGTAGAACACAAGCACCCAAGAGTATTCATTTTTTCATTATTGGATACATTGACAATGGTCATATTTCTGTATTCTTTTAAGTTTACTAGTATTTTATTGTTCCAATATTAAGAGCAACCCCCTCCCCAAGAGATAACCTCTATTGCAGTAGTAGTAATACTAGGACTAGAATTTTAGGGCTAAAAAATTTAGAACTAGAAAAGTAGGAATTTTGAAGGGGTCAATTGATTTGGTTCTTAAATTTGAGTAACAGAATGCCATTATTATGTATAAAGCTTTTTCATTTCATAACATTGTTTGTTTTTGTTCTTGTTCCATCACTCAACCTGCTTTGGAATGAAAAGCATCTCTGACATACCACGCATCCATTTTTTTGAAGAGAGTTCTTTTGATGTGTCCAAAATTTGGACAACCTTGAAGAACGTGCTACCAAAATTATTCAACCAAAATGGTCTGGAAAATGCACGTTGATTTCATGCGTATTTACAACTGAATGGATGTTAAATCACACTTCTAAGGAAAGGTTATACCTTCAGGAATTAACATTTACCAAATACTAACCTTACAACTGAGAATAAATCCACTTTATGGTGCAATTTTCCAGGCAGATTTTGTTTGAACGTGCTTGGCTTAACATTCTCATGTATTCAGTTTGACAACCAATTTAAGTTGGTTATGGGTTACAGTATAAATGTAACAGAAATATCCCCATTCCATGTGCCTTTGAATACATTTTGTGTTCACTTCCAAATTTAATATGGATTGTACATTTAACACATAAATATATAACAAGTCAGCAACAAGAACTTTTTTCACTTTACTTTTATTGCCATCGTTTGGCAATGCACCTAGTGTTGGCAGTAACAAAAGTTGGCTTTCTGGAGTTGAATCTTGACAGCAATGCTGACATGGGTGCAAACAAATTTACAGAAACTAAAAATATGCTTGAAAAAAAAAAAAGAAAAGAAAAGAACCATGCAAGGATATGAAAAAGGCTGGAATTGATTTATAACTTAAAAAATGAACTAAATTCGAAATAATACTAAAAAGATAACCAGATCTGTGCTTTCTCGGAAAAGCCTGAACAAGGTGAAGGAAAATGGTGGAGATGACAAAAATATGCACAGACATATGGTGTCTGCACATAAAACTAGAAGAAAAACCTGCTTAATGATTTTCAAAAGAAACCCCACTTTCCTAAAATAAAGACATGAAAATGTGCTGGAATATCTATTTAGTTAATTGAAACATTAGTTACATTTCTGGTATTGCATACTTACACGCCATTGAGTAAAGTCTTACTACAAAATATAACCATGAAATCTGAACATTGTGCAATCCAAGATAGGTGATGTTATCTGGGCCATACTATTTTCTTGCTAAAAACAACTTGAAGGTAAAGAATCATATATCATCAAATACAAGATGTAAAATAATTAATTTGTCCATAGTTGAAATTTTCCAAAATTGGCCTTTACCTAGACAAAATTGATGCTTTATATAGTTTACCTCTGAAATGAGGTATATTTTGTAAAGGCTCGTACAAAACATTGTCAAAGTAACAATGTCGAGCAGGAGAGAATTTTTTTCATCAGATAACTTGGATCCCACAATCTAATCTTTGACAAATGACGCTTACATAACTTTAAAAAAATCATATCATGGTGCCTGTAAATTTGAGGGGAGTATTTACAGACTTGCCAAAAAGTTGGGAAGATGTTCCAAAGGGCTGATCTCTCAAACTTGACGTACGTTGAGTAGGCAGGCGAGTCTTAGTTTAGACAAGAAATACATTCAAAACAAAATGTGCATGGAGTAACTACACATATTTGCTTTCTTCTTCCCAAATTTGCCCAAATAATGTGACCCAGGTGATGAGCTATTAAATACCCTGCATTTAACAAGCCTTCCCATGCACACAAAAAATCGGGGCATTCAATAGTCAGTGACATTTTATGGACACGTTTGGGATGTAGTAAACAAAGGTGTGTAGCTTCTCCACGCACATGTTATTTTGAGTGTACTGTGTGTTAGATACAAAGAGACAAAATATAATGACTATCTACCTACTACTCAACATAACTTTGGCTTGAGAGTTTAACCCCCTTGATTTTTCTGACACATGTCCAGTTTCTTCCAACTATTAGCTCCAGATAACAAAAGGTCAAAAGCTTATTTACTTAGTGTCCTAAAACTGTCATAAGCTGGTAGAGGTGCACAACTGCAATGACAAGTAGCTTTTAAACTAAAATAGTACCCTGCTTCTAAAAGTACACAAATTGTGTAGATCTTAAAACCTGAACTGAAAAAGACCCATCATTTCTGTTTGGAAAAAAAAATGAATAAAATAAAATCAGATGGAAGAAACATGAGTTACCACTAAGGTACAGCTGCCAAACCATTTCTACACAAAACTGGCACGTGTATAGACAACATACAGCACACGAGTACCAAGTGTCAGAGGCACCTTGCACATGGTAACGTAATCAATATTTAACTCCCTGAGATGCGGCCATGTGCAAAGATACTGAGGTAGAAATACGAGGCTTCATGCACATGGGGAAGGGGGGGAGGGGGGGGGGCAAAGGAGGTCTACTTGCTTTACTGAAACATTAACAAGCATACTAACATATACATATATAGATAAAGATATAGATATATATAATATATATAGTTATAATAATAATAATGCTTCCTGTTTACAACTGACTGTTTTTGTAAATCGCAAATGTCATGCTTCTTCTTGGGCCTGCCACAAATACTGTGGAAGGTGTATATATAGTATTTACACATATGTATGTTGACTAAAAGGTCGCCTTGATAAAACAACAAATATATAATATTTATATATAAACAGTGTGGTTAAAAGTACACATACTTTAGCATTATGGCCAGAGGACCACGGACAGCTGGGTCATTAACATGTACCTATTACATTAACAAGGAAGGGAGTGCTCTTTGAAGTTGTCAAATAATAAGAACAAAAATAATACTAAAAGACATAAAACACTGGATATGTACCATCACATATTATACTGGTTTTGGACAGTTGAACAATAATAAAATATACTGATATTTGAGCTGTACAGGAAGACTTCAACCCACCCTTTCTTACAAAGAGTCCAAAGTGTGATTACTTGATCTAGGTAGAGGAACGACTTGATGAGAGCTGCCACCTACTGTTAGTAAAGAGTGAGCACAAAACTCCATTTAAAAACCAACAAAAATGAAAGGACAAATAATGAATGCTCCCAGCTACCCCTGACGTCTGGTCCCTAGATGCTAGAATAGCTGACAGTTAAAAGGCTGACACAGATACAAAAAATAAGGAAAGCCTATGGTTAAATAGCTAAAATATTAATAGTATAATGATATTATTCCAACCACTATGCACAAGACTAAATAGGGCCAATTTCTAGTATATGTGAAATCAGCTACCCTTAGTTTGCATGATTCATGTAAAATGACTAAATCACTACTTAGATTACTTCTGAGGTTACTCAATACCCGTGAGAAAATCTATTGAGGTTTTTTTTATTTATTTTATTATGTACATGCCCTTTACTCTTACTCCAGACAAACACATGTAAATGCACTTCGACATGAAATCGATAATTGTCTATGTGTGACTGAGGTTGAATTTAAATGCATCTTTCTGTACAGGTTGCACTAGTTGTCTAGTTGAAAGCCCCTATATCCTTCATCATGACTACCGAAGACTTTCAGCTTGGGAAGTGTGTGAATACAGTTGCCTTATTTTTTTACTTGCAGTAGGCGAACATGGACTAGAAGAGCCTGAGCTTGGCCTTGAAAATTTGTGCTACGATTTCTTGAAAACTCGTTGTAAACCCTGCTGCTGCGTAGACTGGGAGAATTGGTGTATGAGCACTAGATGTGGAGGGCAACAGCAGCAAAGCTCTGTTGTCACAGCGACTAGAAATTCCTCATTATCAACAGAGCAGCACCTTAGATATATTCCACTATTCGTTGTATGCACAAGCATGGCATCAAAACCATGCCAGCATATATATATGTGTGTTGTCCACTTCATCCTCCTCATCATCATCATGGTCTCTCCCTGCTATGCCGCACTCCACTCTTACTCTGCTGAAGTTACACTGTAAGAAGCAGGAACCTGGTGTGAAGAACATAATAAAAATAAGTTTATACCCGCAATAATATCCGAAGTAAATGCAGTGCAATCAGTGTCCCCTGCATCGCTGTTTTATACTGAGCGCCCCTTCTTTTATCCTCTTAAGTCTCCTTCTGTTCTTCCCTGCTGAATACTCCGCAGCAATCTGTCTTACAGCTGTGATCTACTAGGCTACACCTAGACTGTGGTGATAAATGCCTGATCTTGTGTTAACTGAGATGCTGTCCCTGCAAACTCTGTCTCTTCTACCTGAGGCATTGCTGTTGGGAAATGTGTAGAATTCGAGAGCTTTGGCAGAGGCTCTGGACCCTCTTCCATGGTATCACCCTGAGACTGGAGTTGTTCTGTTGAGTCTGTAAGTTGTTTGGCGTGAGAGGTAGACTTGCTATGCTGAGAATCCTGCTGGAGCTGCTGCTGCTGTTGCTGCTGAAGAGGCTGAGGATAAGGAGGAGGAGGAGGTGGAGGAATTTTACCCGTATCAGAGTGTGTGATATCTCCCTCCAAACAGCCTGGAGGACTCTGTGACGAGCCTGGAGGACTCTGTGAGGAAGCAGAGTCTGTGTTGGGGGACAGATACTGTGAGGAAGTATGGTTGCTTGGCTCTGGGCTGCTGACGCTACTGCTGCCTACGCCGCCATGGAAGCTGCCTTCTGGCTCACTACTTGTGTTTTGCAACAAATGCTGGCTGTCAGGGGACTGAGAGAAAACAACAAGGATATGCATGAATATAATATTTAAAGAAAAACACAAATAATAAATTTTGGCTTACTGTAACAACAGAAGTGCCTTTAAAAATTTCAAACCTGTCTAACTTACAACTATGAATCAACACATCAGAATTAAAAAATTTAATTGGAAATGTCAAGTTGTCATCTTATACTTTACCAGAATATGTCTATGTTCACAACCAATCTGCAGACTAACTTATCTGCTGATCAAATATGGCTGACTTACTTGAAAGCTTGCTGCGTAATCCCCACAGGGAATCCATTAGTGGATTGCAAGGAAAGCTTTCCAATGGATCATATTTAATAGAAGATCAACTTGGTTGTAAACAGAGTCTATCATTGCTTCACAATATACATATTTCCATTTAAGTAGTTTTGATAATGTGTTAAATATCTTGCTTATGTGTGTGGTTGCTCATGTATAAATATGCCTGCTATTGTCTCACCTCCATGTTCCGTCCATTTACCCCATATTTCTGCCCCAGTCTGGAGGAGATGGCAATGCCATTAGGCCTGTAACCTTGGTTGACTGTAGGGATCGCCTTCCTTCTCAAAATAGGGGTTTGAATTTCAATCTGAAGAAAAAAAATCAACAAAACTTAGAATATTTGGAAATCACCACTTTTGCCAGATTAAAAAGAGAAATTGCTATCAGATAAGCCAGTGTTATGGATCACAGTCAAAATATTAGCCTCGAGAAATATTGATGACTGAAGTAGGAAAAATTATAAAGTTTACCCACAGATTAGGCATATGGGAAAACCCACAATAACATTGAAGATCTGTTTAAGCAAAAAAAAAAAACAAGGCAGCAAAGCTGTCAAATGTACAGACAAAAAACAGAAAAAAAGCGCAGGAAATAGGATACTGTCAATTTTGATGCATTAATGTATTATGCTTACTGTAACTGCATAGCCAACATGAAATTCTAATTCTGCATAACATTGAATTAGGATGAAAGTAAAATGTGTAACAAGCATTAGACTGAGTTCCCATACCTAGATCAATCTAACAGGATCAATCCAACTCCAAGGGGTTTCTCACTAAATTGCTTTCAGTTTAAGCGGCTTNACTAGGCTACACCTAGACTGTGGTGATAAATGCCTGATCTTGTGTTAACTGAGATGCTGTCCCTGCAAACTCTGTCTCTTCTACCTGAGGCATTGCTGTTGGGAAATGTGTAGAATTCGAGAGCTTTGGCAGAGGCTCTGGACCCTCTTCCATGGTATCACCCTGAGACTGGAGTTGTTCTGTTGAGTCTGTAAGTTGTTTGGCGTGAGAGGTAGACTTGCTATGCTGAGAATCCTGCTGGAGCTGCTGCTGCTGTTGCTGCTGTAGAGGCTGAGGATAAGGAGGAGGAGGAGGAGGTGGAGGTGGAGGAATTTTACCCGTATCAGAGTGTGTGATATCTCCCTCCAAACAGCCTGGAGGACTCTGTGACGAGCCTGGAGGACTCTGTGAGGAAGCAGAGTCTGTGTTGGGGGACAGATACTGTGAGGAAGTATGGTTGCTTGGCTCTGGGCTGCTGACGCTACTGCTGCCTACGCCGCCATGGAAGCTGCCTTCTGGCTCACTACTTGTGTTTTGCAACAAATGCTGGCTATCAGGGGACTGAGAGAAAACAACAAGGATATGCATGAATATAATATTTAAAGAAAAACACAAATAATAAATTTTGGCTTACTGTAACAACAGAAGTGCCTTTAAAAATTTCAAACCTGTCTAACTTACAACTATGAATAAACAAATCAGAATTACAAAATTTCATTGGAAATGTCAAGTTGTCATCTTATACTTTATCAGAATATGTCTATGTTCACAACCAATCTGCTGACTAACTTATCTGCTGATCAAATATGGCTGACCCACTTGAAAGCTTGCTGCGTAATCCCCACAGGGAATCCATTAGTGGATTACAAGGAAAGCTTTCCAATGGATCATATTTAACTAGAAGATCAACTTGGTTGTAAACAGAGTCTATCATTGCTTCACAATATACATATTTCCATTTAAGAAGTTTTGATAATGTGTTAAATATCTTGCTTATGTGTGTGATTGCTCATGTATAAATATGCCTGCTGCTGTCTCACCTCCATGTTCCGTCCATTCACCCCATATTTCTGCCCCAGTCTGGAGGAGATGGCAATGCCATTAGGCCTGTAACCTTGGTTGACTGTAGGTATCCCCTTCCTTTTCAAAATTGGGGTTTGAATTTCAATCTGAAGAAAAAAAATCAACAAAACTTAGAATATTTGGAAATCACCACTTTTGACAAATTAAAAAGTGAAGTTGCTCATCAAATAAGCCAGTGTTATGGATCACTGTCAAAATACTAGCCTAGAGAAATATTGACAACTGAAGTAGGAAAAATGATAAAGTTTACCCACAGATTAGGCATATGGGAAAACCCACATTAACATTGAAGATCTGTTTAAGCAAAAAAAAGAAAAAAAAAAAAAACTTGAGATAAAAAAAGTTCATACTGTGGGGTCATCAGCAGTTGTGCAGTTTGCTGGTAACATGGGTGTGATGCTATCTTCATGCCCATTTGCCGTACACTGGTGGTACAAATTGCCACCGTTTGACTGAGGTAGATGGCCATTGCCGTAATAACGCACAGCTTCTGGCTCACTAGGTCGTTGACGGTTCCTAAAAATATATCACAATTTGTATAGTTTCCTATTCAAAACATCTCAACCCGGAACACTGTGAGTTCCTTTTATAATATATCAAAATGTGCATGGTTATATCTTCTACAAATATATTTTCATTCATGAAGTCAGTACAAATATTATACCAAACAAATGAGTTGAGGTTGTCCATATTGATAACAACTCCTGGAAATATCCTCTTGCACACTCTCATCAAATTGTGGTGTTATGACTCTTACCTTGCTTTCAATATGATGAGGACAATACAGATAGCCACACACACAATGCCAATAGAGACCCCAGCTATAATACCAACTTTGGTGTCATCCAGGTTGTCTAAAATGAGAGATAATAAGGAGTTTGCCTAATGGAACGAAATATGAACAATCCTTTTCATGATTATCATACCAATGACAATCTTATTCATATTATACACAAAATCCTTCAACTTCCTCAACCTTCTCTCTCTCTCTCTCTCTCTCTCTCTCTCTCACACACACACACACACACACACACACACACACACACACACACACACACACACACACACACACACACACACAAGAAAATACCAACTCATGGTTACCAGGAAGTGCAATTCAGATGGCTTACATATTTTTGATCTCAAAACTGCGAACTTTCACAGCTATAATACATACCATGATCCCACTGCGCAATTCACAACATTTCCAAGTTTGTAATCTTTAACACACAATAATACCATCAATACTACCACAATCTCTGTGACATTACCTATTGGTTCACTAGGCGGAGGTACCTCCAACTTGAACTCCAATTTTTCACTGCGAGGCCCATTGCCTGCTCTGGTAGAAGCCTGTATTTCCACCTGATACACTTTACCTGGGTGCAGTTGGGCCAGCTTTGCAAATGTTGCTGAGCCTAGGAAATGGTGAATGACAGTTAATAGAACAGTTGGAAAATGATGGTCTGAGCTTGAATGTTTACCTAACCACCCTGCTAGTGTGAATATTACACATTTTGGATTTTTGCCTTTTTGAGTTTTGTGCACAGTACATATAGGAACAAATTGTAATGGAAAAAGTTTTGATTGGAGAAAAGTGTAACAAATTATGAGAATCTTCTTTGTAGTTAACCAAAAATTTTAACCCCTGTGAAAGAGAAAATTCTGTTTTGTTAACAAAGATGCCTGCATGCATAAATTAAAAAAAAAAACTGTACCATTCAATATTCTGAATGATGCAGATCCTTGATCTTGATATTTGTAATGGACAGTATACTCCCGTATTATTCCATTTGGGTTGTCTGGGGCCTGCCATGACACTTCCACTGATGTTGGACTCCTCACAGTCACCTTCAGATTTTTTGGCATACCAGGCTCTGAAAAGTAAACCATTCTTTTAGAATCAACAAACACTTATCAGGAGAAGAATATAATTATAAGAATATAAGTTTTGATATGATCAGGTTTTAAGTAAATGTCCAGCTCTGTTGATGATATACGCACTTCCTTCTTTTGTCCTACACATGACTTCCTTGCTGTATTCACTGTGGGCGTTGTGGGTGAAGGAGCGGACAGCTATCCTGTACATGGTGTATGGCTTCAGGCCACTCAGCTGGGCACTCTTTTCTTTCCTGAAATACAAACCATACAAAATACCACTCAGTGGCAGACCCAGAGATATTTTCCAACAGTCTTAAAAATTATCTTTGTTGATCCATCCTCCACTAGATGCCTGTCAATTTAAACTTGTGACTTTTGAAGACCCAGAAGACGGCTTCCATCGACCCCTGTCACCTTTTCCCTTCCTGTTGTAGATTCTGTACTTGGATAAATTGTAACAACTGATCAAGAGCTGTTTTATGTCAAGGTCAACTGTTATTCGCTTTTAAAATGAAGCAAGATGGTTGATGATAATAAAAAAGTTTCCATGGCAAAACTCTGATCTTAAAAGTCACATTACTGTAGTTTGTCAAAATGGGTTAAAATACAACACTTTGCTCATCATCTCTTTCTTCTCATTGGTAATTTCAAAATACTCAAACAACTGCCATTGATTGCCCATTCAGATACATTATATACTTTGCGCTGATAAAAATTCAATACTTTCTAGTTATTTTCATCAATTTCGGAGAGAATGCATTGTCATCAGAGAAATACTCACAATTCTAACAATTCCTTGGTGTCTTCCTTGTTATCTTCCATGTAGCGTAGTTCATAAGAATAGATGATCGGTTCGGATGCAACCCGCCAGTTCACAAACATGGTGGTGGAGTACTCTGAGTGTGCGTGGACATCTATTGGCACAGGCACAGCACTGGTTGGAACTGGATAGGACATACGAAACCAGTTACAAACAGTTGTGGCAAAACTCCCAACCTGATACCAATGAAATTTGCTTACAGGCAACCCAAATGGGCCAGTAACTATTTCAGACCCATAATTTTCAGCTATCAGCATGCTTCCTTAAAAATCTTGCTCTTAATTTCAATATTGTACTTGTTCAAATAATATGTGGCCCCAGTATCACAGACTAATTACATGTCAGAAAAATGTTTGGGTGTGCAATATTTTGGCAAGGCCTGTGATGTCTAGATTTCAACAGGTCCTTGATCCTGCAATACAGTCAGACTTAAACCACATCTGTACAAAGATGCACTGCTTTATACATTGCCATTAAAATAAAACAGTCAAATATAAACAACGAAGGATCTTTCAAGAATTTCTGATCTTTACAACCTGCATCTTACATGATAGCTATATTTACCTTCAAGAGTTGAAGCATCTCTGACAGCTGCCTGTCCATCACCATAGGAGTTGTATGCCACTACCTGGAACTCGTATTGAGTGCCCATCTCTGGAGACAGAAGAACTTCACAGTCATCACCCCAATTATTTCAACAGACCAATTATTTATAAAAGACATGAGATGATGGACTATATCATGGAAAGTAACCAGGCTAATTGTCCGGAACATATGTTACTGGTCACTTTATAGCCTCTGGCATCCAACTTGCATGTTATACAGATGTAAACTAACACTGGATAAAATTCTGATCCCTGCATTAAAAACCCTTACTGAACAAACACAGTTAAATATAAATATGCAATAAAAATAAAAATAATCACCTAAATTTGCTATGATCTTCTTGAAAACATTTTTCGGTACATTAAAAGTCTGTCCAGAGCCCTCCTCATCTCCGATCTTCTTACATTTCATCTTGAACCCATCTACGGGGGTTTGGGAGGTGTTGGGATAGCGCCAGGAGGTTTGCACAGCTGTAGCATTCAGCACAATCACCTTCAGGTCTGGAACCTCAGGGGCTGAGGCAGAAAAAAAAAGAAAAAAATTCAAAAGTGATGCTCAATCTCAGACAAATTAAATTGATAAAAAAAAAAGGCACTGTGAATGAACATATAATTCTGAGGCAACATAAAAGGTAGGTCTTTGTTGGACAATTTTGAGAGAATTTATAGTATTAAATCTGAATCACAAATGGTGAGGATGTTATGCTTCTTCAAATTCCTTATGTTATAAAACCTGAAGACTCAGAAACATAAGATGTACAACTGATTGACATCTACGTGTAATCAAATCCTAACATAAAGCTCATTTCCAAGAAACACAGGTCCCATTTCTGTGCTTCACGATGAAAACAAAGTCTTATTTCCTGTTAAACATTTTGGTTTACCAAGGTTATAATCATCTTCCAGGCATAATTATGCCAGTCACCTTGAGCAACGGACAGTTCGATCACTACCTTATCCTTACTTATTCTAATTTTAACAAGACAGTTCTTTTCCCTTTTTGCCCTTCTTATCCCATCCTTCTATAATTTCCTCATCTCCCTATTAACCAATTCAGATTAGTTTTGAATCAAACCCAGTGTCTACCTTGTGGATTTGGTGAGTTGGTGGTGGTGACAGTGGCCCAGGTCTGTCTGGGAAGGTCAGGGTAGCCCTGGCTGGTTCTGGCCAGTAGGCGCACCTCATAAGTTGTCCTGGGGGCAAGGCCTGCAAGGTAAAACAAGGTCATAAACTCTCTGTGGGTGTCTCTGGAACTGAAGTAGATATGTACTTGGCACTGTTCCTGATATAGAAGCATGTGTCAAGCTGTGATTGATGATATGATGATGATGATGATGATGATGATGATGAAGAGCAAGAAGAAGCTATACAGTATTACTTTCATTCTCATTATTACTCTTATCATCAATTAAAATACTGCATTTTTCTGTGCCAAAAAATTAACACAATATTACACAGAATGATAACTAAACGCAATTATTATAAAAATGATAATATTTGTGATTCTAGAAAACAAGTTCCGAATTTTTTTTTGTGTCAGATCATCATTTAAAAGTACAAACTCATGTTTTTCCATACCTATGAAAACAGATGTGAAATCATGGAAAAAGAATTTATTTGGAAAAGCACATTTTATGGCAGAGTTAAAATATTATTATACAGAACATTGGTCTACAACTGCTTGTTTGAAGTTTCCATATGAATGACACATCTTGTTATTATCCTCACTGCCCATGCCTGGAGGTATCAATATTAATAGGTACATTTATGGGTTCATAAACTCTGTGCTGTGAATATATAAATGGGATGTTTCAGCTGTATCTAAGGTAAGATATGTGAGTGTCTCAGGACTAGTTTACACACAGGTGCTATGATATGAGGTATTTCAAGGCCATTTATCAAATAGGAAGTGCATATAATGTGTGATCCAATTGCCCCAACTAATTGAGTGCATTACCTCATACAGCTTTTCTTTTTATAAATCTAAAATATCTTTTATGATCCACTATAGGAAATTATTATTATATACATGAATTGTTTTGGTTAAGTCATTTTGAGATAATTGTTTTGTGCAAGTGCTTGAACCACACTGTTTAGACAAACCCCCACCACCGGGGAGGAAAGAACCACCTTGGCTGAGTCACAATGTACGAAATAACTAGACCAAGACAGTGTGGAAATGAAGCTGGTTAATAGTACAGGTCACTTCATCCTTGTTTATGTGCCCACCCTGACACAACTCACTGTTTGACCGCCAGTGCCCTGAGTGGAGTCAGTGAAGACCTCCATTATCACTTCCTGCTCGGAATTAGTTCCACTTTGCACACGCCATAAAACTACTGTGTTATTGCTCTGCACCGGTCTATTTTCATTTGTGAAGGACTTTAGCTTACTGGTGGGTTGGGAAGTAAAGTCTCTAGTTTTGAGTACATCTTCCTTTGGAATGTGGTGAGTTGAGTGCAGATATATTGAACTTGTTTGACCCTTACCTTGGCTCAGCATACCAAAAAGGGGTTGTGCCTTTCTGATAGCATCTTAACATTCTTTTATTTTCTCTTAATATTTCTATTTCCACCTTTCATCTTATGCTAATGGAGGTTACTTAGGTCAAAAGAGGATGTGTTTCCCTTTGGAAATTCAATTATTATCAAATCCCTTTTTCATGTAGAGAGAGATTCCATTGTTATGGGAAAACTTCCCCAATTTAAAATACCTTACTCTAAACTCAATATAAAATACCTTACTCTAAACTCAATTTAAAATACCTTACTCTAAACTAAACTACCCCACCCCACCCCAAGATCATCACATCTTGAGTCACTCACTATAGCAAACCACAGGACATGAAGCCAACCTATTTACAATCACTTTTAAATTGCCTACTTCAGGCATTACCAACAAAGTATCTGGAATATGTAATTCATCTATTCAGTTCAAATTTCAAGGGAAATAAATGTTCCAACCAACCTGTGATCTCATAAGAAGTCTGATCCCCTGGGACAAGTATGTAGGTTTCTTCATCCACATTCTTTCTCCTGTATATAATCTTGTACTGAGTGATTTCTCCTCGTGCCTCCTTAGGTGGGAGCTTGTCCCAGTAAACGTTGATCTTGCTGTCAGCATGGCTTGCCAGCGTGACACTGGGGGCAGATTTGGGAACTGGAAAAATATGTTATAAAATATATTTGAATAAACTGATCAAAGTGCCCCATGATGATAAAATACATGGTAGATTTCATAATAATAGTTTACTTTGCTGTGTTGGCTTTTACTTCATTAAACAAAATCTGCTAAAATGCATGATGATAGAACTCATAATTTCATAGCTACAATCTGCCTTCATGCATCAATTTCATCTTCAGCAACATTTTGTTTAAAGGTACATACGAACCGAGCATTGGTGGAGCGTGGATTCCCAGTAACACATGTAAACCACTTCTACTAGATTCTTATATGACTCAAATAAATTCGACATGCCAAGGGATAAACTTAGATCACTCGATCAGCCATAAAAGACCTTTAGACTGCTCCTTTCTTTAAATTTCTGGTTGTAAATTTAACCTACTTTTGTGATCTACTTTCCTGCCCCATTGACATACAACTTAGAATGCCAGCAGAAAAATCCGTTCAAACATCATTTTCGGGTAAAATTAAACAATGCCTTTTGGTAATTCTCTTAGTTATACTACTTGTAACTATATGCTGGCATTTGGTTGGTTTTTGCGACAAAAAATTGACTTTGTATGCATCTTTAAATCATCACCAATGCTTTTATCCTTGTTTAATAAAGGATCTCATATTTCACAGTTCCTTTTTTGCTGAAAAAAGAACTCACATCTGTTCCCATTAATAAATATCTAAAAATTCAGCACAATAAATCATTTATAGGTCAGAAACACTGGTGCAAGGCAAGACCATTGAATTAGAAAATCTGGGATATAGCCAAATGTTAGTAATAAATAAGGCTTTATGTGCAAATATTCTTATCCTAAACTTGCATTTCTTTCCTCCCTTTTTTGTGAAAATATGGCCATAAGTAAATCTAAGTGCATGAAAATATATTTTACAGCTACATATACATAAACATATATGTGAACATTCACTAAAAACAACATGGATTAAAGAATGCTTTTAGTCAAGTTTTAATTCCATCAACTTGAGACAAATTTTCCAGTATATGGTCACAAAACACCAATGGATTGGTCTACAAATGAACTGAGATCTTTATTTATGCCCTACTTCTACAGCTGACAAATGGAGGAAACATTATATTCTTTTTTTTTGTATACATTCTAACTCAAATCACTGAAAAAATATCCATCACTAGTAACAGCATCGTACACAACTTCTTCAAACAAAGTTCTGTTTCATTTGGTCACCTTTTTAACTCTTAATGATAAATCTATGTCAAGACATCAATGTCAAATATCCCCTTTTAATCCCCACCTTCAAACCACAAACTACCCATTCTACATTTGTTAAAGACACCCCAAAATCCCAAGTATTTTAAGTGCACCCAGTTGCACACAAGTTTAAACCTGCAACTTTCCCATGAATCAATTTCATCATATTAACCCTTAACATCAAAGACATATGTTACAAACATTCCTGACCCCAGTGACCCAAAGTCCATCCATTTTCTCGATTAACCACATGTGTTGCAATATTGAACAACAGACCATTCTCCCACGCTGTTGATTTGTAATCAAACCCAGAGATTATAATAATGTCTTCAGAAGTTTTTTTTTTTCTTTCTTAAAAAAAGATCTTTGGGGGTTAACTTGGGTTCGCGAACCTCCTTGGCCTTAATGAAAACCCCAAGGGGAGGGTTGCGTTACCTAGATTATCCAGCCTTGCATTGAGATAACTGTGGAGAAAAGCCTTTTTTTGTTACTTTGGAACAAAGAACCAAAAACAAACCCTCTTTTTATGTGTGTTAATATTAAGAGCATCAGAGCAAAACACCCATCCCCATCCCAGTAAAAAAAAACTCCACATGATAAGCCACATTATACTGGCAAGTAAACCAATGATTAAAAAAAAATAAATAAACAAATAAATAAAAACCAGAGAAACAACCCATCAAAGGCGAAAACTGGCCATACCATCTTCAGCTGTCATCTGAGTGATCTCCTCGGACTGGCGACTGCTGCTGTATGTGTTATATGCCCTGACATAGAAGGTATAGTTGGTATGAGGTAGTAGTCTGGTGATTCTTTTGTGTGGTTCCTTGACAACCTCCTGATGTTCTTTGCCACCTGGAATATGCAGTGTTTGAGTGGCGTGACATAGTAATGTTCAATCAAACAGATATCGTGGCTAATGAATCTGATATTATGTTTACTTAATAACATGAACACAGCATGTATTAAGACTCCTTCTGTTAGAGTGCGAGGCAAGAAAGAAACAGCAGGGAAATACAGTTTCAAATATGCACTGCTTAAATCATCATAATACCAACAAACTTAACATTTTTTTTAAACATTTCACCATTATTTAGTCTTGTCTTACACAATTTTCCACTCATAAATTTTTGTCTAAGGTCTAAGTGATTACCCATGAATGTATGGCTCAAGAACTGGACATACCTTGTGTGGGCAGATAGTGTACAGAATAAGCTATGGTAGGTTCTCCATTCACTGGAGGGGATTCTGACCAGCTGACATTAATGACCTCACTGGAGATGGTCACTGCCTTCAGGTTGGTCGGTGCACTGGGCTCGTTAGCTACAACAGAGAGAAACATAGTGAAAAATCTGCCATGCATGCTGGAACTCTTGTTAAGCTTCAGCTTTCATGTATTTCCTTGAGTAATAAATCTTGCATTAGAAGGTTACACTGACAGAAGAACAGAATACGGAGATGTTTTAGTTAGCTGAACAAAAACATAAAAAGAAAAAAAAAAAATAAAGAGAGAGAGAGGGGGGGAGAGATGAATCAACAAATATAACCCTTTGATGACAAATCAGTTTTAAAAAAAAATTAGCTCCATCATGGCAGATGAGCACATAACATGCTCAAACAGTCAGCTCTGTCCAGCTGTGTCGTGTGATAAGATGCAAGATGCCTGGTAGTAATGAACAAGGTCTGAACCCAAATGGAGGAGTAAATAAACAAGAGAATCCTTCAAAGAAAAAAATTAATACCTCTGCCATAACAGACATGGACTCTTGGACAAAGGACAAGATAGATGACACAAAGGTGGAAAATGATAAATTACACAGGAGATTTGTTTGAAATCAAGCAAGTACTGGATATTCTAGTCAATAAAGGAGATTACTTAGTGATAGACACAACGTGAGTTGCCAAGCTGTACATGAAATATTACAAGTGTATTGTTGAGCCGCAGCAAGACAATGCACAAGTAATTTTCATCTACAGCTTGGTGAAGAGTGTTGTATATCTGGTTTAAACCACAGCCAGTGATTTGCTACCACACAGCCTTTGCGATATGTTACTCATACAAGTTAAGGGCCTTCTCTATACTAGAGGCCAGCTAAGTTATGCAATTAATTCCATGCAAAATCCTCTTTGGACAGAAAAAAAATTGTTAGGAATTATCTAGAGACATATTTGTGAATATCTAGTGAAAATCAATCAGTGGCACTGGTATAGGGTATTTTTGGCTCTTTGTGGTCATTATTTTTTCCCCATTTCTTAGACAATAAAGGACAATACAGTTGCAAAAGATCAACCATCAAAGTGATTTTAAGATGCTGTAGATAATTCTACATTCAATGAGAATATAGCTGTAAGAATGCCAGCACATATGCAAAGAATCACCAAACGGACCATATTTTTGGTCAGCAAGTGGCACATTTGAGATCTCAGAGAGGTGGCACTGAAAGACTATAGCCAGAAGACATAACCCCCCCTCCCATCATGAAATGAAAATAGTGATAACTTGGCACCCACTACTTCTTTCCAAATTTAGACATTGTTTATTGTTAAAGATGGCAGGGAATTTACATTAAGAGCAAGTAAGTAACAATTTGAAGACAAAAACATTAGTTTTCATTTTAGCATGGTGCATGGTGTGAGTAGATACTGCATCATAGTATTAAAATTTGAAGGAAAAAAAAACAACAACTTCATTTTTGCAAGATTTGTGGTGTGAACTAGGACTCAATAAACCAATACAGGGCCTTAAGGTAGAGTAAGAAGCGCTTATGTTTAACGAGAGTACAGCTAGGCCTGGAATATATCTGTACATGATGTCTTTTGTTTTACCCACAGTTCAAGCCATGGTTTACTGTGACCCAAATGCTACAGAAACTTATTAAACTGTAAAAGGACAAATAAAAGAAAATATCAAGGAAGCAGTGGGAAAGATACAAACCAACCAGACCCCCTTTTTCTTGAAAATGAGATCAAAATGAAAATTTGCAGGAAAGGGATAGGGAAAACGATGAACTTAAGAAGAAAGGAAAATGAAACCAAAGTATCACCAGAGAAACTATTAGGTAAAGTAACTAAAATGCTCAGTACTTACATAATATGAACATCAAAAAATCAAAATCTGCCTTCAGTAAATCATAAAAAGAAAGACATGTTGAGACTCAGATCACACCTAAAGTAGTCTAGACATTTACAGAATTCAAGACAAGCAGGGTAGCCCTCAAATCATGCTTATTAAGTTCAGAAACAACCAGGTCAATCTAATAACATAAGAGGAATTTGTCTCTCATGTCCAGACTGAGAAATCCAGGAAAAGTTAATTCAGTGTGGTATATCAATGGTAGCATCAATGCACTGAAAGCTATGGAAAACACATTCAAAGTCAATCTTTTCCAAAATATAGAAATATTATATATACATAATGATATAGATGATCTGCAATCATCTGTAAAACAAAAACTGTACATTTTCAAACCTACACCTCAATGACAACGATTAGATGATAATAGAAGCAACTAATAATATTGTTAAAATGGATGATGGTCATCTAGTGCAACTGGCCAGTCCTGGGCTACAGTCATCATCTTACCCCTCTTCTCGATATTCAACTTGGCCACTGCACTGATATACCCTGCCTGGTTCTGTACCACACACTGATAGTAACCCGCATCGTCATGGGTAGTCTGGATGATCACCAGCGTATAGATATTGTTAACCTGGAAAAGCAAGGGACATGAACAAAAAATAGTAAAAAACACTCTATCAGTCCACCTTTACTGACAATTGCATTAAACCTATTGATTCAATTTAAGTATTAGAGGAAAATTATAAAAATAAATTTATAAAAATAAATTAAATAATAAAAAATAAATCAGGAATATTGTACTTTTGACATAAGCCCAGTTTGCAAAGTGCCCACCCTGTCAAAATGAAAAGGCCATTGAAGTTTGTTGTTTCTTCATTAGACAACTAAAAAAGTTTCTAGTTAGTGTAGACTTACAGTCATTCTTCCATTCAGGACAACTGGTTCCCCATTGTGTAACCAGTGGATGGAGGGCACTGGTGTTCCTTGAAACTTGCAGTTAAAACGCCCAGTTCCTGCTACTGGGGTGTTAGCATCCACTGGGAGTTCTGTTATCTTTGGGGGAACTTAAAAATGTAAGAAGAAAGATAACATTTTTTTTCCAAGTTTCACACAGAGTTTCAGAGATTAATATATCACTTTATGCCTCCTTGATCTAAGCTAATTTGAATATGATGACATGCAGATAAAGTAATGTAACAAACTCAAGTATGATGTTCAAAATTTGGGCCGATGACGGCCGCATTTCTTGAAAGTCCCAATACTAAAAGAAATGAAGCAGATTAATGATAAACACTGAATAGTGTTGACAAATGACACTTAACATTAATGTGTGCGCCTGAAATATCTACATTTAAAATATAATTTAAAAAGAAATAGTGCACAAATTTCATTGTGGGGTTGCAAAGATGCCAAAAAGTCATGATTGTCATTTTTCATGTTCCAATTGTGCTCTAACATCTAAAATAAAGAAATCTTAGCGGTCTCTTGAAAATGTTTTCCTGCCAAATAAATAAGTTGGTTAAAGGGATAATTACTCTTCGTTTTGGCAAAAAAATGAATTTTCCTGGAGTAAACAACAATTTTCCCATACTTACCAATGGTTAATGAATCCATTTTTACATTCAAAGTTAGTCCCTGTTTTTTTTTCTAAAAAGTTTGTTTTTTTTGTTATAATCTCTTAAGAGATTATAACAGAGTATAGCCATTAATGGAGGTCACATGGTCTAAAGACAAGCTCAGATATTAGAATAATAGCTATAACTGCCGTTTTTGTGGTACAACAGAATATATTATATTTCTGAGTTGTTCACAATGTTTTTATCGTGAAATATAGATCTACTACGAAGAGTTATTATCCCTTTAATGATACATGGTTGAAAATGCGCCCGTTATGTTGCAGATAGATAAACTTATGTGTATTTTCATCTTTGTATTCTTTGTGAATGACAAAGAAGTCTGTTTACATCTGCTATATAACTTAGACAACTATAACTGCTATGCAGATAGGAGATAAGTTCATGACATTAGAAATGAAAGTTGGAACCGATTCTCCAAAGAGTTCATTAGATAATCACAATGCCAGGACTGTACTAAAGTACTAAGACTTACCATGCACTGTCACAGTTGCCCTGGCAACGACCACCTGGTCATAGGCACTACTCTTAGCAGTACAGGTGTAGACTCCAGTCTCACTGACATTAACACTGGAGATCAGCAGGTTGCCTCGGCCCAGTATAGTGGACACAGCACTGGAGATGGGTTGACCACCTGCAAAATAAAGTCACAGACTCATTTGCACTGATATTTTTTTAGTAATTCTTTAAAATGATTAAAGATATATCACAATGTATCAATTTGGATATTTCATTATATGAAATCGCCAGGATTTCTAGTTTAAGTATGTCAAGTGTTAGAATTGATAACTCAAAGAAAGCAAGATTTTTTTAAAATTATTTTTTGTAGTTCTGGTTGCTGGTGTTAAATATTTATAATCCTGTATCATCTGACTTTTTTAAAAACATCAGCACATGGCCTGGTAACAAGATGAAGATGTTTGAAATTGCGTGATAGCCTGAAAGAAACATCTGTCAAAAGGTTGTAGAACACTGTAAACAGAATCTTTTCACATGTTTTGTGAAGTGAATACCACAGATTGCATTAACATGGACTTTTCAGACTTTGCAGTAGAACGTGTACAACATGAGACACCAGATCCCTTCTGCAAATCAAATGACAGAACCAGATGATTCTGTTTAGATCTATCAGCTGGAAAGAGCTCCAGATTGCTCAGTCAACTGAATGCAACAGTGGACTAGTCAGATAGAAACATGGCAAGCCATGTGCCGCACACAAGTACAGCTTGATGTATGTATATAAATATATCAACTTGAGAAGATTACAGTTTATCCTCAGGTTAACTTGTATTGATTTTTTTATATTAAGTCCTTGGTTACTTAAAATTACATGCTGGGAATAAAAGTTTTATTCTGCCTTTTTGGAATACCCTTCTCTTAACAGCCTAAAATTAAAATCTATCAGTAATTGTACTGATTCTAAGTTCCACGTTTTTTTAGTAAACAAAAATATAACAACTGTGATTTTTTTCTTTTCTTTTTTTTTTTTTTCTTTTTTTTTTTTTTCTTTTTTTTTTTTTTAGATGCTTGTCAAGTCCTACACTAAATGATTAGATTATTTTAAAATGAAAATTTAAAAAAAATGCAAGAAGTTTTTGGCACACAGTGTAACAAAATGGATTGCATGCCTGTGGTTTTCCTCTGCCACCCACACTAACATTAACAACATTCATTATTACCCCAGGGTTAAAAATTGTGCAATGTTTTTTTATCAATCTGTTCACAGTGAAACTTGCTTATTTCATCAATTTCTTGAAAGTCACTTCTAAATACCTGGATTCATCTGATAAATCATATGCTGTTCAATACCCATCATCATTTTTCAATAACAATGGACATTTTCACAGAAACCTTAACCATAAAAGGTTCTTGATGAAGTATTGCAGTTTCCAAAACGTTCTTGGCAAGACTTCCACTTCGTTGACTGCCCATAGTGGGAGCACCCCTGCACAATAACACAGAAAATGTTAATTCCAGGGTAGTCCAGATACTGGAGAAATGGTAACATTATATTAGCATTAGGAGAGCACCTGGACATTCCTGGGACTTGGAACCTTGCCCAACACTTTCTGGGATTTCTGGCATAGAGACTATGTTCGCCAGATCACTGACATCAGTGGTTCTACAATTTTGTGGTTCGATACAATTTATATATATGATCACCAAAATCTGATCTATATAAAAAATCAGCAGGGGCTTTTGTATATGGTCCAAAATATCTTATTTTTATCTGTTGGTCCAGAAAAAAAAAACAACAACAATGCCATGGACAACATTTTAACATTAACACCACTACATCAGCTTATCTTTTCTGTTTTCATTGGGACTATGTTATTAGGTTTAAGGCATACCAATAACTATCTTAACATTACAAGTTGTAAAATCTTATCCTTTTTTGTCTTTAAATCTAAAATATCACCAAACTAATAAAATTTTTAAACATCAGCACACATGTCATCAGTCTGAAATAAGAGTTACCAATGTAGCTTTTCTCGCCAAACCCTTACTATCCACACTTGCTTTCTATATTAAGTGCTATTACATTGCATTCTCTTCCAAAAATAGACATCCCGTTTTGAATACATTATGTATTGATTATTTTTACACATGTAACTGTATGTGCAGAGTAAGAGAGACATCATTCATTTTTACATATGAACTGATATGCGTGTTTATATGTATATATATCCTACGGTATCAACAACAACTTGGGTTAAAGGATGTGACAGTCTTTGTTATGTAAAAAAAAAAAAAAAAAGAGTAAGGCTGATAGAAAGAGAGACATTATAAAATACAAAATCAAAGAAAGTTTCTGAATTTTTTCTGCAAGCAATTTTCGCCCCAACGCCCAGAATATCCTATTCGTGAAATGGTTATTTTGTTGTTGACATAGGTCCATAGAAAATTGGCAAAATTGGTGAAGTTATTAGTTAAAAAATATAAACAGAGTGGTTTTAAGAGATTGGTCACGCAGTCCTATAGTACTCATGCCAGCCATTGAACTTTTTCTTATCCAAGCCCAGGTATTAGAGAAGACCTAGAATCCACATCACCAGTGAAATGGCCATACTTTTTCTTTAAACAAATAATGTCCATGAACATTATATGTTACTATCAAATCAACAGATTTTACATAAACTTGTTGTTAAGCCTGATTTTGACAAATCAAGTATAAAACTTACATAAACCATACATAACCCAATCCATTGCATTAGTGAGGACAGGTGAGATTTCATCACAAGTGGAATTAGAGCACTGGATACAAGAAATGGGATACATGCATTAGGTTAAATCATGATGGCCAGTTTTACCAATTTTTGGAATAGGACTTGCATAACAATGTTGTTGATAGCTGTTCAGGTGAGGGAGATCTGTTTAAAAGAAATGGTACAGTTTTCACCCCCAAAACACTGCTGTTATGTCATCAGCTTGGCTAAGCAAATTTGCCCTTACAAGTTATTGATGCCACAGCAATATCTCATAACATGACAATGTTTATTTAGAACTACATAAAGCAGATAAGGAAAAAAAATCTTAGCATACTCAACAACATTAACCTCATAGCCTATGTCCACATTAACTCATACAAATAATGAATGCCTTTAAGTACGAAAAAAAAAGTGATCTTCATATTAGGACAAAGTGATTCTGAGAAGGAATTCATAAAATAATCCTTGTAATAGCGAATCAAAGAACTGCAAAGATCAACGTTCAAAGATCAACATTCGTCCTGAAATGTAAATGTATATTGATTCATCTAAATCATTTAAATAATTAAGGAACAAAAAAAAAAAAAAAAAAAATCACGGACTTTTTCAGGGAACTAAACGAATTGTCACTGTTGTAATGTGCATGTGGTCCAATTGTCCATTCCTTTAATGTTTCACTGAAACTGTTTCAAAAGGTTAAACATCAGAGTCCTCACTATATACCCCCCATAAAATAAAAGTATACTACATAAAGAGTGCTACATAAAGAGTGCATGTAACCTAGATGTCACCAAGGGCATCTATTAAATTCCAGGGTATCACTGAAGAGGATAGAAAAATCAGAGACAGCTCACTCTATAATGCCTGCTTTATGATGACTGTGTGCAAATGATCTGCTAATGCTGCAATTTCTACAGAAACAATTAAGAGCAGAACAGAAAGATTGGAAATCTTATTTATGAAGAATTCTGCCCCAGTTATCATAACTATGTAAGTACACATTCTCTCGGGGAAGGAGAGAGAGTTGTTGGCTTAACATGTTAGCAGTCATGACTTTGCATTAAACCACCATGACAACGGCTGCCCATAGCACATTACAAACAAATACTGGACATCATATTCCACAGTTAAGCAATGTATCTAGTAGTCATTTTTTTTAAAGATGGCATTTTTTTAAAAAATCATTTAAGACCTGTGCATATAATAAAGATTTTCAACAATAGCATTTCCACTTCGTGGAATGAGAATACATATTCTAGGTAATTTCTCCTGACCTCCTGCAGCAGCCATTTCCAGGAGTGGGAGGGATCTGTATCCAGAGAACAGCTAGCCTAAGTAGTGCAGCTGTTACCACTGGCTCTTTTCCCTGTCATTGATTATTCCAGCACAATTGGCCTCTCAGTCCTTGACCTTGTGGGGTCGGTGCTCTACTTTCCCCCGACCTAAACGCTGCCTCACCACCAGCTGCTGCAGCACTGCATTAAGTACGCAGCAATTTGAAAATTCTATGCAGCAAGATATTGATCCACTGCGTCCGCTACTGCTGCCACTGCTCCAGGGTTTGCCGTGGCCTATCACATAAGATTATCCCCCACTAGGCTCCAGAGGCTAGAGAATTCTACAGCCTTGCTTTTACTTTACTGGTTTGATAAGAGAGTGAGCATGGACAGAACTCTAGGGGAGAGCATTTGTATGTTACCCTGCTATGCTTGAAGCCATTTCATTTATTTCATTCAACTCAGTTTGAATTCAAAACTGTGCATCTTGCCCTTAACTTGGTGAATTTATGCTGCAGTTTATGTACAATTACAGAAAGTCAAACAAAGTCACTAAGCAACATCTGCAGATGTATATTGGATGTTTTCTCATGAATTAATTCTGGTTTCATAAATATCCCCCCAGAAATATGGGTAGCCTTATCTCTGACTGTTCTTCAGTGTTTATTACATGTGACCCACATCCCTGGTTGTCAACTTTATAGAAATCATAGCAATTTATTTCCATTTCGATAAAAATCTATTTGATCCAGTATAGCTTAGTTAAAATGACAGATGTTGCATATTCTCAAATCCATGTTTTCTGACAAATGTACTCACAATCATGCTCAAAAGGCCAAATACATAGTCCAAGTGCTCTTAAAATAAGCTTACTAAAGCTAGAATGTTAAAATATTTAAGATTCAATCTTGTGTAGTATTTGTCAATACTCAATGAATCCCAACTTCAGAACCCAAAAGAGAAATGCACTGACTGACTCTGACATAATTTAATTACTAAGTTGTTCAGGCTATAGCCACCTGTTATAGTTTTCTGTTTATAAACAGAAGTCTATGCCAACATGCAGCCAGGAAGGGATATATAAAAATATATTATTTTCATTAAAAACAGTCACAATCAAATTTTTTTTCTGCGTCAGTATGATATCTGATCATACAAAGACTGAGATAAATTTAGGTGGACTTTAGTGACACTATAAATAACCAAGTCATGTCACTTAAGAGGCAGACCTCAAAATACAATGGCAACATTATTTTTGTAGATAAGTTAAAAATAACCTCTCTTGAATGCTTACAAATGTAGATAATATTTCTAAATGTCACTTTAAAATGTCAAGTTTACCTGCAAAAGGTGACATTCAACTTGAATGTGAAACTTCACGTAGGATATCTCTGCAGAAACATTACTTTTAACAAATTTTCCTGGGGTAAACCGTACTTTTTGATGATGAACCAACCTCTGATTTTTTTCTCCTGACATTTGCTACAACCCTGTAACAATCTGAGAAAATCAAACAGTCCTCAACTCATGCTTAAGTGATACTTTTTCAAATTCCACCATCCCTTCAAACTCATTTCTTGCATCAACATCCAGATTCCTAACAGTTTAAAACTATGACAAAATGGTCGATGGGTGTAAAGGTTTTTCAAAAGTGGTAAATTTGATCATTTTTGCAAAATAAATTCACCAGTGATTATACTGCCATTTAGAGAAAAAAGGCGTGGGGTCCAGGGGACTGCCTAGGTCAATGATATTTTTGGCTCCCGAAATGCCAGTGTACCAGAAAAATCTGACTCTCCTAAAAGGTGACTCCCTAGTCAAAATTTCATTATGAAATTTTGACTCCCTTCACAAAACTTCATATATCTCATTTTATTAGAGTATATGACTTTTATCTTGTAGTATGCATAATGGCAGATACATTGGCGCTTTTTTGTTAAGTTGTTAAGTTAAGATGGTGAAAGTTTTCATGAGAAAATAAGAAATTTAACAAGCCAGAAGGTAAAACTGTTTCCCACTTATCATGTTATCGGTGGAAGTGCACGGTGACGACAGACCCAGGTAATGGCTATCTGTGACTGTACATAAAAATGTGCATTTTACCACCCAATGACTCCCCTATGAAAAAGCTATTTACTTGACATTTGGTATTTGTGTTTGGTGCATCTATGTCAAATGACAAATATCTATGATAATCAAATTAAAGTCAATCTTTTTCTTCTTTGATGACCTAAAGGTATCTGGTTTGATTTTGTGAGTGAATGCAAATACTTTTTTGGAAATGAGGATCCCAGGAGAGAAGAGAGAACAGCTATGGACTTGAAACATTAGTACTATGGTACACCTTACCTTCACGATGCCATTGAACATCAGGCATTGGGTCCCCATCAGCTAGGCATTCTAAGATGGCACCTTGTCCAACCACTACAGATATATTGGCAGGCCGAGCAATGATTGATGGTGGCCGATTAACAGCTAAAACAGAGAATAAACAAATATTTATTTTACCTTAATTCTAAATGATATTTTTGCTGTATTCATACATACATACATACACATGTATACATATTTCTTCCATCAATTGTTCAGCTTTCATAAGAGGCTTTTTTTTTTGGCAGACCAGATACTTTTTTGTGGTAAAAATTTTCACCCAAATAGAAGTCAACAAACAACTGTGGCCACTGGCTCTATTAGATGGACATTATTTGAAGTAAGTCAGTGGAGTGTTAAATTCTGTTTTGATGTCTAAGTGCCTCAACTTAAAAGATATATTTTATCTCAACATAAGTCCAAGAGCCCACGTAAACAAGTAGCCCCAAAACAAAAGGGCTCTGTCCAAGGAAAAGTGGCATTCCATATATTGAAACCCTACAGACCTAAACATTCACTACCCTTTCCCACTGGGGAGGTTTAATGAAACCTACTCTGATGCTTCAGATTTCCCTTCACTACTGAGAAAAGTACACCTGATATTCCCGATGTTACAAAAATGTGGCAAAGAGGTCATGAAACAGAGTATCCTAGCAGGCCACACAAGGCTAAACTTTCCCTAATGATGTCAATAAATCTATACCAAGTAGCAGCCACCTGGCTGCACATAGTTGTTCTACATTCTGATGCCTTTCTTTACAGGGATATGTCCCCGAATGTTTTTTTTTTCTTTTTTATTTCAACACTCAACTCAATAAAAGATAACATTAAAAAGCACATAAACAGACTTGGATTTCTCTACAAAATTAAAGTTTTCCACCTCAAAGATAACCACTATGTCACATGCAAGGTTTAACTTCCTCTGTATGTTAGCTAACTTACACAAACTTAGCTTTCCTTATTAATTTTGAATCTTGCCTTTCAAATACCACTACAACTATTTCTTGGAAAAATTAACCTGGGAATATAAAATTGTGTGGAAATATACACATTTATTCACTATTGTTTCAGAGGACTGAATATTAAATTTGTAACTTATGTGTAAGATTGAGTTTTTCTTTTATCTCTAAATGTTTATGTTGTAAAGGATACCTATGATAAAGGATAAAGACAGTATATAGGCATCATGGACTTATTATACTCTACATTCAAATAATATACAAATACATAATATGTGTAAAAATAATACAGAGAATGCTAAAATTACCACCATAAAGAGGGAAAAGTGAGAGTCATGAGAACTCTTATGTGTCTATGTGTGCTGAGTTAAAAAATTAGAGCTATAACCATCACAATGTATAGAACGCAATTTCCACAAATAAAACACGCAAGCTTGGGTTACAACAATTGTGGCAATATATGCAGTTCTTACGTAAGGTTGTAACTTCCTGTTTGTGTGTGCTTGTATATATGCTTGTTGATGTAACAGGGAATTATATCCAGAAAAACAGAACATTTTGTAATGGACTATAAATTAGATACATAGTCAGCCCAGCCTTATAAGAAAATTACCCAAGTTTAACTGTGTTGTGAAAAGTGTCTCTTCCTATTCCTCAGCACAGTGTAAACCACAATAAATATTCTTCTTTAGTACAACCTGTAAATTTCACCCTCCTTACCTGGCAAAACCCTCAGTGCTGCAGGCTCACTGAGTCTCTCTCCTGCTACATTAGAAGCCATACACACATATTGACCTGCATCTGAATCCTGGACTTGATTTATTTGAAGCACCCCTGATGGCAGCATCACAAGCCTGCAATTGGAGAAAAAATGTCCAATAAAATATATATATACTATGTCGTGCAGGATTTGTTCCAACCACATGTGACCATGTTATAACATCATGTTATAAAATATGTTGATGGATAAATTGCCCATCACTTCATTGGTATGAAATTGAAAAAATTATTAAGGAAAACATTTTGTTTTTTGACTTGCCCTTCAATATTAACTTACAGTGAACTGTGAAAGAATTTCATTCAGATATTTCATTGGAGTGTGAGTAATCATAAGTATCATAATATTGTCATAAAAGATATCATACATCAGCAAAAGATCACAATTATAACAGATTATCGAAGTTTAAATATTAAGAAAAACTGTCTCCATACATAGTCAAATCATGTGCTTTCAACCTTGACAACCTTAAGTTTATAGATGGATGTAAAGAATTATAGCAGACACACTACCTACAGTCTACTTACCTGCTGTCTTGTGTTAAAGTTTGATTGTTTTTTAACCATGAATAATGAGGTAAAGGTAGGGATTCTTTCACAGCACATGACATTCGCGCGGCACCTCCTCGATGTACAGACACAGGCGCGGGGTTGGTAAAAAACCTCCCCAAACCTGGAAATGACACATATGGCTTGAAAACATTTTTAGAATCTTTACAACACACCCTGTTATTCCTGTTTTTATGTCATCTCAAAAGTGTACATAATATGATGCTCACCCACATAAAACACGCAATTTCACTCAAACCATGCACTTATGCCAAGGGCAAACTTCTCATATAAAAATCAGCTTTAATTGTATAAATGTACTTATTCACTACGACCCATAAGAAGTGATAATATTTGTGAAACTTAACACTAAACTTGCATATAAGAGAAAATTTACGAAAAAAACTTTTTTTCCCAATAATGTTAATGTTGGGAGGCATGTGAGATGCTTAACTTTATTTTGAGTTTTCTTTTTTAATTTTCTCTCTTCCAATGCTCAATACTGAAAAGTGTGATTGATTCACATCCCAATATCTTCACCATGTTTCTCTTGCCCCAATTTCAATTTCATTCAATTGCTACAGATATATTTGTAAAGTAATACAGACCACTTTACCTAAATGGTTTGACCTATCAGGTTTTCCTTCTGATAACCTCTTTTCCTTTATAAATTCCAGGCAATATATTCTCAATATCTTGTACAGCTGGTAGATTTCATAAACAAGAAACATCAGTCATTAAAATAAAAAGATTTTGTCATCACGACTCACTTGCTATGGAAATCCTGGCTGGCCTGCTACTGATTATTCCCTTGTCATCCTTAGCAATACAGTGATAAACCCCTTCATCTGTGATATCCTTCCTTTTTCTACGCACTACTTTTTTTATGTACAGAGTTCCATTCTGGAAAGTTATTCTTTGAGTCTGTTGCAAAAATTCATTATTTTTCTTCCACGAATAAGTGACAGGGCTGTGTGGAGACCGGGCCAAGCACTCTAGCCGAATTGGCTGGCCCTTCACACCCACAACATCCTCTGGTTCCTGGAGAAATCCCAAATTATCCAAGTTTGATGAGTGCCTTATTCCTAGAAATAAGAAGAGAAACATATTTAACTTCTGTAATCAATTTCTCAGTACTGTATCCATGGGGCATTCTTACTTCTCTTACTTTAATACTGCTGGTTTCAATAGTGCGCATTCACAATAGCTGACTAACAGATCTGCTGATCAAATATGGCGACACTCTAAAAAGAGTGCCACTTTTAATTCCAATTAGTCACTGAATAGATTCCCCACAGGGATTATGCAACAAGCATTTAAGTGGGTCAGCCATATTTGATCTGTGGATCTGTTAGAGTGCATTCCCATAGATTTTTAGATCGATCTATCCCTGTGGGGAGTCTCATTAGATTGTTGTCAGCCTGACCGGCTTAAATGTATGTCCCGCCTACTAAAAGCTGTAAGGCGGTAATTAACTTTTGTGCGTGCTCAGCTCTCGGAACCTGACAGCGATTTAGCGTGAACCCCCAAGGAGTTAGGTCGATCCAGTTAGATCAATCTAAATCAATGGGAATGCACTCTTAGTCTGCTGTTCTGCATGCACTCTTTATTGTTATTATTATTTTTTTCATTATTTTATTTTATTATTATTATTATTATTTTTTTTTTTTTTTGCAATTAAATACCTCATGAACCATTTCATAAAGGTACACATGTACCAATGCATTGTGGCTTTATGATAAACTTTACATGATTTCCCCCAAGGATGTTTTGAAGGATACATAAATCTTTTGTTATTTGGAGTATGAAAAATATTCCTTAAAGGCATCACTGCTACCACCTCTCCCACCTACCCCCAACATAAACATATTAATTGGAAATTTGAGTAGCAAACTATGAAAACTCTCGAAAATAATAACACAAGGAATCTGGAACCCAGTGCCCTCCACCCTTCAAAAACAGTTCTATGCTCACCACTAATATTTCAGGTGTCATTTGATGCTTTTGTTATGATCTTGTTCTTACTAGACCCCTTTACTAATATGTGGGTCTTGTGCATAATTTCAAAACACAGGTGCCACAGACTGTTTACAATTAAAAGTGTCAGTGTGACTACAATAATCTGAAAATGGACATTTTACTACAAGTAGATATTTGGATAAAAGTGTAATGGAAGCAGTGTCACTGAAATTTTAAAAGTGCATTAGGGATTAAAGTGTAGTGAAAGCAAGTTTTAAATTTGGTGTGTATTTATCTTTTGTGTGATCTTAAAGGTCAACTAGATAAGATTGTTCATTTTAAATGTGATTTAAATTGCAGGTTATCTTCCTACAAATATGCCACTAATACTCTACAGGCAGACATGCTCTGAAATCTTTTCAGCCATTGTTTGGTGCTATTTAGCAGGACTCACAGGTTGGCACTGTTATTTTCACTCGTTTCATTCGTTGCACTAAAATCAGTAGGACAGGCAACTCAAAACTGCCCGTTTTCAAAGATATAAACATACTAAGTTAAATAATGAAGATATTAACATTCCTGCCTCCAACATCAAAGCCTAGAGCTCCTATCAAATGAAGGGTGTGGTGGTTATCATGGACATCACTTCCGCTCTGTTCTAATATCTCTTTGGCCTCCCCTGCATAACCCCCAAGAAGATCAGTGAGCTGATCATAAGCCATAGCTTCATGATAACCTGATTGAACTTGATAACACTAATGGTTTTTACAGTTATATCAGTTCCCCCACTGAGTTTAACCAGTGTTTATATGTTGTATTACACATTGTGTGTCATCATATGCAGAGAAGTCTCTGATGTGTGATCACAATAAGACCAACATTAACTAGACATGGATACAACGAGGTCACCAAATGACCAGATTTCTTCAAATAGAATGAGACAGATGGACGAGTTTTCAATTCAACTTTTTTTCTTTTGTTACATCATAGGATCTAATTCTGTCCAAATCAGTCCAGCACTTAAATGCCCTCCAGATATCGGTTCCTCCCACCAAAGACTGACCTATAACAATAACCCCAGGCCAGCATAAAAATGTTCACCAATTTTTGAGAAAATGAAATCTATGATCATCTTTTTTAAACTATCATTGGTTTGTAAAAAATTATTATTTTTAACTAAGTTAAAATTAAAGCCAGGTGAAGCATTATTAAATATGATTTATTTCACTCTCAAATATAATAATAATAATAATAATAATAATAATAATAATAATAATAATAATAATAAATAGCTAAAAAGAAAAATATACATCATAATTCCAAAATCTTTCAGCAAAGGTTACACCTCCATTTCATCACTTCAGATCTACTAATAAATATACATTACATTTTGCCATACACTTAAAGAGCTCAAAATAGTCCCTTTGGAGAATTAAGAGCTCTTAAAAACACAGTTATGTGCTTCTCTAATTTGAAAATAAGAATCTCCCTGTAGGAGGGGCTACATATATTGGACATAAAACACTGGTTGCTGTAATGTCCTGAAAAAAAAACAGGGGTATCTAAGGGCAAAGCATCAGTTTGACTTCACATCTCCCACAATACCATGCATCTTAAATCCTGTGCAGTTTCAAATAATCTCAAACTGAGCAGGACACTGGTGTTCACCCACTGACTCACCAAAGGACAGGTTTACCAAAACTAGGTCAGCGGTCAATATAGATCACCACTTCATCGTGGCCCAGATCAAATACAGAATGCAATTTCTATTCAAGAAATTATTCCATGCAGGGTTTCTATTCATTCTGGGCCTAATCAGCAATACTGCCGACTGGGGAATTACAAGGTTCCGACTTAGCATGTGGACCTGACATAGGCTTATGTTATGGCGTGGGGTTTAGAAAATGTTTTTTTTTCAAAAATGTTTCGAGGATTTTGAAATTCATAGCATTATAATGGGATTTCATCTTGCCAGCATATACATTCAAATCTCCAGAAAGGGTTAAGTTATCAGTAAAGTTATGATCAACCTAAATAATGAAGTTGTCCTGGAGAATATACACTCTATGTTAGCTGGCACGGAACACCCACATTTCACACAAAATATTTAAAACTGGGGCACGACCTCCCTGTAACAAAATCTGGGCCAGTCAAGTGAATATTTCTGAGTTTAAACATCTCAATTTCAAGCAAAGCTCTCAATATAAACCTTACAGAAATAGTTTTACTAAACCAAACACATTAAACATCTGTCAGAGGATTTCTTAACAAAATGAAAATGTGCTGAGGAAAGACTGAAAATAAACTGGCAAATGATTTTATTTCTCCTGTTCCTCAGGGCGCACAAAGGGCTGATGACAAATATTTTTAACAGAGTATATTTTAGACAACATCCACCCTTCCTTAATATATGTTCTCAGGGCAGCTTTGATGAATAGAATTTTACTTTTCATTCTTGTCTCAAAATACTTCATGAATGACCAAACTAATTTACATTTTGTTTAATACAAAACCAGCAAACATATTTTGATAAATTATCCTGAAAATAATTATCTAAATTCTAGTTGCCACTTGATTGTAAAGTACATCAAACTGAAATTTATGCTGTTGGTTATGGCAATAAACACAAGGACTGATACTCTTTGACCTCTCTGATAAAGTCTCAGCAAAGGTTGTTGGTTGTCACTGTCGCAAGTCACTTGCTTGTGACAAGTGAGTGTCTTAATAATGTGTTCAAGTATCATACATGTTATTTAAAAACAAATTACTTCATTCCACCATTAGGTTTGTAATGACCTGATTGGCTGCCAGAATCTGGCCCATACCGAGTTTGTCTAATTGCCAGCACAGCAGCCATTGGTCAGATACAAAAATAAGACAGTTGATCTATAACGGAAAATATAAGTCGACCAAAGTTATGAATATTCTCAGAGGACATAGAGATAACAAAGGCTCAACTAATCCAAATCGAAGAGGAACATTAAGTGTATTAAAGATACTAAAAGAAGCCTCAGTTCATGGCATGCCGCCTTGGTTCTGTTAGGGCAATAAATCCAGTCAGCTCCGATATAAATGTTGCACTTTCTTAGTGCAAAACGTACCTTGTAAGGTCAAGTCCAGGCTGTAATCAATTACTGTCAAGATAGAGGAAGAACCAAGCACTACATTGACCCAGCTTGGAAGCCAATTACCTGGAGTGCTTGAAAGCATTTTGACACAATGGACACAAATATAAAAATCATTACCTGGCTTACCTTTCAAGTTAAGGCTGACACTGTAATTTGTATGTCCGAGTGGCCATATTATATATATAAAATCTACTGTTGGCACTGCTGAAATTTTACATATGGATTTTTTGTCACAATGGGGAATGTGAGCTGACAGTTTTATTGCATACAAATATGAAATGTAAATTGGCATTTCTTATATCTATGAGAACAAGATTCATAAATCATATTTTGGGAAATTTGTTTAAAAAACTTTTGACAAAGACCAAATTGAGTACTAGTACTACAGTATTCTGTGGATTTGGTAGCTGTGTGCCAGCAGCATGCCTTGTCACATACCCTATCTCAATTCAAACTTCATTTAAGCCTCCATTTTTTAGCTTTTTGATCAAATTCTGAGCTTTTTTGCCACTTTTTCATATTTTTTGTTGTCTCTGTCCATTTATAATTTTTAACCATAATTTTATCTATTTTATGCATACATATCTATCTATCAAGACTACAGATTATTAGAAAGTTTAGTTTACCTATCCTTGATTCAATATCATCAATCCTCAAGTCAAAAAGATATACAAATATGCATAATAAGATCTTTTATTCCCAATAAATGTACAATAAGATCAGTTAAGAGTAAAAGTTATAGCAGAATACGGCTCTGCTGTCAATGAATTGATAAAAACAATTTAAAGCACCGAAAACATTCAATCTACCAACAGAAAAATCAAACATTCCTCAAAACAAAAAAGACATGCTTGTACACCTGGGATTCTTACTAAATTGTGAGCAAAACAAAGTATGAGTTAGACAGTGAGTGACGAAGCATTCAGAAATATCCCAAACATTCAAATAAAATTCACTGCAGAATATAATAATGAACATGTTGCAACTCAGCATAAAGATCACATCACAATACTAGAATTGTACTTTTCACCACGAGCATTACAACCCAGTTCAGCCAGGTTCTTTCAATTACATAAGTTTCATTAATGACCAATTTCTTTTACCACAAAAATTGTGAAAAATGTTAACAAAAACTATTCAACTGAATCAGGAACAATTTAAAACACAATAAAATCAAATGGAAATCATCCAAGGCAGCCTCAAATGAGGATGGCAGCACCAAGTGACATCATATGAGATGATAAAACATGAGAGAATCCACACAAGATGGGGAAAAGCTTATGGCAAAATGGATAAAGCTCTATGCACTGAGAATGTCATCTTAAAAAGCAATACGAAAGTAACCAACAAAACGTGCTGTACCATTGTTATAAAATTATACAGCACTTAAGGGAAAAAACCAATCCCAAGGAATACCCTTGTCAGCTTTAGTTCTTTGCTTCATTGTACTCCCTGCTCTGACATTATTTCTGACCCCACTGTTGCTTGGAAATTTTAATTCTTTTTAAATTTATGCACAGGGTGGAAACTTTGACTCATGATAGACACTATTTGCTACCCTTTCAAGAATATAGGTAATATTTGTCCCAGTCATTTCATTTGCTGTATCAACTAATGTTTCTAGTTTGTTTGTTTTTCTCCACAGTTCTATACCAATTTGATACAATAAAGGAATAAATTAAATTACTTTCTATAACACATTTGTAAAAGTTCTTTTAAATGAACATATTCATGGTAAAAGCTTTCAATTTCGACATGGCCTTAACCTCTGATCACTTCCAAACTATTTTCAAATGAATGAATATGTCTTTGATCACTGGAAAATCAAATTACACCTCATATATTCCAACAAAGGCCACTTATCGCCAGTGATGTTTACTTCAATACCATACCCAACAAATTGATGGCCATTTTGGATTCTGAGACCTTGCCATGGGTTAAAATTTGTCTGTGCATTACTGGGCCCCTAACAGCCCAGATTCAGTTGAGAAACCTTTGTTAACATTCTTTCTAACCAAAGTCATTTATTTACTGGACTATAATATCCAGAGGGAATAAATCTTGCTTTTATTTTCCATGGTTGCTGAGGTCGGCAGCACTGCCCCACATTTGGAGGTCAAGCGACAGCTTTGCAAGCTGAGTCAGCTGTAACATGATGCCTAGCACTGACCTCAATAACCAGAGAGAAAATAGTGCGTAATTCACCTCCACAAAACTAGTTTTCTCCTCAATTCCATATCAAGATTTTTCACTGAAATGTTCAGACCTTACCTATGAGCCATTTATGTTTCTAAGAAATCTGTATGCTTTTGAATTATATGTGTACATAAGTCTATGCATTAGCACAGGCAAGATGCTCTATCTCTGGCCTAGTGGACTATATGGAATATCAATATGATGAGTCCAACTGCCAGCAGTAAACAGCTTAAAAATATTGAACAGCATCACATTTCTGTCCAGCTCATATGCCAAAACATCACCTTAAAACAGGAATGTTGGATTTAACAAAAGAAAGAACAGTTGCCTGCACAGTTTTGCATTAAACATGATAATGTTCAAGGCACTATATAGCAAAATGAGTGATTAAATTACAACATAAACAAATACACCAGGGTATCAGTAGGAATAGAAGAGAACCATGTTATTCTTCACAATCTCCACATGTATGTATCCCTAGTAATTTGACCTTTCATATCTAGAGTACAGGATTTGTAAAATTTGCTTCTCCAACAGACACACTGGGGCACACTGATTGGGTTCACAGTAGCATTTTCTATCGTCTTTTTCTTCTTGTAAAGCTATATCTTTAATTGAACTCCAATTTGCTCTGATAAACTGGCAAAAATAGCTTAGTATTTCTGTAAGTTTTGTCAAGGTACATTGCATATCGTAGTAACTGAAAAATTGATTTCCCACTGCAAACCTATGTCGATGTTTTAGCATTGTGAATAAATAAATGACAAATTAAAAAAACTGTTTTAGTAATAAATGAAGGAAAATTGATAATTGCAATCCTCACAAATGCACCCCCCCCCTTTAACCCATGTGTTCTGTGATCAGTGAAATAAGGGATGGTCAAGCTTAATGGAGGAGGGGGTGTAATGTGTAACCGAGCCTTTCCTTGCTGAAATTAGAAACTAAAACTGTATTTGATAAAATTGATCCAAATACACTTTATGTGGTTTTTGTCATGGTTGCAAATATTGTCAAACTATGTTGTGTGATCACGTACAGAAATTTAGTCAATATTCCCTTTCACATTACAAATGGCATCAAAAATAATGGTTTCCTTTTACTAGGTAAATATTTGACCATTACTTACATACATAAACACTGAATGAAAGAAGCAAGAAATCAAACAATTTTTGTTATCATTTACACCGTAAACTTTGAATGTGGGGAATTAATCCCCTTACCTTGTTAATCCATAAGGCAAGAACCATTATGAGTCAAGTTTAAAAGCTACATGTTTTCAGCTTTGAGACTTTAAAATGACATTACACTAACTGATGACTTGATTTTCAAACTTTAACACTGACCTTTAAACTAAAAAATGGTTTATCACCATAGCATCTTTTCTCATTAAAGGGACAAAATTAACATATTAAACACACATTTCTTACTTAAAAAGTACTTCTTATTGAACCCATTTTTGGAAGTATGTAATACTTTTTGATCATTTAGCAGATAAATGCCATTAATTCATGTCACCAAAATAATCCAATTAATACCTCCTGACAACTTTCATCACTTGTCATCCATATTGACAAAGTTCTAAATCACACCATCCCAGAATTCAGTGCTCAAAGTGATGACAAAATGAGAAAAACCCACACTTGAAAGACAATTAAGGACCTTTCAATCTTTCCAGATAGCTACAGAGTTATTGGAGCTCAGATGTCAGGAAAGGAGGGTAAAATATTAGTTAGTTAAAGAAAAATATCATATACTCCAGGAAAAAATTCCACAGTCACAGTTGAACAGTTTGGGGAAAAACATTTTAAGATGAGTAAAACAGTGCACATAATAAAAACATGTTATTTTCTCATGTAAACCCTTCAGTGGGAGAAATAAAAAGCACCTTATTTCGGCATTTTTGATTAAGTGATTTCACAATAATCCAGGGAACTTTTTACTACAGTGTTTTTATATGACAATAATATGACCACACTTACAATTCACATATATGTTTTACCAGAACTATTTATGAATTCAGCTTTTCCAATACCATAAAAAAAATTTTTACCTACAATATTGTTGGCATTTTAATCTGAAATAAAAATCCTGACCCACTGACATTATAGTAAATGTTTATAACAAAGAATGGAGAAAATTTTGTGATCAATTTTAAACTGAAGACACATTTCAATCTAATACTATATCATATATATTTTAGAATAAAAATAAAGCAATTTATGAAACTGTTAACCAATATACAAGAGAAATTTTATTATTTATACACAGTGACCACTTCGGCATTAAACAGTTACAGTTCCAATTTTGGGCTTGACTAGAGCAAATTAGACAAAAACCACTACATTTTCATATCACACATAAAAAACAAACATTATTGGTCCGTGGAGTTATTCACTCTGATGATGATGAAAAAATTAATTTCTGAATCTAAATTATGCCCCTTTCAATTTGTATAACAAACAAATTGGCCATTCAGCTTCAGTATACAGTTTGAAAAGAACAGGCTAGATCATAATGTGGGTTATTGAAATATATAATTCAAGCTTTTAGACTGTCAACTGAAAAAGAAACAGAAAAACTGAGGTGTGACATGCCAGCATTGACGCACTGCTAGCTGTGTTTGCTTTTTCACCTTTTGTAATATTGTATACTAAACATTTGAAATATGGCCATGACCCATCTATTCTAGCCCAAATTGCTGTCAATTTTAGAGAATGCCATTGTTTATTGATACTGTGATTCAACTTTGCTTTTATTATATTCATGAAAGACATTAATATTATAATAACCCCCATAAACAGAAAAACCAGGTGCATAAATAGGTTAATGTAAAAAAATCATATGTACTATTCAAATGTCGCACACAACGTTAGGCAAATGTTGATTGATCGGCATTCATAATATGAGTCAAACAATGGATTCTCATCGACGTAGATGCACTTGTAACTCGGACAAAAGGTCACGCGGACATTAAGTCCGTCCTATCGTTGTGACCAATCAGCGTGAAATAAAAAAACTGTGCTAAGCACTGGCTTGGTGACCTGACCAGGGCAAGTCAGAAAAAAATAACGAAAAACACTAGCGCCGTAAGCTAAATTTTCATTGAAATCGACAGTGTTGCTTAACAAGACCAATGTAAACAACGGCGTGAATTAAGAGCAAGGTTAATCGGTTGGCGCTACTGGCCAAGCATGGACGGCAAAATGGCGAGAGCAAATTTCGAGGGTTTTCACGTTAGCGAGTTTCCGGCTCGCAAACATGCCTTAAACACGGGTCGTTGGAGCGTGACATTCATTCATTCATAACACTAACACTGTATTGTTCATTACTGCTGCAAAATACACAATGAAAACTATCTTATTTCACTCGATCGTTGTGTTTAGTAAAGGTTTGACCCTAAATCAGGTCAGGCCAGGGCAGCCATGTTGTTTTTTCTTGCTGCCGATCGCATTCCGCCAAGAGATTTGCACACTGACAATTTAACTCACCTTCTGCAGCGAGGACGAGAGATGCTGCACATGCCCACAAAATGAGGTAGATAAGTTGGGACGCCATATATCCCGAAACGTCAAGGCTGATCTGAGCGATCCATTTCGTACTAAAGAGAGGGCCATCGAGAGCATGAATACATTCACTGAACCGTACTACAACCTCTAATCCTAAATAGCTATGCGCAGCTTTCCCATTTGCTGGAAGCACTCCCTGTTAATATTTTATTTTAAACAAAATACGTATTAAGAGAGAAATCGTTTTGTAATAATAAAAGCTTAAATTATTTAATTTTTTTAAAAACTTGTATCCTAAGTTAATGCAACTGTCAAAGAAAAATTGATAAGGGAAATGTATTTGAAACAAAAGGGAATCATAAAAGGGTAGGATATTTCAATAATAAAGAGCGCTGACCTTGCATATGAATTAAACGACGGAGTGACTTTATTGGACAGATTCGAGTTCATTCATGCTGTCACTTGATATTTCTTTTCCCGCGTTTAAGTTCAATCTGGAATTGACGCCACATATCGGTGACATATTCATCAAATTTTGCATTACATGCTAGTTTTTGTATCAATGCATGTCGTTATTAATATTGCTGACGTCTAATTTCGAAGTATGATGGATTAATCCCTTTATTACAGATTTTTCCTTTCGGTTTGATTAGAACAATGGCTACTACCCTATGTAAAATGGAGCCGTAAAGAAAAGCCAACTCGATAATGACTGATTACAATCAAATAAATGAACTATTGGCAAATAATAAAAAACTTTCATAATTGTTTTATAATATTTTTTTATCTAAAATAGACGTCGACTTAAGAACGTGCCTAAAAACATGGCACAGGCATTGCTACTGAATGCACCGATTTGACTTTAGCGAGCCTTCCGAAAACGGAGGACAAAACATCCTCCTTTTTATTATGCACCGCACCTCCCTGTTGTAAAATCCAGGAAACGCCGCAGCAAATGATCAGAGGGAGCAATGATTTGCAAAACGATTTTAGATGCGTATCATTTATGCAGAGGGATTCATTAATCTATTTATTACTTCTTTAATTAATTTATTCATTTGGTACTTCGTTTGCTAACTTATTCGTTTATCTAGACTTAATTCATTCGTTTGTTTGTTTGTTTTTCTCATTCTTTTTTTGTATTTCTTGCGGTTAATAATTTTTTATTCTTTATCTTTTTTCACTGATATGTTATCAGTAAATTGGTTTAATAATTAACCAATAACTTGCATTACTCGGGGGAAGCACTGGGAAGGTCTGGTTAACAGAGTGAAATTTTGAGTTTTACCTGTAATAAAAAAAGTGGGGGGATTAATTTTTACAAATTAACTGTTTCGTCTGCTTACGGTTTGCTTTTGATCAATTTCCGATAATGATCCACGTTCTCGCTACCATGAAGAATGCTAGAAAAAGAACACTATTTAGACGTGAAGAACTCGATCAAGCTGCATTTGATTGAATGGCCTAAATTTTCCCCTTCTCCTTTTTTTTTTTTTTTTTTTTTTTTTTTGGGGGGGGGGGGGGGGTGTACACCTGACCGATCCAAGTCTGATACTGATGTACAATGTAACAAGTAATAATAACTGCCTACATCCTTGATCGACTATTCATCAAAAAAATTTGTACCAAAACTGCCAATCTCTTATTTTTCCTCATTGGCATGATGCTTTTTCTTTAGAATGTTGGCTAAAGTATTTAATACACTGTGACCGAATTTATAGTTATGGTTTTCTCGGATGTTTTTAATTGCGCTTTTAGTCACAGATATCTCTGCTATTCTAGTGAGAGGAGGACATAGCAACTCATGTTTAACTTTTATTCTTTACTACGCATATATATGTATATTAACAAATAAATTTAAAAAAACGACATATATATATATATATATATATATATATATATATATATATATATATATATATATATATATATATATATATATATATATATACACTACAGCAGCATCGTCATTAATTACTGATCTTGCTTGTGTTATTTATAAGTTTCTAATTTTAAATCCGGTTCATGGCTGAGGTTGATTAAAAACTTTCATTTATTTTGGTAACATAACCGTGTTATAATACAAAAAGGTAATTTCATTTTGGAACATCGGTTGGTTGGTTGAACCTTCACTAAATAAATTTCACAAAAATGTCATCTAAAGACACCAGGATTATCGAAAAGAAGAGAGCTGTAATATGCTTTCCCCCATCGTCTCATTAGCGTTTTCATAAACATATTCCCCATATAGGAAAATAATTATACAAGTAAATATAGATTTTCCGTTGCAAAATTTGGCATTCTGAATTTGATCACCCATGGTGCAATAATAAACTCTAATGTACAGACCGACAATGAACTCAAAAATCCACGTGAAAACGATTGAATAAATGTCGTGTTGAGTACGGACCCAGGAAAAAAGTGTCAACTTCAGGAAAATGACAAGATAAAAGTATTCTTATGCATCAGCACTGCGTACATCCTCTCCGCAACAAGCCAAGCACCAGTAATTAAGGTGGTTGTCAATTTTCCACAGTATTAGGGCCTGTTCATAACGAGCGATACAGAATTTTATATCGCACCAGTTTGAGAGCGAGTGACAACGTAAGAGTCACCAAAAATGTGCCCCTGCGCTCGACACGGTCAGTTAACCGGATAATATCGATTGGTACATTGGGGCTCGTAAGAGGGAGTAAAACCCTCGTGGCGAAATGTTAGAACCTACTGGGGGTACAAGGGTGGGTCCAGGATTATTTGAAGGGGGAGGGGGGGTCCGCCCTTTGGCGTTGGGTTCGGGGCCCTTCAGCGGGCCCTGAAAATTTTGGTATTTCAGAGGGCGATCGGCGTCTTTTGGTACGTTTAGAACTATAATTCAGCCAGTCAAAATTCTAATTCCAAGAGGGAAATATTAGTGTGATTTTTTTTCAGAAACCGAAGGGGGGACTCCCCTGATCCCTCTAAATTCGCCACTGTGGTAGCCGGCGCAGTACAGAGAACCGTTTCACTCAATTTCTAAGGGCTTTAATCTCTCTACGCCTAATTCGGAGGCATACTCCTGGCTGGGTGCTGATATCTCAAAATTAAACGCGAGGAGAATATTTATAATTCCATGAAAATCGACAACAAGTTTTCGGACAACACACTTTGAGAGTAGTAGAAAAACACCTGAATCAGACATCCATTGCGATTTTGAAAAATCATGTAAACGTAACAACAGCACTGGCACCAACCTTCTCCAGTAAGGCGCATGAACACTACATGAAGTAAACACGTACATGTATGAAATTCCTCAGTTACACCGCAAGTTTTGAAAATGCTGGCATGATATTCTAAAAAGTTATCGTCAGTGCCAGTGATTACTACCATAAGAGGTAAAATAAAAGGATGTTCAATCGATGTACACTTTTATCGATTAATTAATATAAATTTTTCAGTGGTAATTCACATATTTGTTTAAATACGTAACCGTAATACGAGATCGCGATAGAAGTGAAAATACAAAACATACACCTTTTTTTTTCAATGCTTTTTATTCTGCTTGCGTACAAAAGCTAATCATACAATTTTCCAAATGTTAGCAACTGAACAGTATTCCACTGATTTTGTCTTCTATGCCATTTAACTAAAAACAGAATCAAAGGGGTGGGTATTTCAGTATAGGTTTTATGTATGGATTTCAATCTAGTTTATCGTCAGTCCAACCTCATATAAAAATCAAAGATAAGAAAATAGTTAAAGATTCAGAAATATGAAATCTAACTGAAACACAGTTATGAGAAAGTCAAGGTTTTGCTTAAATCGAAAGTTTGGTACTTCTTCTTGAGAAAAGTAAGTGCAGTACAATGGATTGCTCTAACTCGTTATTACAACCAAAGATAATTCTAAATTTACTTGAAATGCACATTAAAAGAAACGTCCGACCTTTAGAAGTGTCTTGTTAACGCACAAAACCGCAATGCTAAATGTGTACCAAACCAACCATTACATAAAATAACATGCACGCCTCCACTAAATGTTTGAGACTGGATCAACATTAAAAGCCAAAACTTAAAAAAAAAAAGAAAACACATTAGATATTACAAGTATTACAAGTGCAGGAAAAGACAACTTGGAGAACTGTCTCAGCAGACGCACTGTCATGCTGTCGTCTTCGCTAGCTTAACACGTACTAATCACATTGCGCAACTGAAGCACGTTAAGAAGGCTCCCATAAACTCTTTAACTTATTCATTTGGACGGATTCGTTCTAGGGCTGTTGTATCTCTTGTTTCTTGTTTTCAGTCACACAGTTCATAGCATCGCCAACTCCTCGGCATCATTACTGGAATTCCTGCTAAATCCTCGCTGAACGCGGGCTTTCAGCTTGTTGTCCTTCAGCATCTTCTTAAATGCGTCCTTCCCGCTGGCGGTGTACAGATCAAAATAAACGCGGCCGATGGAGTTCAGGAATTTGTCCACCTTTTCCGGGAAATGACTGACATCCAACGCATCTTTCTCGCTACCATCTTGAAGCTCGTTGTTCAACTTATCCGGTGTGGGTGCCGAGGGGAGGCTGGGGGAGGGCGTTCCAAGTCCTGTCCACGTTTTGAAGCGGTTCACGATGAAGTCCACCATTTCGTGTTCATTGGGCTGTTTAGACAGATCGTTCTTCACCGCTGTGAAACTCTCATTGAGGATGGACAGCAGCATATTGAGGGTTATCCAGGTCACAAGCACGACGAAGAGAACGAAGAAATATGGCGCAAGTTCGCTGGTGGAGGCCAAACGGTAGAAGTCGAATTTCCCAAGCATCATTTGCATCAGGGATTCAGAGGCTAAGAGAAGGTTTGCGAAATTGTAGTCTTTTGGTCCCATATCCAGAGTGAAGAATTGCACAAAAGCAAAGAAGATGATAAAGAATATGACAGAAAAGGCAAAAAGATGCGTTGTAGCGTCTTTCAAAGTTGCTGCAAGGAAAGACATGCGTTTGTTAAAGCGCAGCAGTTTAAGGAATTTGAGGGTACCAAGGAAGCAAAGCAATCCCAACATGTAGCTAAATGTTTCATTCCAATAACCAGCATATTGAAACTTGGTATATTCATTCCCGTGTGTCTTCTTAAAGGTCTTCGTCAGGGCATTCGTTATAATCATGCGGTAGAAAAACACCACTGCTCCTCCAATAGAAAACCCGATGACAGAAAATTCAACCAAATTCCAGAATTCAGCAAAGTACCTGCAACGCAAATGCCAGATTTTTTTGGATTCCTTGTAAATAAAGAAGAAAATAAAGATAAAGTAGATAATTTCGCATGCTATTTGAAAAGCTGCCGCAGATCCGACGTAGTTGAGAAGTCTAACTGGCTCAAAGCGGTAGTTGGTCACTATGCCCCCCGATTGATGAAACTCCACAGCCATGGTGTTAATTGAGAAAAGGTTCACCCCAGGGTTGTAGCATGTGAATTCGATCAGTACAGCCCGCGTGTACTTGTCTATCCACCATTCCCTCTCTAGGCGCTCCCCTAGCTCAAGTAATTTGTGGTAGCTTCCTCGCAGTTGCGCTAAGTACCCACCGCCGCCGTAGATGGTCAGTTGGCCGTAGAATGGATAGCCGTCTAATTCAGACGACGTACGGTACTCGTACTCAAACCTGACCAAAAACAAAACATGAAATAAATGTAAAGGGCAATTATCCCACCTGCTTTTTTTCAATCAGGTCACAATATGTAGTCTAGTTCTTCATTAACAGTAGTTTGTGAAAATAAGCATTAGACGGAAGAGCAAGGTACCAACACCATCTGAATATTTTGAAAATATACAAAAATATAATTCTAACCATTCAAATATCCATTTAGTTTTGACCCACAACGAATCGAATAAAAACCCTACTTTGTTATTGAAACTCCATAAAAACGTGGATTTGACCGGGGGAGGGGGAGGGGCACTTAGATCAATACTCAAGGCAAAGGGGGCGCAAGCACGGTCTATTAGTATAGTGACGATAGCAAAACTAATTCTTAAATGGATGAACAAGGCTGCCTTCACAATGGGAATCAAGGTTAAGGTACATGTTGTATCTTAGAATATACCACCAACCGTTACTTGTCTTTCTCGTCTTTTTTACTTACGCAGAATTATTGTGTGTGGCTGATCCACTGAACGGGACCCATCCCACACCATATGGACTTTCATCCTCCAATAGTAAATTGTAGGCGTCATTGCATTCGGGTATGAACTTCGTGATTACATCTTCTACTTTGCACTGGCCTTTGAATTAAAAAATAAACAGAAAGTGCATAAAGAAACTGAACTATTCATAAGTCATAATTATTTGATTTACCTTAACAGAATCATTTTAAAAAACTGTTATATACTCATCTCTAATTAACATGTCGATAAGATTATTATTTAGTAAATTCCAAAAAATTCCACAAGCATCATCTTGGGCGACAATGTCAGTTTTCTGAACTTACCAGGTTTCACTCTGACCTGCCTCATGGTGGCGTACCCCATCATTCTGCAAGCCCTATCAGCCAGAAACCCTCTTTGCCCTACTGGGAAATCGTTGTTATACCAGTTCAGGGCACGCAGTGCTGGGGCCAGCCCCTCTCTGTACCAGAGCCAGAACTGGGTACTGTTTTGAAGCTGAAAGAAATGCACGATATGCTTTAGTCTAGCCAAGTTTATGCCAATGTCTGTTGTTTTTTATAACAGCTATGGATTTTTGACGAAAATAAAAAGGCGAGGATTTTTTGCTCTGTTTTATGGTTATATTTCAACTTTTGGGACTTTGGAGTCACTTCCTATTCTGTGTTAATACAATGGGTGTTAACCCATTGTTCTAATTCCAAACCTTGTTTGGGTAAACACACTTTACCAGAGATGAACAACTCCTATATATTTTTTTAACCTAATAGGTAAAATACTTGCTTCCTATTGTGTAATGTGGTGTCATTTTCTTTAACCATAAAAGGTGGGGAGAAATTTGTGTGCTAATACTGCAATATTATGTTTACTCATTTATATGCCTAAAGAGGCACTAGTACGTAATATGCAGGACCGAAGACTGAGAGAATGCTTGGGGCAGAATTTGCAAAGATAAAAAATTAAGCTCCGCCGCCCTCTTCTGCGCAGCCTACGGTTGTGATATATAAATAAATAGATAAATTAATTGATCAACTAATAAAACAATTAACATATTGATGACTAATCTAAACCGTCAATATGGTTGGATCACATGAACTGTGGGTGCTTAAGAAGTTTAAACATATTCATTTTTGTTTCGCAGTCAAAAAACCCATTTTGAAAAAAAGTTGGAAATGCAATCTTTTTCTTCTAAAAGGGAATCGAAACCATTTCTTTACGTATGCAGCGTCATATTCACCTTAGTAAAGTCGATCGTCGTATGGCCTTTAAACACAAACTCATTCTCCATGTGTTCTCGTAAGTAAAAATTGTATGGATCACGATTTCCATAACTGATCACCAGCAGCATCCACACAAACACACTATAGAATATAATCTCCCGCAGAATGTCGTACATCCTCAGTTCTTTGAGGCGGTTTTCACGGGCCTGTTCAAGAAGGGTGGGGTCGGGTGGCTTGTAGGCGATCTTCCTTGGTTTTGCGGCGCCGTAAGCTGAAAAGATGAATACAAAGATGCTTGCATGGTATTACCGTAAATACAGTATGGTATTGCATAAACAGAGTACCCTCCCCACAGCCCACTTCTTCGGGTGGATGCTGTTGCCTGTTTTATCCTTAACATCAGCGCTTACTTTCGTATAGGGATACATTTCTGTAAACATAGGGGTTAGACTACAAAGGCCTAGGGCGTGACAAGCGACCCTAAATTTAGATGCATTATCCATAACCCATAAGAAAAAAATTGTTCTTAAATGTAAGTGTTGAGAATACTAACTGTCTGGCGGGTGCAACAACAGCTCATCATGTTGCAACTGAGGATCCTCCTCATCTTCTTGTCCCTCCTCCTCCTCCTCGTCCTCGTCTACCTTCTTGATGATCATCGAGAAAAATATTGCCAACAAGAAAATCTGAAAAGTACACCAGGCAAAGTAAGATGTAGATGAACTATTCAACAGACAAAATTAACAATTTCTCAACCTAAGAAATATTGATAAAAAAGGTCAAATCTCCAAAGTTCATGAATTAAGCGGAAGTCTGTTATTTTCAAAGCAAAAATGACAGAAAGAAGATGATAATTTTCAAGGCTATGATGCTGTGCAAGTATATATTCAAATAAAAGTAAAACTAGGATTGTATTTTGATTAATCAAAACGTTATGTCTACCGACCTTAATTGGTTCCGTGAGAAACACTGATGTCACAAAAGAAATCAGCATTGACGTAATCCATTTCCGAGCCTTTGTATCCCCGAACGAAATACCGAAGAAAGTTACCATAGCAGCGGCGCCAAACACACATATCCACAAGATAACCCAGGCAACAATTCTACACCACCATGGGAGTTCAAATTTCTTCTTTTTCTTGCCAGTTTGTAGATAGTCTTCGTGGGGATGTGTGATCGACTTTTCCAGTTTTTCAATTTCACTAGAAAAGGATGTGTCTGGACGGGCCTTAAATGAGACATTGGTATACACTGTTGAGGTGGAGGCGCCTCCCCTGTTCCAGTCAGCTATTTGGTTTTTCTCTGGATGGGTATGGGTGTGAATTAGTGTCTCTGTGGACATAGCCGCGGAGTTCAGAGACGCGCTACCCTGGTTTAGGACATTTCTCTGCATGGCCGCCTTAATACGAGATGGGCGCTTCTTTCTCGGGCGAGATTTTCGAAACAAAGTGATGATCAATAAATTCACCGGGAAAACGATGACAGTTCCAATTATCCCGACGAAAATCTGAAAAAGAAAAACGGCAAAAATCTGTTCAATTTGAAATTCGCAACGGCCAAGAACAAAATTTTAGTTCTAATTTATGAGAGTAAATGACCAATGGGGAAAGGGTGTCTTCATGATAACGCCATAAACATGTAGTTTTAGATTAAATCGAATCAAATATCATCAAGCTGCTCTTCCACCAACAGACAATGTTATAAATCAAACTTTACAAGTATCATTGTACGCTACGTCATAGCCTACCTGCTCGGGAGAAAGACTAAATGGCCCAAAAGTAATGGCATTGGCCCCCGGGCTTTCGGGAACCTGACCATAGAACATAGCGCTGGTCAGCATGGTCAAAAATAACAAACAGAGGCAGCAGGACACTCGCTGTAGTCTAGTGAATCGACTCTGTGCTGGACGAGCGATGACAGAGAACCACAGATGGCCATCGCCAAGATTCTTCTGTGTTGTCTTGGTAAAGAGGTGTCCGAACTCTGCCATCTGTTCTCTGCCGGCTACCGGGATGAGACGGTCAACCTGAGGAGAAAATAAATCGACAGTTTTTATTGTTATATGATTATCTTATTAAATTGGATTATTAACTTGAAAATTAAAGAGTAAAGAATGGTTTACCAAAATGCTCTCAGCCTAAATATCTTCTCATGAAAAGTGTTATCGACGTTCCTCTGATACTGCTCTTAAATGCCATCATAATATTATTAAATATTTGCCATTAAATATTTTCCATTAATTAGGAAAATCCAGCAGCGAAAAGAGATGGAAGATAGTTTTTACGTATAACACTATCTGATAACAATCTTCAAAAATAACAAAGAACATTATCTGACCTGGCCGTCATCTTCTTCCACAGCAAACCAACGGTTACATATGAAGTAGTACTTCTCTTTTGTTTGCAGGTCTATGACCAGGAAATACTTGAGGTACCATGACGCAAATTTCCCCCTGCCAGAGTTGTCATGCCAAATCCGGGCGTAGTTAAGTGTACCGAGGGGTCTGAGTGAAGAAAGAAATAGTCCGTTAAACAGGATTTAAATATTCGTGCAGCTGAATATTTCCCAATTTTTACAGAATATCATAAAGCAGGAAATGTATAATATTATATGGAAATGTTACAGAATACATGATGCTACACTAGACGCGACGACACTTGAATAAAAAGTTAAATAATGAACCGACAACTGCGGTTAAACAAGGACCTTTAAAAAACAGATACAGGGTGTGATTGACATCGGATATAAAACGGAAAGCTCTGAAAGTCAGTTTGAGGAAATTTTTGTAATTCGCTTCCTATGAGTTAAGATACTGTATCGCTTTATAAATAGTGTTTTAAGGTAAGGATTTTAGGGATTTCACCTTGTGACCGCCAGCAAGAAACGATCGACGGCACCTCGCTTGAACACCGAACGCTTGTCATCGGACAAAACACGAACATCAGTCTCGTCGTGCTCCCCAGAGAGAATGAAACACACCTGGAGTGGTAAAAATGGAGGACTTTATTAACATGGCATTTGTTTTCCTCTTGAAACTAATATTCCTTGCTGCTTTCGAGTAAAAATGTATTCCAATTGATTAAAATTCTAGAAAATCTGCAGACTCAGAAATAGCGTATAGCTTCATCATGCTATAACTGAAGCATTACTGCTCCCCCCCCCCCAAAAGGGTATAACAAGTTCACACAAAATTGATAAACTTTTTTTGCAATACAACGTACGTGTGTATTCACCGACAGAGCCTGCAAGGTACTTCTAACCAATATATGAACCTTTTAAAACAAACGGTTTGCAAATTCCTTGGATAGGATTTTTCATATTGCCATATCCAGGATCGACAGGAAAATAAAATCATTGTTTACACAAATTTTAAGGTAGTCAAACTTATATATTTGTTTCTGGTCATAGCGCGAATATCTACGTTACAAATAAGATGTTTGATGATAAGATGATTCTATGTAATATGTAATCTTATAATTAAAGTGTTTTAAACATCTAAAAAACTTCATAATTTATCTGCTTACTTAAAATCAAGGATGATATAAGATAAAGGTGACCTTACCTTGGATTCTGTCCCCGCATCCCTGCGCAAGCCAGTGAACACAACGACCTCGTACAGATAGTGGGCGCTTGGGTCGTTGTCCAGTAGGGGAGTGACTCCCAACTGAAAAAAAAGTAAGAAAAATGTTTAACAGGATTTTTTCTTGGTCGTTGATGATTAATTTAATTATTGGAATCAGTGTAATTAATACACTTAAGTACGGATTAACTTAGACAATCAAATGAGTGAGATAAGAATTATGTTTAAGGTTTTACGTTAAATACCTTTTCAATATCTTTCTTGTCCTGTCGTCTTGCCCAAATTGCCATCAGTATGTATATGACCCCTATGATGATTTCAGTAATGTAAAGGGTTGCGTTTTTATCGAAGGAAGCTGCTCCCGAGAACACAAAGTTCCAGTCAATAGTGTTCGGCATAACAACCCAGCCGCCAAGGAACGTGGTAAGATGGTTACACAGACACTGGGTCACGTCATGTGTGGTTGCATTGCCGACCTGAAATAAAAAAATGAAATCCATCCAGTTAAAATCCCTGTTCTCGTTTCGTTTTGATGTTTTATGTTAAAGACATATTCACGTCATGTTATTCGGTCCTCATTCAGTAGAATTTGATGCTTGATGTACACGCATTTGCAGAAGCTTTCAAAAGATGTGTAATACTAAATATATATTCAAGCCATGTATTTCTTGAGTTACCCGTGTATACGTATTAAAATATAACGAGTTAAGCCCACTATGCATCGTTTGAGAAATCAATGCATTACAATTGGCACAAAAATAATTTGTTCTCAAATTCACATTATGTCTTGGTTAATGGATTAACTGGTTCACTTACAACACATCCATCTTTTCTAAGATTCGGCGCTAGCCGCTTGACGAATAAACATGAAGAGGTGTAGACACGCATGGTGTAGTTAGTGGTGATCTCGTTCACCCCAGTAAACGGCTGCGTGAAATTTCCTTGAAAGTCAGCCCAGTCTGTCCCATACATGTCCGTCTCATTGGGCAGTAGCTGTCTCAGGCCGATGAAGTATTTTCCTGTTTTGTTGCCCACACTGTCCATAAATACCTCGTAGCTATTCAAAGCCATGCCTGTAAAAATGATGATGCACTGACGCACAATGAATTTACGGGCTCGTTGTTTTTCGAAATGGAACACAAAAGCTAAATGGTTTCTTACCCTTGATTTGATTGTGTTGTCAACTTTTATTTACAGAAGAGGACGAGGAAACGAAATGGCTTTGTGCAGTATATCCTGGCGAATGTTATGCAAAATATAACCTTAGTTGTTTTTTGGAACTAGTGCATTTCCCAACGGTTTACTCTGTAATGGAAATGCAGTAAACATAATTCATATCATGCTTTAATCGATAAGGACAGCAGCATCTTACCGTTCTTGGCTAATCGAACGCTCGGGACGAGTTGCCAAGCGTCAAAGCCCCCCTCTTCAAGCTGTGGCGCCGTCTCGTGCCTGACAAGCACAAGGAAGGTGACCTGTTCCTCAGGGACGATCTCAATATGAAGGGACACGTCTGTCTCGTTCACCCACAGCGACCTGTAGGATAACCTGTCATATTTACTCATTGGACTTTGTGACGCAGTGACATAGAAAGGCTCAGGGATCGGTGCCGTGTGGTCCCTCTTCACCATGATCTCTATGGGTTCCTGGGTGTGGGATACTTCTACTATCCTGCTTGCATTATCCAGGATGTCTATGTAGACGCCCTTGGAGACGTTAGAGACCAAGGCACTGACACTGCTCTCCAGGAACTCGACTGGGTTGAAATTGAATTCTACTATCTGAAAGGTCCAAATTATGGAAAATGAATTTAATCTCAAGACTGACACAATTTTTTAAACTGCGATGCTATTTAGGTGTGTTTGTCTAGTGTGTATAGAATTTTAATAACATATTATTGCAAATACACAAACAAAACGACTGATCATTGATGCGTCGTTTTTAAGGTCAGTCTAATTATTGGAATATGTCCACCTAGCTCACACTCATATCCGGTAGGCCAGCTCATTGATGAACGCGATGAACGCTTAGTGTGACTCTTTAAATCAACTCACCTGTAAAGACAGACCGTCACCTCCATCCAACCCTGCCAATGACCCCGGGTGAAAATTGACCAAGGGTTGGTCCAGATTTTCGAGGTCAGTGGCGGTACTCTTCACTAGTATCACCGTCATGTCCGGAGTCTCTAGGGTGTACGTCGGTTCCCCGAGGACCATCTTATTTGAGAAGACACTCAGAACACTGTCCATACTCTTCGTCATCTTTGTCCAAGCACCATCTGCCTGTCAGTGGAAAGGTAATGCATGTATTACAGTTCAATTTACTTTGCATGGAGATGGAAATATTATCATTGTTTTTATTATTGTTGTTGTTGTTCAAACATTGCGTCAGGATAATTTTTTTCGCCAGTCTGCCAAGGCAATTGAGAATTCCTGATATATGTTAATAGTTAACATAAAATGTACAACGTGGCAAAGCGATGATAATTGCAATAAATAAATAAATAAATTAATTAATAAATACTCCCAACATTATTAACTCCAAATCTGACTTAACTTTTATCAGTGTCATCTCGCCTGTACTGCATAAGTTTGTTCAATGGCAATGGAATAAAAGCGTGGGTAGTTATATATTCATTAGCCATGTATTTCGCAAATTAAACCCACCTTTCTTTAATGCAACATATTGTGAATAATCTTTGGCCAATTCTGCTAAAATGAGGTTTTATTTTGTACCAATATATCCTTGATCTTACCACTTCCTTTTGGTTGTCATTGTTTGTCATTTTTGCAAAACCGTTCACGGCATCCTTCGCTGACAATCCATCTATGTCTGAAATAATGAATAATGACCAGTCATGAGTAATCTCTAAAATGTAATTCAGTATCATTTAAATTTAACAAAAATATACATGAATAAATAGAATTAGATAGATATAAAAACGAAAAATGAATTAGAATGATGTATCTGTAAAAATGAATGTACACTTGCTTAAATGAGTAAATTTATACATGTAAATAAGTTGCTATTGTATTGTACAGAAATTACTGAATGGACAAATATGGATAGTAAAAAAGTTAAATACAACAGTGTCCTTAAAACTAAATGAAACAAAGAGTGATAATATTCATATAATATTTCATAATCATCTATGCTAAGAAGGTTATATTCACACATAAAATAAATTATGGAAATACTTTTTAACTTAGTGTCCTCCAAGTCCGTGTTGTAAAATGCAGTTTTCAGAGATTCCTCAACATCTTTCTTTAATGGATTTTGGAGATGAATCGTTGTTGTCTGAAAGAATAATGCAAATGCGGTTGAGTCAGTAGGAGAGAGAGAGCGCATCAGGACGAGAGCGAGCGAGCGAGAGAGAGAGATAAGAAGAAGAGCGAAAGAGAATAGGAGGGCACAGATTCAACCACACACACACACACACACACACACACACACACACACACAGAAAGAGAGAGAGGTATTAAGCCAATAAAGAAAGATAAGAAGAAGAGCGAGAGATACATGTAAAAGGAGGGGATAGATTCACACACACACACACACACACACACACACACAGAGAGAGAGAGAGAGAGAGAGAGAGAAAGAGAGAGAGAGAGAGGGGGGGGGGGAAGAAAATATACCTCCAGGATGTTTCCCATGGTACCAAGAATTAAATTAACTAATGTAACAGTCTCCTCTATTGTCAAGTCTTCTGAGAAATCTTCGAGGCATTTGACAAAAGATTGGATGACTTCCACGACGACTTCCTAAAACAGATCGTTATACAAATGGGTTCAATGAAAATTAAAAAACAAGTCTAAACTAGTTTATGGTTTCTTTTTCACGTACAAGTAGTTCAAAAGCATTATTAAGCCCTGGTGTTTTCCTTCTAGACTCCTGTTATCATTATTTAAGAATTCAATTCAGGAGCATTGCACAAACATAGAAGAAATTCTAATAACTGACTAAACTGATACACCGTTTTTTATAACTTTTAAACTCTGCTTACTTACTTGACTTTCTCGGTGTATTTCAGAGGGTTTGCTCAGCACGGGGGCCAGGGTGCTAGCTTTGATTATCACCTGACTAGGTGTTTCTGAAGGGGTTGCATTTATTGCAGCTATCATTTGCTTCCGGATCTGAGAAGAACAGTAAATTATTCGTCTTTCCTAATAGTAAATGGTGGCATTAAAACCACGAAATAATTAAATTATGTCTCTGAATTTGAAATAGAATAAAAAGAACGATAACCGATCTTCTAATGTAAAGGGATGAATTTATTTACTTTTCTCACAACTTACGTCAGCGCCAGTTTGACGAATGTTTTCATTTTCTTCATCGGTTCTATTCTGAGCCTGAAAATATGGAACTTTGGATACATTACTAAACAAAACGTAAGGCAATTATGCATAGAATTTAAACACAAAAGAGATAATTTAAACATTTCTTAAAATAAATATCCTTTCCCAAATTGCTCTGATATCTTACCGATGTCCCCGTTCCCGTTCCTGCGCCTTCATCTGCAAAGAAAAATCCTGGAATCATACATGTACGTAAGGTAACCTAATACAACCTTTCATGTATGGACATACATGAATATACACACATCATTTAAATCTAATATAACAGTGTTAAATAATAACAAAATCTGCTTTAACTACCCCCGATACATCCTTGACTGTTAATAATCGATGCCCATGACAGTATTGACTGTGCAGTGTCGTCCAGGTTGCCGTTGGCCTCTATTTCTGACAACGGATTCTGGTCACCAGGAGCAGACAGCCTGTCACACAAAGCTGAAGCCTCTGATGCAGACACTGGGTTCACCTAAAGCATGAAAATATTGCGGAAATCCACGGTGTTCTCATATAACGATATTCATCAAAAAGATATATTAGGAGTCGGAACTTGCTTTGTAAAGGAATTTGATGTTAAAATGCGTTTAACGGATATTTAAGTTGCTTTGTGTGAAAAAAATACAATAACAAATTGAAACGTGGAGTTTGGGTGCTATTCTATCAACAACAACGCAAAAATGTTACCATACACCTATTCTCTAACTAAATATCTTAACTCGTATGCCATAAAAGACTTCTTTTTTTCTAGAAGCGCGTGTCAATAGTCAAGTCATACCTTGTATAAACACAACCGCATAAAAAAACTGAGTCATCGATTTACCTGTATCCGGCCTGCTTCCACGTTTGTGGTGCTGCCTTTAGTGTCCGATATATTGACGTAGACTGTCATCCAGTAATCGTGGGAAGATGGACCTAGTGGCATGGAGGTTTGGAGCAAACCCGTGGTCTTCATACCTAGTATCTTGGGATCGCTGGAGCCGTCCAGTATTGCTGTAAAAGATACCATGCCCTATGAACTGTATCGTTTGTCAACGACGTTATCTTTTGTGTAACTGGCTGGTTGGAAACCAAGACATCTTTCAAATTTATATTTGTCATTAACTGTGTTCATGTGTTCCAGCATAAAAATATCAACAAAAATACTCAATCAGATCTCCAAAACAAATTTTAAAAAGATCCAGATCCAGATGGCTATTACGTATGGAATTCAAAACAGTTTCAAATGTGCGCTATATATCGCTTCTGATTGGACTGTTTACTGTAAAGATTTTGGCATCACCAAAATATAGCTGTACACATAGTTGCACATCATCTCCTTTTTTAAACTTCTTTTTAAACTGGTTAATATACTATTCATGTATAATTTTTATGCTTACTGTAAAAAGTGTATGAGGCTATTCCATCGTTGTCATGCCAGTTGGTGCAATTTACAGTCCAATTCTTTGCTGCAGTGGCCTCCGATATATTTGGTCCTGCTGAGCAATAACCGCCCTGCGGTGGGGGGTTCACTTTAAGAACAAGTTCTGCCAGACCACTCCGCGAGGAGCCGATTCTGCTGGCTTCCAGTTTTACCCTTATCTTGGTGACGTTGGTTGTGACGGTGAATATGTCTGCCTTTATACTGATAGTACTGGACGAGCTTCCTAAAAAAAATAAGGGGTATGTTGTATTACGTAAATTGTCGAAAGACACCGGTTATTTTTTGGAACATATCACTTATGTTCTGTAACGCATATTCACAACAACGGCAAGTTGTATATAAAGATTAACATTTTTTATTGAGAAGACATAAATGAAGAAAATACATTCGTGTATGATGATTTCGCATAGGGGCTTTATTGCAAGAAAACATAAAACCCTGGGAAAATGCAGTGCGGTATGAAAGGATTTTTACAGTATTGTATTGTATCTGGAAATGGATTCAGCAACGCTTCTGTCAAAATACACACGTTCTTAGTGACTTACCGTTATGGCTGTCAAAATAATTTTCAGGAGCAGCAATCTTATGCCAAATGGTGAATTCTCCCTCTTGGCTTTCTACCTCGAGATCCCATTCATAATGTAAATTACCACCATAGCAACCATATAAACATTCACTGGTGAGAGCGATTCGCGAACGCCAGGGGACCACTTGACTGTTCATGGCAGGGCTACATGTTACTGTATCCCCAACACCGCACCTGACAAAACATGGCGCCAGTTATATTTAGAATGTAGTACTTTGTCTTTTTCCTTTTGATATTAACATTACTGTTGACCTTTTTAAATAGCCGCATACTCTTTTCTTTACAAAAGTAAATAATCTTCATTTGAAAAAGAAGCTTTACGTGAGGTAAGTTAAATTCAAAATCGCATAGTTTGAGAAGTCAAGTACATGTACATCTGAAATCGAATCCGAAGTGCAGTTATACATGCTGAGGTTATTTCTTCCTTTGCCAGGCAAAACCAAGCTGGCTTTAAGGAGAGGAAGGAAATGACGAAGGGGCACATGCTCGTTTCTGCTTCTAAAATTATTTGTATTATCAAAAACGCTGAAATACTGAAAAAAAGCTTGCCTACCCCTTTCAGATTCAAGATCTCCGGTTTAAACACGTCTGCGACTCACCTTATAGCGACCTCTGGAGGATCGCCTTCCACAATGTCTACCAGTAACACGGTGTATCCCTTTCGGCTCCCTTTATATGCGACCACAAAGACCTCATAAGTTGTGTTTATTCTCACATCGGTGGTGTTAATACTTAACTCCCCTGATGAACCGTTGATAAAACCTGGTCCATCCCCAAAACATCCACCTAAGTTAGTGCCATTTGCGGGGTCCCCTTGATCGCTAATGTTCCTTCGTAAGACATCGTACGGTACCAAGCCCCCAGCAGGAACTTTGAAATTCTCTCCGACTTGCCGACACAGGTATTCGAATCCAGTGAAGTTCTGTTGGGACAAAAATGATTGGTTTTGTGTGAATTGAGAAATATGAGCGATGCTTTCTCCACGAAAAATAAAAAAAAAATCGAAGGAAGGATACTTAAAACATCTCCTAAATTCTATATTAAGGTTGTGAGAAAACATGAGTGACGCTTAAAAATTGGGCACCGACATTCTGAACATTTTACCTGAGGTTTGTCTGGGTCCAGGTCCGGGTCTTTTGAGTAAGTGCCGGGTTTTAATGTCAGAATTCTACCATGTCCCAGACGAATCTTACTGGAAACTTGATCAATAGCCGCAACAACGATAGGAGTTTCCATCACCCTTACGTATGTGAATGCGGAGTTCGAAAAGTCGTCGTTACCAGAAGACTGGTCCAAAAGCATTCGGGTTGTAAAAGAGAATTTGAAGACACCGTAATCTAGAAAATGAGGCTTTAATGCAATCTCGGCTTCTTTTGCCGAAGATATCTCATCTAATGTTATTTCTCTTATAATATCTCCTGTTCTCTCGTCGACTTGATGAGCAGTCCACTGTTTGGAATTGCGCAAAGTAACCCCACAGTTGACTTCAGTTATCCCCTGAAGGTTAAAATAGCTACTTTTATATTCGATCCTCGGCTTGAAGAAATCAGGAGCTGGTTGGGAAATCTGGACATATGGAGGTACACAGTCTATATAGGAAATAGTAAAACTGAACGTACGGGTTTCGTTGGACCATTCATTAAATCCGTGCACGACCATCTGCTTCCGTCCGCTTTCCTCAAACGTCGTGGTGACTGAAATCAAGCTACTGGTTATGGCGCCCTTGTAAGTTGTATTTCCGACCGAGGCACATCTCGCTCGGGAGCCGAACGAAGCAAATCGAATCCCATCGAATTCAATGTAAACGCAGGAGTCTGTGCCCCTTGACTTCAGAAGGATGTCTACAGTTTTGTTCTCTCCTGGCGCACGCACTCTGCCATCATCGTAGATATCAGAGATCTCTACAGGTTCAAAGATGTTAATGTTGAGAGCGGTGCTCGCTGCACTGAATGGATTCTGGGCAGTTATATTCACTGTATAACTACCAACCTACAATGAAAAGAAGATTGAATTTATTTGAAAAAAAACAGGTAAATTTATTAGATACAGGTAGATAAAAGTAAAGCATGTCGTTTGTAATATTGAGTTAAACTCTCAGTTGCGATCTTTTATATACATTCCCTTTATCATACACGAGTTTCATCAAATGACTTAAATATGTCTATACACAGGCCTAACCAACTACCAGACTCGGCACATAAGGATCCCGAATTAACCGGTATATTGGACCACACTACCCGTTTTCAAGGTGTGTGTCAGATCGCATTTCGGAGTATCATACCCAAGAACAAATTTTGTAGGATGACCGCGGGCTCATCCTGTCGGTATTCTGACTGATACTCCGAAATGCGATCTGACACACACCTTGAAAACGGGTAGTTTGGTCCGATATACCGGTTAATTCGGGATTCTTATGTGCCGAGTCTGGTAGTTGGGTAGGCCTGGTACAGATTCCTACCGCTGGGAACAGCACTGCCGGCGGGTTATCTGACTTGACACATTGGACGACATGACTTATGTCATCTGTGTAAGCAGTGATATCGACTTTTTCAACGATGCCTAGAAAACAGAGATTATGTATCACAAAACTGTATATAATGTACACATGCATCCCCTTTTCGTTTTGACTTAAAAGGACGGAGCAAAACCTGGAAGTAACATAAGTTTCGGCTACCTCATTGTACTGGCATACACATTAGCATGTGCGTTTACTGATATATCTCGTCAACACCAGGCGCCTCAACTCTGGAAGTTCATGTAAACTTTAAGACCAAATTTTAGCCTACTGTGATTCGAGATAAATCAGCCCAGTCCAACTCAATGAATTTATGAACCTGTTTGCAGACCAAATCTTTTTGTAGAAAAATAGTTTCTGCATGCATATCACAGTGGAATATGTACATTTAGTACCTAGCATTTAGTAAAGTTTATTTTTGCTTCGTTTGCTGAATACTTTTGCCTACTAAATATGATTCAAATTCAGTCTTCAAAAAGTCATTGGATTTGGTAAGAGCGTTGCAAAAGAGCCAAAAATGGTAAAAAAAAAACTCGCCAAACTTGACATCACTGTCTTACATCGAACTTTTTAATCTTTTGCAACAAGTGTAGTGAAACACACACATCATAGCTACAGGCATATTTAGCCCCGATCGTGAAGTCTCTAGTGGCGCCACTTTTGTTTGCTCTGCTTAATTTCAACAGACTAAAACGTTCACAAATACTATGTATTATTATGTCATTACATTATGTACCGGTGTTATTGATGTAGAACTTAACGTCCCTTGTCAGCGGAAACGTGTCTCCGCCAAACCCCTCGATGTCTGGGCCACCTATCGGTATAAATGGCTGATACATCGCTTTGGCAGATATCCAGGTTATTTCTTCATAAAGACTTGTCTGGAAATACAATAACTTAGGTTGATAATTATCTTATTAATGCAGTTATACTGTAGTTTCATGTTTTTATATTTTTAGGGAAATTTAATAAAACACACAGTTAAAAAAGTGAAAAAAAAATATATATATACATAGTTGAAATTTTTTTAAAAATTCCTTTCGTGCCCACTTATTGGAAATTGTCCCATGTCTGACTTGTTCATGTCTGATTTGTTGCTAAATAACATATCAAAGCCTATATACTGTATTTTGGTACATATATTTCTTAATCTTAACTTACATCCACGGAGAACTGCACACTGGTAGCTAAGTTGGAGATGATAACTGTGCAAGAGTAAACCCCCGAGTTCACGGGCCTGGGGAGAATTCGTGTGCAGGGAGAGGTACTGCAGTCCAAAGGGGTGTACGCCTGCCCTCCTCTCCCCCACAGGACGGTAATAGCGGCCTCTGTGGGCACAGTACTGCCCGCGAACACCACCGTGATGTCAACATAACCTTGAAACATAAATTGTCCATATATGTATCTGCAAAAACATACTGCGTTTTTTCGGAAATGACATTGCAAACCGCATGTCAATTTACAAGGAATGTATGTTTTATGTGGTTTTGATAAAAAGAAAGTGTGAGACAAATAATAAGAGGTAAAACGGCTGTACGGCTTGGCAAGAGACATCGGAAAGCTAAACAAGTAAGAATGAAGATTGATTCTTCAGATCTCCTGAATAGGACAACAGAAATTTAGGGGCCTACATAACGAAAGCGCATACGTTAACTTCTACACGCAGCTCCAAATTTATCCTGACCACAAACCTAAAATCAAATTAATAAGATCTAATCATGGAAATGCCTCACCAGAGCTTCCCAAAGTAGGAGCAGATGAGGAAACACTAAAGTCGCTCTCAATGACGGGGTGTTGTACAGCAATGTAGTAGGTCTTTGTAGTGTTACCAAGGGGACTAGTGGCTGTTACGGTTATGGTGTAGTTCCCCACATATGTATACGTGTGGTCGAGAAGGTCTTCATCCTCAGACCTTACACCTACAACATAAAAAAAATTAAGCACAGAAAAATAAAATGGTTCATATCTGTATATAATAGTATCGGTGTTGTTCACGGCGGTTCAGTAATGGCAAGATTAGGTGACAACAATCTTTTCATTTTAATAACTGGATTTTCATTGTGCAGAATCTTTTAAACACATTGTGCAGAAGAGACAGCTTTTTTTTTTTTGAAAATCTAGCCACTTACTAAAGGAAAATGTATAAACATTGAACATGATATTTGCAGAAAAAATCATGAAGATCAGCGTTACCTTGTCTGTCAAATTCATGTACAGTAGCGTCATCCCCAAAGTGAACATAGAACCTGACGCGTTCGCCTCTGTACATTTTGATCTTCAGTGTGATTGGCTGGTTAACGGTGGCGTGGGCGGGCTCAGAGGACAGGCGCATATCCTGAACCGGTTCAAACACCTCAATGGCTGCATTCAGCACCATGGAACTCATCAGATTACTAACGTTCACGCGCAAATCGTAGGCACCCTTGGCTTGGTATTGATGTCGGTATACTTGATCTACCACAAAGTTCTGGAGCACAGGATCTGTACCGTCTCCATATTTAATTTCAATCTGAGCACCCGCAATTGGATCGCCACCTGTCTGTGACACGAAAATGTCACACTGGCCCGTTAGGAGGAAAGATACAGGGCTGTTGGTGGACAAGCTTACGTTAGCAATGGGGGTGAGGACGTGGATTTCTTTTGTAAGTGTGTGGTTGCCCACTCCATTGTAGACCGTCACTGTTACGGAATACGTGCCTCCACGAGAGAAAGAATGGTTACGGGTTATCTCTTGCGTCGGGACAGCCTCTATCCAAGAAGATCTTGGTGGTGTAGTGAACAAGAACGTTGTGCCATCATTGAAGTCAAATTCTAGTTTGACACTGGTGCCGCCCTCTATCCTCAATGTGAAGAACACTTCATCCTCAACCAGAGCGTACAGATTGCTGCTGACAAGAGTTGGATACATTATCGCTTCGTCTATGGTGAAATCCACACTAATCACGTCCTGGCTAAAATCATTAAATGCTCTCAACGTCACATTTGTCACCGTGACCGAGGGACTTTGGATGGGACTAGCCCAGCGGCCCTGTTTAGAAAGAGCATTGTATTCAACCGAATACTGAGTACCATTGATGAAAAGTTCAAACTCTAGGTCAGTTCCAGTGGCGACTTCAAACTCGATATAGTGAAGCTGGTTAACTCCCCCTCCCTCTTTCAGCAGACGCAGTCCCGTTACCACCTCTCCCAGTAGGACGGTCGCTGTGGCGCTGACGCTACTGGCCAAATTAAAACAAGTAACGTTGACGACAAAAATACCCGACGTATTGTACATATGCGAGATGCTAGCCCCCGTCAACAAAGCAGCAGACCCCAAAATAGTCTCCGGCGTAGTACTGTCCCCAAAGTCAATCGTGCATTTATAATCAGTGCCTCCGGTTGTGTTGAAGGTGATGCCGTGGGCTTTAAACATCTCGCCGTGAGAATCTGTGGAGACGTGAACACTTGTGACCGGATCAAGTACTGTGACCACCGTAAAGTTGGTCTTGTCTGTCAGAGCATTGAATGCCCGCACGGTGACATTGTACGTCCCGGACAGACTGAACGTATGCACAAATGTCGGCTCGGAAACTGTTACGGTGTTGCCATTAGAGATCGTCCATTGGTAGGTGAGCGGTTGACCTTTGTGGAGGAAAAGTAAAATGAGTAGGGTTTTGATAAGCTCGTGCTCATCGACATGATTTTTTGAACCTCTATTCATGAGGATAAATCATGAATTAAATAAAATTGGAGTTATATTTGTGATCGTTTTGTTTTAATACTCTGTCTACGCAATAATTCTATTCGTGTTACACAGTGTATATAACTTTTTGATTAATGGGTTAAAAAGTCAAAACACGCACCTGTATGGGGTGTAAGTTCGAAAGTGATAGGTACCCCAGTTTGGACGTATTCCGGGCCGATGATGACGGTTTCGTTAATTCCATCCAAGACCTCTGTAGTTGCCGTCAGGTGCACTGCATTTGGGATCATTTTATTGGTGACCGTCAGGTTTGTGGTGAAGTTCCCAGTGGCACGGTAGGAGTGGCAAAGCCGGACAAGAGAGGGCCGACTGGTCGCGGCACGGAGATAATGACGGTGGTCATCTGGTGGGTGAACGTCACTGGACGTGTCTATTACCTCGTTAAGATTAGCCGTTGCGTTAGTGCGTTTCAGGTCAGATTTTTCTCCTGGGAAGAGTGGCCGAGTCACCAGGCTGCCTCCACGGTTCACATACCCTATGACATCACCACACGCCGCCTCAAATGACCCAGTGGCACTAGAAAGAAAAAAATTGGTGTACAACATCGAAAAAGACCGGTTTGTGTTGACATCAGTCTGTCTTGTCTCCTTTATTATAAATAGCTAAACCCGCACTACCGGTATGTTGGAAAGGTGTGTACAGAAAATATACCTTCTTGAAAAACAGAGCGACGCATGTTGCTTAAAAGGTGTGATGATGTATCGGTTATTCAACAGACATTGAAATCAGGATCGTTGCGTGTTCAAAAATAACATTGTTTTTCAAGACATCAGCTTATTTTTTCCAATATTCAAATCCCTCCCCCTCTCCCCAAAGAAACCAAACCCTTTCTTCTTACCTTGCAAATCCGTACCCACCAGAGCTGATCGTATGCGACATGACGTACACAACTTTGTAAGCGGCCGCTATGGGAAGTGAAGAGCGGCCAGGTTCAGTGCAACTTCCCCCAGGGGTGGAGATACAGCAGGCGCGGACCGCGGAGAACAACGCTGGACAACTGTGTTGAAAGGGCGTGGTGTCACACGTTGCATTGCAGATGTTGGCTGAGCAACAGTATTGTTGGCCACCAGGACAGGAAGGTCTCAGCACCTTAGAGGTGAAACCAAGTCTAAAATATTTTTTCAGCAAAATATTGTAAAACTACTTAAAGTGACTCAAGAATCGATACAATAATACCGTTATTAAACGGAACAAATAAATTTTTGTCTATCCATAAATTGTTGGTAATGATAGAAAAAGAATAGTGGTATATTCACAAATTTAAATTTCCTGTCTGTAGACTGTAGATGACAACCGCATCTTTTGCAGAGAATTTAGTGTTTTCTAAATTAAAATGTTTAACAAAACATACTGTACGTTTTATTTTCACATTTTAAGTAGTATTGGACAGGATGCGTTTGGATAGTAGTATGTCCATGTATCTCTGTAATATAAAATCATTTAAAGTCTCCCTCTCTCTCCTTTATTTTGTTTTATGTGGACCACCATTTCCTTGACAAAATTAACATATGTGAATCGTAAAACAAAGGTACAAACCAAGAAGTCCACATCCCCAGGACTGCCAGCGTAATACTCAAAGTTGACTATGGTACCGGGTTCCAATATTTCTGATTGAGGCATAATGTGAACGCCAGATGAAGAATTGGTCAGGGTGGAACCATCCACAGGTACTGCAGGACCAACGCTTCTGCGCCTAGGTTCTTAATCACAAAAGAACATGTCACTTTGTTGTGTTTGAACTCCAAAAGAATTGGCTGCCACATACATTATCCATCATTAATTTCTATTATTTTAATATTATTTGCATTAATTTCGTAATGTGTCTTATTATAAAGTTAATTTACAAAAGCGAAAAGCGTGAATTTATCAAGATTGGATTTCTTTTTAACTGAGGAAACATTTGTACAACTGACAAAATTATAAATAATGAATAAGAAAATAAAAAAAAACAAATACCGGCAACGGAGAAGGACTCGTTTGATCCATCACCATAGTCAGCAGTTACTTTCATCTGACTCCCCGCTGCTATGGAGGCGTTACAACAAGCCACGTCCCAGGACACTGAGACTGGTGGACAGGACAGTTGAACCCCAGCAGCAGGCTCTTGTACCGATACAGATACAGCAACGGCAGCGGTCTTCTCCTATATTACAAAATAAACCAGACGTGCTTGACTTAAACTACATACACCCGTGGTATTCAAACCTACTGGGATATTTTAGCTGTTAATAGTTGATGACAGACACGTACAGCTATTGTAACGTGCATAGGAATATTGTCACGCTGGAACTTTAAAAACAATACCATCAAAATAGACTGATATAACTGGAGTGACTTTAAAAAAAAAATTATTTGGAATATAATGATGATATTTCTTCGCGCATAATATTATCTTATAAGGAAAAGTCTGCTAAAATATTGAACAAACTTTCGTATTTTATATAAATTTAGACAACAAAAATCTGGTTACCTCAGGTGTTCCACTTCTATCGCTCGCAAACATTCTAACAACATAGCTTCCCGCTTGTGCAAAGGTCTTGCTGAAAACACCTGTGGCACTCCACTCCGAAAGCCCTGCACCGTCACCAAAGTCCACACGGTAGGAAACGTTGCCTTCTGTCACCGTTGCCCGTACTATCCCAGGGGCACCCACAAGAAATTCCCCTGTCGTCACCGCCAAACCACGGATCTCCGTTGTGGCGCGATAGATACTGTAATGTGATGGGCCACCGCACGTCTCACCGGAAATAGCGCCAGGGCAGACGTCAGTGCAGTTGTCGTCTGTTACTAACACCGGCGGGAGTGTGTCTGAACACAGACAGTACTTTCCAGCGAATAAGACAGCATTTTTGTAGCCTAAGGTACCACACTGCGTCTTGCATATTGTGGGATTGATGGTAGAGGTGTTATAATTCCCCGCAGAAGGAAACGGCTTTGATTTTTTGTAGCATCCCAAATAGCTATCTGGAATTATAAAAAAACAAAGTAAGAAAAAAATTTGAGAGAAACGAAATAAAAATAATATTAGGTTACAATATACAGAGGGAGCTTTTTTCCAGAATGAATCTCCAAAGTGTCAAACTTTCAACAAGTTTCGTAGAAAAGATTTTTCAATACAGACTAAAATTTAAAAAAAATACAGATGATGCGGCATTCATAGATTGTTTATGTAACGACTAAATGAGTAGTTCGTAACACTGTCCCAGTCGTAATATTTTTTTTTTAAATCTAGATTTATGCACGACAAAGCAAAGATCATAAATAGATAATTCAAATTTATTACTGGCCTTGCAATCCAGGCCAATTGACGAAGCTGAGTCTCCCACTCGTATGCTAAAGTCTGTCCACACACAATGGTCAATAGAAGTGTCACCCCTACTGAACCAATACTTTGGGGGAGATAAATGACTGTGGAATGATATGCTCCTGGTATCATTTTATTAACATCAAATTTCACCAAAAAAAAAAAAAAAAAATGTAGACCAGGCATTATTACTACTCAAGATCTACTTACTTTGATTATTGATTAATTGATTATTATTTGATTACTCTGATTCAGGGGGTGACACTTCTATTGTCCATTGTGTGTACTTAGAATTCAAGTAGAATTCTCAGCGACAAACGACAAGATCCATATATTTTCCATGAACTCACTCCGTTGCAAAAAACACATAATGGCCATTAGCGCTTCTGTTTCATATATTATGCAATGTTATTATCCTATAAATAATATATATGTCAATTATCTAAATTAACCTCTCAGAAGGAAACTGATATGCCGATGCACTACATTGTATCACAAGACAACAAGACACCTTTCATTACAAAATCCTACAGGCGTTACTAATAGTTACTCATAGTAGGCCTAAAATGCTTGTCAGTATACCCTAGACATCAACATATATCTACATGTAGTAATCTAGAACAACGGACATAAGCGACAAGGGCGGCACATGCCTTATAAAAAACGTGTATAATGTATAATCTCAGCTAGGAACAACGACAAGATTTAAGTTAAGCACAGCAAATAGAAAAAGACTGCACTGTACTGGTTTATTCGTTACTGTATGGCGATGAATGACCGATCAAATCAACTTCGTGAAGACGTTATTCAGCTTCACCCGTTGTCAGGTGAACAGAAAACACAGTGAAGCGCCAATGCGGTCTCTATTGAAACAATGTCGTACATTTTACGGTAAATTAAGGGAAAAAAGTTTCAGAAAATGGCATGCTCTTGCGATCGATCATGTGAACAATGGGGAGACTTGTGTTCATCGATCTTGGAGTGGTTTACTGCCAGCAGTTTAATTGCTTTTTAATTAATAGCCGAGTGTGGATGTTTGGTGATCACCACACTTTTAGTAACAAGGAAATTAATCTTACTGTGGTCGATATAAAACTAGAAATGTTTTCAATATCAGGATATCGTCTAATGGCTCAATTTGTTGTTGGTTTGAATGGGACGAAACTGGCATATATACAGGCGTTTAACAGAAGAAAATCATTCGTTACTACATTTAAACATAAACAGGCACAATAATATTCCAGTAAACATAGTAAACAAAAAAAAAAATGTACATGCCATTTACATTATATATATTATTATATACATTTTATATAAAATGTTATCCGACCTTTTAAAACTGCATGATGCATTTTGTCCTGCCGAAAAGATACGATTCTAATTTTTTGGATAGAAATTTTTATACAAGTACACAAAACAATTAATTATGTTGTATTTCAAATGATATTTTGATATATGTCATGTAAGAACAATGAAAATATGTGCACTATTTGTTTGGATATTCATTTTTATGTTATAACATTACGTAACTTTAATTAATTCAACATTATCTAATGCTATAAATAATTAACGCTATATAAATGGACCTTTCAATAAAAGCGGCCGCTACCGGCCAAATTTCGAACACCATATTTGTGTATTACTTAGACTTTCGCTTGGGTTAATGAGGAGACATAAAGGTCTTAACTTGAATAAGAATGTTGTGTAAAAGAGGTGAGTACTAGTACATGTACACCCGCAAATTCATATATCAATGACAATGACAACAGCAACACTCATTTCAGTCAAGAGATAAAACTTATGTTTAGCATAATTTGGAAATGTATTTCAATATATTTAAAAGTATGCAATTTGTGTTGTGTAGGGCTTATCCCTTTGGCTCCGCCTATACACTACTAAACACTTAATATCTGAGTATCATATATCAAGGTAATATATTCTCTAGACTGCAAATTGGCCACATAAACATATAAATTATGTGCTTAATGTCAACTTCTAGTGGTCACTATTCCGTATGTGGAGATCTCTTCCTGTTCCGGTTACTCTTTAATTGCATTGTAATGAGTACAATACCACTTAAGTTAGTGGGCACTTAACTTCCGTATGTATTATGTAATTTTCAAACTGCAGCTTAGGTCAGTCTTGCCACAGTTTTTATTGAATGCTTGTAAGTCACAGGTTTTTTTTGTATAGTATATGGAATCATGGCATGCTTATATGCACGACTGAATAATTACTGTAAATAGAAAAATATAAATATGGCCATAGTGTGGGCAAAATGAAAAAATTCGTTTAAATTATCAGTGCCAAGTTTAGTCTATTGTATTGATAATGATGATAATAATAATAATAATCTTTTTCATAAATTGCAAACCATTGCTTGAAGATTTACAAAATGTCTAAAAATATAAATTTTAAGAAACCAGAATAGAAAGTGGCATTTATTATTATTATTGTTGTTGTTGTTGTTGTTGCAGTTGCTGCAGTAACTTTGACCCAGAGGCGGTACACATACATGTATATGCAGTCTTGACATTGAATATTTCAGTTTTAAAGGTATTTTACAACATTGTTCACCCGTGCCAGAATGGTGCGAAAAAGTAAGCCATGCCAGACTGATTATAGTGTGTGCCTCGTCTAGAATGACCAGGGTCGTTGACAGCGTATTTGGAGTGGGTATCACATTGGTGCCAAAAAGACAGTGGTAGTCATCGATGAAAACCAGAACCACATCAAATGCAAAAATAATTTGGGAACCACTTGACTACCATATGATAGGGGCACCTATAAGAAACAATTTTAGGTTGCACCGGGAAAATACCGGTTCACACAGAGCATTTTTAATCGCAGATAACTTACAGGGCCAAGGGCATGAACAGCTACCTTGGCCATCAAGATTGCCAGATTTCAACCACAGATACAATCTGTTTGTAGGTCATTACAAGCCAAGGGCCTACTTGTCCAACAACAAAACTGAACCAAATTGGACAAGTTTTGACCGATGCCTGAAATGTTATTCCAGATTAAACTCCAAAAACCTATCCCAAAAAATGCTTTGTAGCACCCAGATGAGGTCAGACGCACTAACGGCACTGGCATGCGGGTCCTTTGTGGGGCATGTTACTCTTTTACAGATGAATACTTGGAAAATATGGATATTCAAAATATGACTTAGAATCAGCAATGTATTTTTGTTTGCTTCACTGGCGAATTCAATTAAAGAACTGATGTCACCGTGACATCAAACAGATTATTAAAAGTTATTAAAACTAAATTTCAATCCTTTTTTTTTATTTATCAGTCCAAAAAATAGGAAAAAACTGATGAAAATGATTTGGAAAATATTCCATATTAAATGTCAAGTCTGTACATATATATGAAATTTGACTTTATTATAAGCCATTCATTGCAATTTTAAGTGTTTATCACCTGTTTCTTTATGGATTTGACTTAAAATATATCAAATGTGCTACTCAATTGGCGACATTTCCTACATTTGTTAAAAAGTAAGTAGGCCTGTATCAGATATACAAGCATCATTTTCTTTCTTTTTTTTTGTTCTCAGTGAAACTGAGGAACAAACCTTAAGTGTTTGAACTATTTCAGGCCTTTAAGTAAGAGTGCATCTATCTATCTATCTATATCTATCTATCTACACTAAGTACACCCGTCTATGTCTACATAAATGAATAACATCTGCCGTACATTGGAACAAGTAAAATAAAAAAGTTTACTAAATAAGCCATAAATTTTCTGGCATCTTTAACAGTATGGTAAAATTGCATATCTGCTGACATAGTCCTACTATCTTACTTACCAGCCTCAGCACCCCACACCTACAAAAGATAAAAACATTCCAAAAACAAACCGTCTGATAAAATTTGTTGAAATCAAAGCAATTAAGTTTTAAATGAACGGCTACTCAGAGATACAAATAGTCAAATATTCTGTGTATTTTTATAGGCTTTAAATTAAAAAAAAAAAAAACAGATAGATAGACGAGAAATATTGGAGGTAGCTTCTAGGATTAACATGCATTTTCCTCCTTACATCATGTCAAACAATAATTATTTCAATCCACGGCAATATAAGATAAATCTTTCATAATAAAACACATGTAGTTGTCCATATCTATTGTTATGATGGTGAAAATACGTCATTCAAACAATGCTTTCAATTCAACATTTGGTATCATTTGCAGTTCAGGCATCAGAATGGCCGGAACAATACGTTTTTTGCATCTTGTTAATTACATATGGTGTTAACAAGGATAATTTAACAAGAAGGGAAATGTTTAGCCCTGAACCTTTATACACTTTTCAATGTGACAAATTAGAAAAAAAATGCTACTTACCAGACACACCAAAGAAAGCAAAATCCAAATTGGTGCCACCAATTTCATTTTTACATTCTGATTTCTATGTCAAATCATATCTCATTAAGATTCTACGCAGTTATGTGCCCAATGCCTCACGCAGCAGTATTATGATGAACAAGGACCAACGCAAAACTTGGCAATACAATAAATTGAATATGAATAAACCATCTGTGTTTTACGTTTCAATTATTCAAACAACCATCCTGTGAGCTGTCTCATAAATTCGATATCTAGAGATCGAGCAGTCTTTCAAAGCGTCAGCAAGACAAACACTTCACCTAGTTCATATGTCCACATTGCTGACAGACGAGCAAACGTCAAGTAAAGATTAACAATGGAAGATTGTATAAACAGAAAAAAATCGACTTTTCTTTTATATCAACCTATATCTAAGTTTGGAAGATCCATTTTGGCAAAACGATATGTTCCATTTGCACTATTCATGAGCTGGTTGTGCTGAATAAAAAGGGAACTCTCTTGAGTGTTGCCGCGAGATCGATTGGTGCCATTATCTCCTTCCGTTCACGTCATGGACTAGTTCGATGTAACAATCAGTAAAAACAGAGCTCTTAGTTGAAAGGATACTGCATACACACCTGGAATAAACAAACATGCACATCTCACATTAAGTTGTCAGGGGCTCTGATACGTAAAACATTTAATTGATCAACTTTTATCTAGGGCCTACAGGACGTTGCTCGATATTTGTAATATTTCCAATAACTTGTAGGGATAGAATGTCCATGGTAGCTGGATAATAACTGACATTGGCTGTATAAGTTGATTGGCTTTGATTTCAACCATTTGTTACAAAACTACCTTCGTTTGAATTTGAATTTCAGAATAATCTTATTTTAGTAACAGTTGGACGTGCAGAAACTGGCTAATAACAATATCAGGAAGTATCACATTTGAATTTTATGTGTTAGATGATGCTCGTTAGCCAACTTTGGTTTTATGTTTCACACAATTACCCATTCATTTAGCAAGGTAGGAGTTTTCTTTTAAAAAAGCCAAATGCCTTCAGTACAAAAGCGGACCGTAAAATAAAGGTTCTAATGTTCCATTTGTTGTATTGACATAGGTACAGGGGTGAATTATTTTAAAGTAAAATCATGTTCTTATCTGTGTACACAATTTATGGATACTTGACGTAAATTCAAAGTGCCCACGACTTTGACAAGACTTCTTAACGGCATATACATGTATACAGAGGGCGATACACACGCGCCGATTGCCTTAGTTGATACGCTAAGCTACCACAATGTAGAAGGCGTGCAATCTTCCAATTGCTTGTTGCTTTGTCTTCTTAAAATATTCACAGATGTGGCTAGTGGATCCGTAACATTAACACATTCCACTTGTTAGCTTAATTGGTGATAAAAACGACTGAACGATATAATACAATTTTTAATCCTGAAAGGCAACATGAATGATGAGTGTGATTTAAATCAGTAATTACTATGAAAAGGTAGAACATTTCTTCAGGTGGCGTATCAGTGCAAATGTAGTAAGTTAATCTTTTTAAACCATATGCATATTTTTTATGTATGATGTTGACACGTATGCGTGCCCTTTAAGGTTAAAACTTCTGATGACTACCCAACTATTTCCAAGAAATTGGGCATCATCGCTAGTTGGAATTGAAAACCTACGTGTATAACTACCCTTTCGGTATCTTGGTTCAGTGGAATACTTACCTAAATACCAGCTCCCATGCAGAAGCTGTCATTAGAACTTTTTGATAAAATTTGACTTTACCAAAGATGGAATAGATGGGAAAATTGGTTGTACTCTATTGGTCTCGCCAAGGAACCATACTCGTTTGTCTTCGCGTTTTATTACAACCTCAAAGTTCATATACAGTTTAATTATGATATTGCTGTGTTTAATATCCTTTGGAATCCTTACAATGTTTTGTTGACACAAAGGTTACAACATAAATGAAGATGTATGCGGATGCGTTATGGTGGCGTACGTATATGGAGGCGTTTTAACAACAAAATGATTTCGTTGTTATATGCACATCTATGTTTCATGCACATTCCCAATATTGTATTCGTCTGATCTCCATTATCAGAGGGTCGTTATAAGAGGCCCTTTGTTTGAGAAATATGCGATTTCAATGATTGCTACCGTCAACTTTTAATATTCTCCTTTTTCATTTCCCTTACCGACGTTATATTTATACGCGTTCTAGGAATACATATCTTCAATTTTAGAGGGGTATTTGAGGAAACTGAGCACAAAAAGGCCCATTAAAGCCACAGGAGGCGGATGGGGCACAAGCTTTCATAGTGACAAACCATTCAAAAATTCTATACCGCCTCTCATAGTATTTTGTATTAAAAAAAAGAAAAAACAAGTCTACGTCAATCACTTATAGTGGTTAATGCAACATTTCATGCCACGTAGAAAATTTTCAGTCAGGGGATGATTGGCCTCCTTCACATTTCCTCTTTTATCCCCCAAGGAGTTCGACGTGGGTGCAAATTCAGCTATGCCAAGCCATGGAGTTACTTACAAGAATGTATAAATCCTTAGGGTCTTTGTTTATCAAATGACTACAATGTTTTTGCTCTGTTTATGTGATTCTAACGTTTCAGCACCTTATTAATTTGCCCACTTTTAACATATGAAAAGCACGAACAGGACTGAGTTTACATGTCAACGCAGGAGAATATTTTTTTTCGTTTGTTGTATGCTATTGAAAGAGTAAATGTAAAAGCTTTGCATATCATTTGCTTTTAAATGTTACCGTAGTGCCTACGCATTCCTTACCCCTCCTTTAACTCCATAACACAACAAAATGTCTTAACATCGTATGCATGTTATATGAATATTTATTGTTTTCACGCGTCATTCATATATTTTGTATCTACAACATGTAATGGAATGTGTCTTAATTTTTGTTATAACAACACAGAACTCGTTAAAAATTCTATGGTTTACATAGAGTCAACAAATGAATTCTTTTAAAAAGAGGATAGTTCTTAAAAAAGACGACGTCACTGTATGATGTCCCTTCGCAGCAGCTAGGATCCATATATTAGGTCCATATATTGGGTCCAAGTACAATATTATCTTCTTTTTCCAAAATATTCGGCTTTGGTGATCCTCATGCATTTTGCAATCGGAAACAAGGCTATTGAAAATCCTGTCGGGCATTCATTGACAAGCAAAAATTAAGTGGCGGGGGAGGAGGGTAGAGAAAAGGTCACCTATAGTTCACTTGGCCACCATGGACCACAAATTGTACGACAGAAAATAATGGCAGTTTAAACGCACAGCTTGACTTGCATGGCGGCGGAGTGGAAATCATAATCCCGGCCCAAAAGACCCCAAGAGACTCTTATACGCCAACGACAAAAAAGAACATAAAATGGCGTGAAATCGTAGACTCTGCACTCAGACGCACGGGAAATTCTTACAAAAATAAACCTAAACCCATTTTCTTTATGGTTCGAAACCTATGATTGACTTTTATATTGACTCACGCACTTTAAATGTTAACTTAGTGCTTTATCTTGGGAAATGAATGATTGCCAGCTAATGACATAGATGGAAGGTCACGATCTCATAGCTCGTGTGAAAGATTACAGAGTTAAGTACTCTCTAAGACTTACTACAGTGTACAACACTGCCCTTTGTTTGGCCTTGCTGCCTGTATCTGTTTTCTTGTCAATAGACATGGCTAAGATGTCGGTGGCCATGTCGAAAGAAAATAAAAATTTTTAAACAAAAGTTTGAAGAGAGCAGACAAAATGCAACACAGATTCCTTGAATGTACAATCCTCACAATAACGCTTTTCAGGAACGCCGAAAATGCTATCTAGTTTAAACTGATTATACCCGGTACGAGTATCTATTTATATACTGATAATCATCCTACTATAAAAATTTGCAAGGGGCTCAACATAGACAGAATATATAAGGTAAGCAAAAGTTGTTTTCCGAGACTGGCCTAATTACGTCACGCTTATCCTAACCTGTATGAATTAGTGAAGGTCGGACGCTGTTAAATGGATCCTAAGTTTCTTGACACTGGGCACTGGGCGTTTTCTGTTTCATTTGTTTACTGTTATTTCACCCCACCTTTATGGCTCATGTCCACATGACTACCAATATTTCTAGGCATGCACTTCACAACATTGAGTACTTGTATTGTAATGCATTATTATTTATCATGTTTATCTCGTTATGCTATTTGCTAACATGGGTATATGTATGTGTTCTTTGACATACATATGGAAGGCATAACTCTAGCAACTTATTAAGTATTCGTATTTTTTAAGAATACTGGATCTTCATGTCTGATAGTACTCTTAACAATTAAGAAATATGTACGTAAACCGCCAATATATATATTATATTCTATACTTTGTCAAAATGTTATAGACGAAACATATGGGTCAAGGTGTCTGGATCATGTAGGCTAAAAATGGGGTTAACAAACAATATCTCGTGGCTTGTGTAGGGGGTATTATGAAGAAGATTTTTTTTCGTAGTACAACCGACAGTTATGTTGAACGACCAGTTGACCGAAGACATGCATAGCGGTATGTTAAGCCATGAGAATCAATGTATGCTTTCATATAGTATTCTGTCCGAGACCAAAACTAGATATATCTTCGTAAACATGCACAAAACCTGTATAACAGATACCCAGTGAAAAAGGACACTGTGATTTGTTTCAGGGGCCGATGTTGAATCATAATAAGTTAGTATGTGTCTATGTATGTTTTTGAATCAATTAGTAACATTCATAAGTTTTCACTTAAACCCCTCTCACACTGGAAGGCGACCCTTGTGCGACCTTTATGCGACCATGAAACTGGCCAGGCCGATGTTGGAGGCTCGGAGGAGGTACAATTGATCGTGATTTTCACGCCTCGCCGTGGACCTCATGGTTACTGCATGGTTTTGAACATGTTCAAAACAATGCCACAAAGGTGACAGTATAGAAGTTGGTTACCGCACAGTTGCTCAAAGGAAGCAGAGAGGAGGTACAAGCAGAAGGGATGCTCAATGATCTGCAGGCCCGTAGCCAGGGGGGTTGAGGGGGTTCGAAAGAATCGCCCCTTTTGCTTGGAAAAGGTCCACTTTGGGTAAAATTTGATCTAGGTACATGTACATAACGTTTTTATGGGAAAAGGTCCACTTTTGAAATTGCTTGGCTACGGGCCTGCTTTTGAAATTGCCGGCTACGGGCCTGATCTGCCAGTGGTCGGCACGTAATAGATGGTATCTGATGGAAACAGCTTGTGGCCTCACACCAGCCTCCAAACCCGAACTCCTTTTGTTTCTAACTTCCTGATCCAACCAACTTTCGAAGGTAACAACATGACAAATATTCGGTCGCGATCAAGATGCAATTCTTGTTGCATTTTTTGCAGAGTTCACTTGTTGTGAACACGTTGAAACCTTCTGTGTTTACTGTTTGTGGCGGACTGATTAGGTTCGCAACTTCTCCAGACCTGCCTATCCTCTTATGAGGATGACAATTACCATCTGATTATCAGTGCATGAAGACCTTTTATTACTGTACTTTGCTAATTATTTATTTTCTGGAGATGTTCTTAATTGGCTCCTCGGGGTAGAATTGATGAAAAAATAGGTCTATATATGCATTGACTACCATCGCAATGGACGCCGTAGGTTGCACAGGGCACACAAGTTGCTCTTTAGACGCACAGATTGCTCGTAGTTCTACAGGAAAAATCCACATTTGATGGTACAAAGGATGCACATGCAAGGGTTGCAGGAGCGTTTACACAGAGACACGATTTTCTTTCTAGAATGGACTAAAAGGTGTCAGCTCAGTGTAAAGGGGGGTTTATGTAAGTACATAATGTTGATAATGCAGAAAACAGAACCATTACCCTTTCATGTTAACATTAGGCTGTGTTCAGATTAAAAGTTATTGGTCCAGCACGATCGATCTATCTTTCGATCTAGGGCGCAGTCATCGTAATCAGCTTTATTGTCTGGCACTCAAACAGTAAAGTCAAATGGGATAATTAAAAGGTGTTTGATGCCAGCAATATTTAAAAATAGTGTACATCAGACCGTGATTGGATTAAGCCAAATGTTTTCGTAGAATTAAGGACGCCAGAGATTGGCTTGATAGATGAAATAGACAAAAGCCAACAAATGTATATAACATGAGATGAATCGCTCGATTAAACACATTTGTGAGCGAGTAGGATGCTGCAAAGCAGTAGCACATGCTTCCCTGAGACGAACGATAGACAGATTATTTATTATGAGCAGAAAATACAAAATATTTTTTACAAACCCCTAAATACACTTAGTATATATACAATAAACGGTAACACAATGTTAGCATTAGGAAAATAAACAGTTTACAGCATATATTTAACGACACACGTCGTCGAGCGTAGTCCCGCCTCCCCAAAGATTTTCTGCCGAGCTAAAAATCTAATGCAGGATACTCGGCGTAAACAGATTGCCATAGGGCAAAAACACAAAACATGTTGCACTGTTTGGATTTCACCGGTACCACAGGTACATTTCCGATCCTCTAAAGGGACGCAGGAGCAACGGCCCATCTTCACTGTCAGGCCACAATGGCTAAATGGAAGAACTAGTATAAAAATAACAGCTGCTTGTTTGGAATTCGATTTGCCAGTAGGCTCTATTACGCACACTCACACAAGCATGCACACACGCGCACCGCACCATCTATGGCTGTTTATGATATGTAATAAAATTCCACATACGTGGGACGCTTTGAACTCTTCAGTCATAAACGGAGTATGTAAAATAAGGCTGGTTGGGCTTATTACAGTTATCTTAAGAACGCACTTGACGAGGCTTTGGTATTGTCAGCTAGCAGTCCCACGCATTAATTCAAAAAATCAATCCAGCACCCATTGGAACTTCACTTAATGGTTTTTCATAATCAAATTTCATAAAGACCTTCATGATTTATCTATTATTAAAGATAAAGAATCACTATGATGCATGGCACTGGTAAAATCCAATATCAGTTGAGGTGACTAAACATTAATCTACTTAAAAGGGCTAGAACTTTATGGATCATTTAGAATTCTGTAAACCCACAGGTGCGTGCTGATGAAGTGATTTTTTTTCATTCATCCTTGTGAATGTTTCGTCGTCTTGGTACTCAAACATCTACGAAATGCTTTGTTTTTACATTCATGAGCTGCAGACAAGTGTTCTGCTGTAGCAAGAACGTCAATCTTCGACGTCCTTGACTGTAGTAGCGAACTTCATAAGTCCCCCTAAGTATGCCGCAAGGTATTCAAAAGATTACAACTTGACATCCCTTGTAACACGTCGCTTACTGTACACATCTCCATTTGTAACAACGTCAGGCTCCTGTAACTGAAATGTCACAGTATAATTGACACTGAATTACAGAGGCTTACATATATTGCAGACTGTATTATAATCAATTATGATAACATCTTTATTGCGTTATTCAATACACGGTTCACTTATTGATATTAAACGTAGTTTTGGCTGATATTGTTAATTTGCAATCGTGGATGACAGAGACAAATTTAAAATTGACAAATTTGTATCAACGTATTTACCATTCCTAATTAAAAGGAAGAGAGAAGAACTGAGATGAGGTTTAAGTTCACGGGCCAGAGGCTCGTGTTCAATAACTACACAAAGAGCTCTTAACGTGTGTGGGTAAATATTCTTATAAGCGCGTTGCTATGCTGATTCCAGCTGTCTTGCAATTGCGTTTTGTAGTTAATCGACGATTTGCGTGATAGATCTATTTTATTAAACCCAACAAGACAGCGTGGATTTTATTGGCGTAGACGCATTCCTCTTGATAATTGCAACACTATCACAGACTTAAATATGAATCCCAAACCTTGTTTCAGCTCTCAAAGTGACCCTTGACTCGATGGGAGACTGCCAGATGGCTTGACTCCACAAGTGGCTGCTGTTGATAGCAAGTGTCTCCTCCAGATCAATGCTGGGTCTCTCTACACAGCCGCATCGCTTGTAAACAGTTACACCAGCGTTGCCGTACAGTGCAGAAGGGGAGGCAACCTGTGTCATCAGCAGTGCAGCAGGTAATAAGTTTTAAGGCATGCTTAGACTGCTATTGAAAACAGAATTTTAATCATATTTTCTGTTTGCTGACACGCGATATTTGCGTGTCCTGACTCAAACAATATTGTATGGTAACATATCGTGATTTGAATACTTCTATGAAGGGTAGATATGGTTCAGCTCGGCTACCTGATTTTCCTTTGCAAAACCGATGGCGTTATCTATTAGTTACCTGTTTAGTTTTAACTTGGAGTAACGTTAACAGTCTCACGTAATCGTCAACAGAATCACTGTTTAGTAGTCCAATTATTCAGAGAGAGACTCTAAATGATGAATTTTATACTTGAAAGTCCAGTTTGCCCGAGTTCAGTCTTAGAGGGCAACTTAAAGTTACCATTACAATATTGGCAATTGCAATTGTCTTTTGTTTTTACCTCACACACTCACACACACACACACACACACACACACACACACACATAACGGAACTAGAATAAATCCAATGGAAAAGTAGTAATGCCAATATGTTTTAAGAAAAATATAGATAGTGCCTCAAAAGGTCAAACATGCTGGCATGACATAGGCCCGCACTCCACATCTCGGTTAAACAAACAAAATAGCGGAATAGTTCTAATCAAAACACGTCAAGTAGTTTTGTCTCTGGACGAGAAAAAACCGAAACGTCAAAATCAGGTTGATTTTATTGTAGCAATTATTATAATCGTGCATCTCAGAGTCGGGTTAAAAACGACAGTGTAGGTTCTTTTGTCTCGTTAATAAGGAAAAAGATATTTCATCAGTGCACGACCAGATAAGCGGTATTTTCCCAGAAGCCATGGCAACTAATTAATGAGGTTCTAATACAGCTTTCTTATGTTTGCTTAGAGGAAAAGTGGTTGAAATTAGATTTATGTCAATGCAAATGGCTTATTAAATTAATGTAAGGTTAACATATTTCTAAACATGGTTTGATGTAGTTATCGAAAATATCGATATTACAGATCATGCTTGGAAGAAAAATTGGCGCGGGTTTTTTTTTTACCCGGCCGACCAAAACGAACGCAAATGACAAGCTTTAAGACTAAATTTGGTCTTTTTCGTAAGGCATCGATAAACGATCGAAATCCTTTTCGTAGAATATTTCTTGTCAAAATGATTCTAAATTAGGTTTGGTGTAATGCAGGCATACACAGTATATATATATATTGTCAATTGCCTACACGATAATATGATGTATAATGATAATAATGAAACCAATAATGATATAATATAATATGACATTTCTCAATAACATGGCGTTTAGGCACGTTTGTGTTCAGAGTTTGTTTTAAGAGTAAATGGATGAGGGTAATATCCTTCCCTCATTGCACAAGCAGCATGTTGCTTTGGTTTCAGCTTGATTTCTCTAGATGTTGAATTTAACAAAAAATTGGGTAGAAAAATATAATGTATGTATATCCTAAGACCATGTCTATGACGACAGCACCTTTCTACTCAGCCGTGTGGAAAGTCACCGTGTGGAAAGTCATCGTCAGCGATCTGAAACTCGGGTAAGGTCGAAATGTGTATTCTTTTCATGCGACGCCGATAATTGTGATGCTGCGACGTTATTTGCCAATGAGATTTTACACAAATCTGGTTTATTTCTTCGGAAAGGTTGTCGCTTTTAATATGTTTCTTCTGTCGTATCATTGCATCTCGTGTCATCTTGTGTCAATTTTTTGCGAACATAAAGTGGAAAACAGAATTTCCATTAAAACACCCGTCATATAATTTTGTGCACTAATAGATATATGGTAAAAATCAAGTTTTCAAAATGAAAAATTAAATTGTTTGTTTCCAAGGGTGAAGGCAATGATAAAATATGCATTTAGCCAGACTTACTCGTATATCCCCTCTGTCATTCCAATCTCTCAAAGATATTGGTTAAGATAAAAACGTCGTTCAACAGCCTAAAACCCTCATGAAGAATGACAAGTACACGGTTGTGATATTATCAGAAAATAGTTGTTGTAATCATGAAAAGCGGGACACGATGGCCAATCTCCTTAGGAATACTGTATGGCAGCAAACGACCGAGAGTGTTCTGTTAAATTCAAGTTTGAGCACGATTCAGTCGCAATTTATCTTATTGTCTATAATTGTTTTACAACCTTTTAACGGAGCTGCGTTCAGATAACACGATTATGTTACTTTGGAACTGACCAAATGATTTACCTAAATAACGTTCTTCCAGAGAGTCTTGGAGAGAGGGAAGTAGTCAACAGTGTAGTGTACACAGTGGAGATCCACTGGCTCACGTAAATCAATACCGTTATTTGAACTATGCAATATCCTCACTATTTTATGTCTAATACCTGTAGCTCAGTTCATCAAGGAGAAATGGGTGGTTAGCCACTAATAATCCGAATGGAAAAATTGCGTCGAATTCCGCCAATGTTGACTCACTAGACAAAAATAGGCATTCATCACGAAAGCAGAAGATGCACGAAGATACTGACAGGAATAATACGACGGGATTTTCTCACTAAATCATTTTCCTAAAAAGTGAGCAATTTTCTTCTACTCACAAATCATTGTTCAACCCGTCCCCGCACTAGGGTTCGTTCTTTTATAACAATGCCACTTAAGAGGTGAAGTTCTATTTGAGTGGCAGTCAGACATTTAGAGTGCCATGTCTTCCTAACATTTCAAAAAGAAATATCGATATTGCATACTTTTATTTAACAGCTTTTAAGGGGGTTTAACAGCTTTTAAGGTGTGAATTGGGAAAAAGAAGTAGCTTTGCAGAATGTGCGCACCAACAAAGTATTACTTTGGGGGCAATTTCGAATGCGGAAAGTAAACCTCAAAGGAATTTTTTAAAAATATTGACGTTCGAGCCATTCCCCACGAATATTTTACATTGAGTTTTTTTTGCCAACTTCTTCAATTCATGACCCTCTTTTTTTCTAAGGACAAATGCTCTCACAGATTTTCAAGTCTGCGCCTTGTGTGGAATCTGCGTATGTTGAATTAAGCAGTGCTTTATTTCCAAAATATTTGGATTAAAATATAAAAAAATCAGTATTGACCTAATATTGAAGCTCTGCTGTAGCTGCGACAGGAATTGCGCATGGATGTTCACTTGGTATTAGTGTCACTTGCCAGTATATTAATTATCCTCTATCACATTCAACGTTTAGTTTGTCTAAGTGGGACAGATCCACTTGAAAGTAAAACGTTTATTCCGATAGCCATATTTGACTGTCCGTTTTGAGGAAAATCTTGTAGTCTATTGTCTCCAAGTGTATTTTTTGTCTGCTAATTGACTTTCTGAGTTTAGTATTTAAAAAACACATATAAATATTATACAATTGATAGAACGAAAATGAAAACATTTGTCAAAAGTGACATTTGGATTCCAACAAAGCCTATGGTTTGCAGGCACTAATGCTCTTGAAGCACGAAGGTTAGGGACAGCATGGATAAAGTCAAATAAATTCTATAAAGTCGGCTCAATGAGAATATGTAAAATATTAGTCACTGATATGTATATTACACGAGTTTCGTTCGAATACGTTTAAACGTGGATGAGAACAGGTAGGAAAGACAATGAGAAGCGAAGGGTGGAAGACACTCGACATAATGTATCCAATTGCTATAGTCACAGTGCATCCGTACCCTCCATTCAGCAAGTTATCCGTAAAGAAGCATAGATGCACTATTAAAAGCAACTTGCACTACAGAGTACAAATGTAGGTGAGGATAGCTGATCTTGAGTGTCACTTTCCGTTGATAAAAGAGACTCTAGCTGAAATCCCCTTTACAGACAGAACATTCCTATTTGTTTCATCGTTTGTTTGTTTTCTAGCTGTTCCTTTGTTTCTAAGATTATTAATTTTTTCATTTATTTTTCTCTTTCTCTCCATGAGTAACAACAGACGGACAGTTGGAGCAGAATTTAAGTAATAGTATAGACACAACATTTACTCTAGCTTGAACTTAACAGACCGGAAAGGGTAACGCAGACTAAGAGTAACTGGTTCGTTTGCCAGCATTTATTGAATACCTGAGAATGGAAATCCTTTCAATTAATTAGAGTTTGGTCCGTATAATAAATCATTCATCCGATTACTTATTCTCCGTGGCGACCACTCACCCGGCACACCAAGCCAAATGTTACCTTAGAGAATTCAGTTACCTTTGCCCAAACACATAATCTGGTCTAACCATTCATTGATCTTTAGTCTGAATCCAGTTGGCTCAGCTGAATTAGTCTACTGGGGTCTGTTTCATAAAATGTTGGAAGTTTTTGGGCTTAGCGTACACTGGTAAACTCGGATAGCCGACTACAATAACTCGACTGTGATGTTGAAATTCCATGGTATTTTACAAACAACTGACCCACAATTAAAATGCAATGGGGCACTGTCATCAAAATTTGTTAGGGGTGTAGTATGTTTTATATTCGTCTTGAAACACAACTAAGTCGGCTAATATTCTTAGTAGCTTTAGCTGAAAGACAGATGTTCGATTTTAGTTGTTTTGTGAAAGAGCCCCCTGGACCACAACCTCAGTCTGCCTGGCCGGAGAGGCTGTTGTGCGAGAGGCTATTGATCTCACAACACTGGATTTATTAAGCCAACCACTGTTCCTAAAGTCAAACTTTTTTCCAGGGCTGCAAACCTTGTAACGCGTGAATTGTTTTCGTTGAAGGCAGTGATCATAAACAAGGCCGTGTTACGCAGGGGTGTGTGCATTATTGGGGAGTGCAAAGCCAGACAAACGCCGCAGTAGTACTCTAAGTACAAGCAGGTGGGTCCAGAATGGAAACATTTTTGTTTAAGCGAGTTTATCCAAGAGAAGGACTTGCGATATATTTACTTCTGGTAATAGAACATCTGGTGACACCGACAGCATGACATACATATTTCACTTGTTATCGATGCAGTCTACAAACTTAACACTTGTTTTCGTGGCACGGGCTTTTTATGCCAATGTATTCATTGGGCAGCAATTGGTTTCTTTAGGCCTACAACGTGAGGGAATTGTAAGAGAAGGCATGTCAAGCCCATGTACGTGAACCCTTAAAATAAACAATCCATATTGGCTTTAATGTATAATGTGATGCAACGAACAATAACTCATTTTTCATTTTAGCTCCCGTTGTTTATGGCCTATACTCATACAGTATATGCTGTCATTTGTTTTATGCTCAGTTTCATTTTCATTTAGGAATGCATATATATATATATTAAGAGGTTAAATATATATATATGCATTCCTAAATGAATACCTGAACACCTGAATATTCCCCTGAAATACCCGTTTACAAACACACGATTTTGACTTTGGTTTTGAAATCAGTTCACACCAACTGGGGGACAAGTATCGCGTTAGTCATTACATATATGTACATCAATCGATCGATAAACAACAAAACCACGTGTACAGGATAGTAAGGTTAATGAACCTTTGGTAATTACTGATGTACGGTAAAGTTGCTGAGATTTGATACAGCAAAGCACGCTGCTATAAATCCTTCCTTTTGTCTAACGATGTCATGAAAAAAAAACACATGGTATTTTGCTATATTTGCAGAAATATTCAGAATTCCCAATATTACCTCGGTTATGAAATACAGACAGGGTTTTTAGCTCTAAATTTTAATACAGGTCGTTCTGTTTGCCAGCTTGACTATATGAATGATGACTGCTTTGAAATGCCATCCTTGTGATGGTTCTCTGCAGTACTATCACCCATCAGTCACGTTATCCATCACGACATGACACTTCAAACTGGCAATTGTGTGAGAGGCAAAAGGCAACCGATTGAAACTAATGACAGCTTTGATGTTGGAATACCTTGTAGTACAGTGAAACTGTTTTTTTCTCTCTCAGCAGATTTGACTTATCACCGTAGGGTTTCTATCAAAGCTGATTTAGATAAAAGATAGTGGTCCCGTTTTAAAATCCAATTACTTAATAAAACATTGCTTTGACAAGTAATCTAGTAACAAAAACAATTTATGCCACAATAACAAGACGTATGTGCCATTTGGATTCGCGCCAGCACAGTTCTATTAATGCAATCAACAGAGACTGCGTAATCGTGGATGGATTTAGTATAATGACATAAATAATTTCAGGCAAAAGTTCATCGTTAAAAAAAATTATTGACCTGTGAGTAACAAGGTGACTTGGTAGGATTATGTCGGTCATTCCTATATAAAATGACAGTGTTGAAAACGTGGGGGTGTCACCAAATGTTGATAATAATAATAATAATAATAATAATAATAATAATAATAATAAAAACTTAATCTAAAGATTGTAAAACAGTGTACACTCATCTTCCAAATGGTCCTCTTTAAAGGGTTAGATTAGATTACTGTGTTAAGTTTTAAATATTTATAAAATAAATTAAGATGAAAATAATAAAAAATAGAAATAAAAATTTAAATGAATAAATAAAATGAAAATAATAATGAAGTAAATATCAACAATAGAATTTCCTTTGCTATATTTGTAGTATTTTCCAAATTTTTTGGTTACTCAAATGTTTGATACCATGAGCCCACCATGTATGACAACTTTTATAAAGCGCAAGTTGCGCATCGGATGTTCAAACAAAAACATGCTTGAAGGAGGGGGAGCTGTTTTGGGTCAACAATGGACATGAGATCAGGTTATTTGTACCGCCTGTCCAGCATGGCTTCAGACTTAAGAGGCCATTCTGAACTGATGATCCGCGGACTTACTGATCCGCGGGTTAAATATGGCCGACCCCTCATCAAAGGAAGCCGCTTAATCCTCTGATGGTCTCACCGCCTCCACACGCGCCACTAAATGGATTCAATCTCGGCTCTGCAGGGACGGCGCATGAAGAGGCGTCGAGACTCTCAGGGGATTATAAGCGGCTGCCTTTTAACTGGGTCGGCCATATTTGATCCGCAAATCTGTAAGTTCGAGGATCAACTTATTCTGAATGCACTCTTATTACTCCGGATACCCACCCTACCCCGCACTTATCCTCTTCTGCTGTATAGCCAACGTTTACGGGGCGAGTAGGGGCGGTGTAGTTACATAACATCAGACAAGCAGATTGGATATTTTCCCACAGGGGCTGATAGTTTAATTTTGTATGCTATGTTAGAGGCCCCTGATATCAGAGGGTATAGGTAAAAAGCACGCTATTCAGATTTAAGACAACATTTGAAGTAATAAAGATCAGTATATGTAACAACAGTACGCAACACATGAAACGGGTTTCTGAATTGCCCGCAAGTTATGAGGATTTGGAAGTAGTCGATATCAATGGTCCAACAGCAGTTAACACACTGACATATCTAATTCTAAAAGTAAAGTAACTTCAGTGTAGACAATGTCCATTAGCCAAAGTCTATGCCAGGCAATCAGAAAAGTTATATTGGGTATTGCATGTAAAAATACTACGTGTTTTCATAATGTTATTATCTGATGTTAATCCATTGGAAACAGTGGGAAAATATTATTATCTGAGGGTCTGGGGCGGGATATTTGACTATTGTCTGGTATGTATACGGCACTAAACACATTACACAGCTACACTAACTCTATTAAACGCATTTTATCATGTATGAATGTACCACTTAGAAGAAATTGTTTTCAGTGCAGCCATACACAGTGACCGCACCGTAACTAAGACAAGTAGCCTGCAAATCTGCCAATTTACACACCAGAATGCGCCAGGAAGCTCACATATTCACCTCTATTGCAATTTTAACTATTTTAACCATAAATATCCTTTATGTTGTATAAAACTAGCATCATTCCGAATATTTTATGCAACGAGCACTTGTTAAAAAAATACAATTGCGTCGAGGCTAACAGTCACGGCTAACAGTGGGTAAATAAAAAAGGAGCAACAAAGCGCAAACCTTTTTGTTTCTAAGCAACAAAGTGTTCGTTTTCCTTCAAAACTCAAAGGGCATCTGGCACAGCAGTGATCGTCATAACAGTACAATAAATCACAGTGGGGAAAAGGAATGGCAACGGCTAGTGTGGACTTGACTAAGTTGCAATGTTTTTAACGCAACAAGAATTGGTTGTAGTCGCGAACGGTTTCTTTGACGTAAAAAAAAAGTAGAGGTTTCTAAAATTTTGTTTTCACCTTGCTTTGCATTACGCAACTTGCTTTATTATATCCTATATTGTAGTTGCATCTAAAGCAATCAATACTAAAGATACTAGTCTTGCTTCGTTTTGTCTGGTAGCGTTTTTGCAAGATTCCTATGATGCTAAATGGCGTAATCTAATTCTAAAACAATATCCCAAGGATAATCTGGTATCATGCCGGAATCATAAAATTGTCTGACGGTCCCTTTGGATCGTGGCCTCAAGGTTATTTGTTCAGTGCATTTGGCAGTATGGTACTATCGAAATATTGTCGAAGACATGATTAATTCTAGGTTGCTAGGTAACGTTAATTAACAAATGGATACGGTTGTAACCCAATTAACGTGTAGCAGAAAAGGTGCTAAGGCGTAGCCAAGAGCTCTACACTGCGGACTAATTACGATTGGAAAATAAAATAGGCGCTTCATTGATAGCTGGCTGGGTAATCAAACTCTAATTTAAAGGGCATCTATACAAGTTTTCCCCCGCAAATACGAATTTTCCGCGGGGGAAAAAAAGGAAAATTTCTCCTGCTCACAAAGCATTATTCGACCCGTCCCAACGTTTTGTTTTATTCCATTTTTTTTCATTTAATAATTGAGCTCTGAATGACTGCACAGTTTTTTTTAGAATGAATCAGGTGCTCTGTTTTGAGTCCATTTACAAAATTGATGAAAAAAATTATCAAGCAAAAAAAAGTTGACGTATATTTTTGCATCCGTTTGCTGTCAGTACGACTGATTTTTATGTCAGGTATCAGGTACGATAACATCACATCATCGTTCGTAACATATATTCTCAATCAATGAATATTCCGCTACATATTTCACGTCAAATTAATTAATAGTTATTGCAGACGCAGCACTAATTTTGTCAAAATAACATCTTATTGAATATCAATCGTAATAATTTTTAGAAGTACATGCAATGTACTTCTTTTTTTGTTGACTCATAAGACAAGTGAATTAAAAGGATAAAATTTGTCAATACAGCAAAGACTTGCGTACAGTAATAAGTAAATGTACTGGGGTAACATGTTTAAAATAAATCTTGCAAAATCAAAGGAAAGATATAACAATAACGATAAAAGTGTATTTAAAATCACTGCAACTACAAAGTTGAAATTGTAAAATATTAATTCAAATGAAACTTTTAAAAAAGATTAACATTAAGATAAAATTGAGTTCAAAATAAATACAGATCCCAAAAAATTAGTCAAAAAACGGAATCTTTCAGTTTCGTTTTTTGGCACACAGAATTTGGATTGTTTTTTTTATTAACTTTCTGCAAAATATGGCGGTTAAAACTTTCAACTTATCCTTGTCACTTTTAATGTTCTGATAGAAAGAATTCCAAAGAGCTCAGCATTCACAGCCAAATACGACGTACACTTGAAAGCAAGCCACCTAATCTCTTCACAATAATTTAAACCACGGCTAGCGCATAGAACCAAAGACTCGGCCGTGCTGTATTCGACATACGGTACAAGCACGTCATGTACGAGTGCGCTCCACGGTCTGTTGCACTCCCGTTACTCACTAGTGTAGTAGCCAATCAGAGGCCGTGGTTTAAGCCAGAAACAACACGTGTATTGTCTCGCCTGTGGCTCGTCAATACACTCGTAATATTTCACGTACAGCTCGGCGACTCGTATTGTATCTATCACATAATGGATTCCCCGCCTCCCAAGCACGCCGTCTCAGCAGGGGCAGTGGAACTAGTTAGTTCGCGGGTCAACTTGTTGGGAATGATCTCATAGTTCTAAACGCTGGTTTTCTAAAGTAACAAGGTTTAAGTTTACCAGCTAGGTATCAGCATAAGATAAATCAGGAAATATAATTCTGAGCGTCCTTGACTGCATAGATTCTATGATATTGCCCCGCAGATTAGGGTCAACCAGTACAGGCTATTTACGACACACTTATATCATACAGATAGTTCACGGGAATTTGAGCCGTTTAGAGGCGGTCATCATTAATGACAGGTGTGGCAGCTTGTTGATAGTTGCTTTGCTTCACCTGTCTCTGAGACTCTGTCCTAGCCTCTCTCGCAAATGTTAATATCTAAAAACCTCAGTTTTTTTAACCGTCACCATAATCCTAATGAAAATCAATAGGATTAAGTTTAGCTTTATCAACAAAAAAATTTAAAAACGAAATCTCTAAGATTGTCCCCTATATCGTGACATGAATATGGGCAATATACTTGAGAAATTTATAAAATATTTGAATATCAGTTTCGAGTTAATCTGAAACATTTTACCCCCATAATGATACATATGCTTCAGTATGATATTAACCTGCCAGGCTCCCATATTGTAAATAATATGATGCGGGTCATTATGAATGCTAGTAAAAGTAATAGTAAAATGGAATGGATCTCGCATCTGCGCTGGTGAAACTAAGATTCATATTACGTTCATCAGGTTTATATATATATACGATGATTTCGGTGTTTATTGCGTGATATATTCATCCATGAAGTGTTCAGTTTAAAGGATAACTGCATGATATTAGGCAATGCAAGTTTGCAGTTAATTATGGGAATTATTGTCCTGTATACGTAAACTTTAGACAGAAGGGGGAAGGTAGGTCTAATGTACAGGCATTATGATAGTTAGAATAATGATTTCACAACGCCTGTTGTGTCATTTAAGCAAATAGAAACTACACATTTAAGATCACAGTGACATTCCCCTCCCCTAGCTCTCTCTCTCTCACTCTCTCGGTAATTAGATCAAATCGAAATAATGTGCTTCATTAAGCTGATAAGATATTGACAGATGGATAAAGGACTAAAAGAATCTGCGAAGACCGTACGCAATGCAATCAATCCAGTTTGAACCAATGCCCTTTTTATGTTTCAAATGAGAGGCATTTATTTCTTCGTGTAGATGTTGATTTTGATAAGTATAGTTACCTAGATATTAATCCCTGAAGAGTTAAATCAACGCAACATTTCCTCATTATTTTACAGATCCACTGCGATCCATGGCAAAGGAAGTATTCATCACTAATTCAGCGCATTCTACCTACTAGGTTCTACGTAGCGTCATATAAGACAATTAGCACAACTTTTTTTCTTAGAACAACAGAATTCCCAACAACTCGGGAGTCAGACGGCCAATCCGTGACATCTACTCTGGGATTGGGCAGACCTTGCAGGTGCCTAATCAGAACACTGCCAATCGACTTGAGCAATATTATACATGGATGTTATTGGCCACGGCGGCTTCTGTTACGTTTTCTGTTTCATATCTGAAACAAGCCAATTTGCACCAACTGGGGCTAGATGATAAGAAGTTATTTGAGATTTGGTGTTCACGACTGTTAACATTGAACGAACAATGGGTGAATTTGAAAACAGACATCGCTTGGTGGTTTTAGGATCAGGGCGAGTAGGAAAGACATCTATCATTAAAAGGTTCATGAAACATTCGTACACAGAAAAATATAAGGAAACCGTGGAGGATTTATACTGCAAAGAGTACGATATCAATGGCGCCCGGATAAAAGTTGATATTTTGGACACCGCTGGAAATTTTGCATTCCCTGCCATGCGGCGGTTATCTATCTCAACGGCACACGCCTTTCTGTTAGTGTATGCCTATAATGACCACGCTTCTTTCGAGGAGGTAAAAACCCTTTGGGAACAAATAAAGGAGCAACGTCACAATTTCCAAGATATTCCTATTTGCATTACTGGAAGTAAAAATGACATTCCCGAGAACGAGAGGCAAGTGGGAGAGGAGGAAGTCCAAGAATGGGTCGATAGAGAAGCTTTATTAAATTATCACGTTTCCGTGTCTGCCAAAGAAGACATTGGTATATTAGACATATTTCAGAAGCTCATTGATCAAGCCAAGATACCGGAAGCGCAGCATCTGGACTTCATGCTCAAACAAAGACGCGCCAGTGCCAATGTGGAACTTGAGAAAGAGGCGGTACCCCCAAAAGACACGTCCCAATCACCGTCTTTGCTTGCGCCACCTAGTACGGGAGAAAAAGGTAAAGGACGGCGTAGAAGCGTTTTTAATTTGCCGACGTTCAGTCCCAGTAACAATGACGAGGAACAAACAGAAATCAGTGACAAATTCACGAGAAGCAGAAGCTTGGTAAGAAGAGGTAGCAAACCCAAAAATAAACAATCTAAAGACCCTAGAAAAAACGACTGTGTCATATGCTAATGGTCACTGAATTCTTTAGCCTACACAAGGCATCAAGACAATTCAGATAATAAACAAACAGGTATGCCTTTCAAAGGGACCAGAACTAAAGTGTAGCTAAAGATGAACGACTTTGTCTCACTTGGACAAGAAGTTTGATATTAAGCTTCATAAAAGTTATTTACACTTACTTATCTCGACAATGTCTCAAACACTGCAAAACGCATGCACGTTATAGCTCATTGAATAACATAGCGTGTAAGGTGTTCTCATATTTTAATACACACGGCACCATTGAAATTGTTGTAATTATGCTTTTCAGCACGCAATATAGCGCCACGTATAGGTTGTGACAGCCCACGTTGTCTTTTACATTTACGCCCTTGTCACATATTCACTTTGTACTGAACAATAATAAAAAAATCATGCGACAATGCATCATCGTATTTTCAAATCTATCTCCGCTGTAAGTAGCCCCTTCCTCTCCGTACCACTTTGGTTATAGTCTTGGGAGATGCTCCTCCATCGGGTCCTGCCTGAAATTTTATCACATTACCAACAGGCAACATGTTATCAATACCACTAGGACTGAGTGAAACACTCACTGCAAGGCATATCTCATACTCCATACTGTCAAGAGACCTTCCACTACATCAAAACGTAACTTAATTCTCACCACTTTTTTTTAATGATAAAGCATTTTCCGGGCTCAGCAAAGATCTCGGAAACAGATTTGACTCTGAGTTTTTGAGTTGAAGAAAATAGGCGGTGATCTGACACTCAATGTTTTTGTTCATAAGTGCATCTTAGCTCGCTGGAACTCTTCAAAACGCAATTCGTGCCAAAACCCTTTGACTGCTCTTATCACTGCATGGCAAGAAAAATAAAAAATAAAAAGACAAGAGCACAAACACAATGCGTCATATTTCTTTTTGGGAGATCACAGTTTTATGACCTATTAACATTTCCTCCACCGAACGCATGCTGTGCATGTAGGTTAAAAAAAGGACTTGTTACTAATTTCTAGACTCAAACGAGAGTCGAATTCCGCCTGAGATAAGCCACGGAGAGGTCGTGTCTCCTTCACTTGTTTTAACATTTTTTATTTTTTATCTATCTGGTTTGAACTTTAAGCTAAGCACATTCTATGTAAATGACATACCAATTTTTATTGATGCACCAACAGTCTGCACTGACTTTCAGAATACCATTTACATCTGTGGTCCCTTTCCCGTGCCATAAAGGTCCTATCAGTGGTCAGCAATGTGATGACGTTGTGTTTTGTAAAATGTTTACATAACAGCTAATGCATAGCCAAAGAAATATCTGTGAAAAATCTAGTGGACAGAATTATCGCTGTCGCCATGGTAGAGGGTACCTTAAAGGATAAACCTCATGTGAAACATTCGCATTTTATAATTTACAGTTTTGCTTTCATTAACGTCGAAGATGGGAACCTGCAATTAGATGTGCCCTTGTATGACAATGCATGGTTTTTAATAAGAATTGCCCATGCACCCTGTTGTGCATATCCACCATTTGTGCTCTGCCAGTTGTGTAGAATACACTAAAGGAATTTTGTTTCAGGATCCCCACTTGAATTGAACTAAAGGGTGACGAGGCGCTGGATATCATTGCCTTTGCAATTATTTGGCGTAGTGGAGATATAAAAGAACAGAAATCTAGATTTTAAAATTATCAAAAGAAAAGAAGGGAAGAAAAAATAGAAAGAAAGCAATCTGATGTATGGCTGCAGCAAAACGGAAAAACGGAGAAAAACAAAGAAAGAACTCTGATATATGGCTGTATCAAAAACGGAAACATCTTTCCTTAAATAGAAGAGAAACTGAGGACACGTTTCATATTTGTTTAAAACCATGGAAAGCCAGTGCGTGCATTTTTAACCTCACATTAGTCTGTTTCTGTATGCCAGAGCATCATCTAAACCCTTCATCCACCATGAAATTCGTTCTATCCGTGCAACCGATTTCACTTTTTCGCGGAAGAACAAGAAAAAAGGCTGAGGACATGCTTTGTTTGCGAATAACGTCATGAAAAGTCAATACCTGTGGTTTCCCCTCACGGCAATTGCATTTCTAAATACCTAAGCACCACTCCAGCCCTTTCATCCGCCAAGCAAATCGTTTATTTCATGCCATTGATTCATTTCAAAATACATGCATTAGCCAATATTGACAATTTTCGGTCTGTTGAATAATCCTCTTAAGTCTGTAAAACAATTTAACCATCCGACAGAAGCGTCAAGACAGAGCAGCGGTCTGCAGAATCCTGGTAAAAGTCGAGCCGATTGTTCTTACGTATGAGATTGGAAATCTTATTTTTATCCCAGAAATATTGGTTTGGCAATGTGTTAGATAAAATGGGCGAAAAACAATTTTTTTCTAAGCGATAAACTTTTTTCAATTTTTCTCTTATCTACTGAGTGACTTGTACCCAGCTGACTCCCTGGATGCGCATTAGTAAAGGCTGCGTAAATATGTGGGTATGACATATGTGGGTTTTAACTTGGTTCATACAAGTATATATATATGGGTGCCACGCAAGTCTGTATCCAACTAATGAATATAGTAGTCGAGGTGCCAAAATGCTTACCCTGCAATATCTTTTTTGTAACTTTTTTTTTTTACAAAAGTGCGTTATTTCAAACTAGAGAATTAAAATTAGCTTGGTTGCTACTTGGAGACATTGAGCATTTTTCACGATGGCCGCCGATTCGAAATCAAAAATAGAAAAACAATCATGGATCTTGTATAATACGACTGAAAAAAATTTTAACAAATGCCCAAATACATATGTTATGGACAATAAGTCTAATTGGATATGCTATTGTGCCTCATTATTTTATTTTTCGTAAAAGATGACCACCAACGTACATTGATAAATGCACAGAAAAGCTGCATTAAATGTTTCTGCTGTCAGGGATTCGTATAATTCCATCTCTATGCCACAAAACACGCATTTTTTAACTCAAAGGAAAATGAAACAAAACTTTTAAATCACCTTTTTTATTATCAAGATGACTGCCAATAAGATACAACTTCAAGGGGGGGGGGGGAGAGAGGGCGATAAACAATCAGTGGCACTTTGGCTACCTGACACAAGAATTATTGAGATGTCGGAAAGAACATCTTAGCTGCCTTTTGATACCTTAAAGTGTAAAAACTACGTTTTGTTCTAAGAAAAAAAAACAAAGCTGATCAACAATATCTGAAGTCCAGTTGGCTCTCACTTAGGTTCAGATTTCATTTTCTCTCGTTCATTTTGCCCAGTTGACTTGAGAGGTGATCCATTAATTTCTCCCAAGGGTTAAAATGTACATATTATGCACTTAAACCTTAACCTTAATGTACTCAAGACAAGTCCTAGCAATTAGGAATCTTTGTGGTCGCAGCAAACCTACCCTCATTATCAGTATGCCTTAACCGTTTCCGAAAAGGGTGCAGCTGGCATTATGAATATCACTAAAATCAAACCTTCATTATCACTATGTCTATGTCCTTTCCATGTAATGCGAGGACATACAGATAAAGGTTTTCAGAGAGCTTCAAATCGCAAGGCCTGGCAATTGCATCAGCTACGGACAGGTCGACTTTCATGTGAAGAAAAAAAAGCAATTACATTGAAATTACTGCCGTTTATTGCCTTAATATGTTTACTCTAATAAATGGCGGTTTCATTAGTTTAGTCAAACTTTTATGCCAAAAGTATAGTTTTCTCGTGTGCTCGACCGTCTTGTGGTGATTATTATTGCAAAATACACTTTGCTACATCAGGTCAAATTCATATGCGGACCTTTATATTCACAGGTTTACAAACACATGTGCGACCGCAAGTGAGATCGATGGTGTCATAAGGATTTTAATATTGAAAAGGAATAAACTTTATGAACAGACCGAATCAATGACAAGAGTAGAATTTGTGTATTGGAAATAAGTAAGTAACTTGATTGTCAAGAAAGGTAAATGCATAAAAATGAATCAAGAAAGTAAAAGTCAGTAAAGAAATATATGACAGCCTTTGCTGTTGCAAACAATTCATTGGCGATGGCGATGCAGCTTCAAATGCTTTTTGTGAATGTAATTTATTTTTAAAAAATCAAACGTGTCCACTCTGGCATCTCCACTCTTTGGAAACCGAATGCCGTTTAGTAAAGTTGAAATTGTTTGAAGGTAATAAATACAGCTTCTTATTATGCTTATACATGTACTTGCAGCAAGTGTGAACGTCCAGGGTTAGCTTCCCAATTTGGAAACAAACAGCCCGGAATCTATTCCGACTGTGGACCTTTCATAGCCACCAATCTAGGAGTTTTTTCAGGAGCGTGTGTTAAAAACATATAAGTAGAAATAGCATAAGTGTATGTAAATATACTGGAGCATGCATCTATCAACGTGTCCTCGCTGTTGTTTTTATATGCACATGTTCATCCCATACTGGTTGATCAGACGACAATGCTGAAGATATTGATACCGATAGAGATGCTGCTGATGATGGTCAACTCAATGACTTGGAAGTGCAACGGTAAGTTACACCCCTATCAGTCAAAGCATTTCAGTCAATAGATTCAACTGCTGCATCCGCGATAAAACAATAAATAAAATTGGTGTCTTCATGACGAGTTTGACGTAAACTTCAGTGATGGCAGTAGGCTAATGGTCAGGTCTGCTTTTCTTATTATATCTATTGTTTAGAAGCCAGTGAGATACAGCGCTTATTTAACACTTATCACTGATTAGAGCGCTTATCAAAGTCTAGTACATCCGACAGCTGGAGCGTTTAGAAAAGACTTCCTGTTTTCGGTCAGTTTGTTCTAAGGTCCTTTCTACACACAAAACCGATGTCTGTAGATCACTGTATTTCTTAAACGTTGTTATGAAAAGATCTACTCCCAAGATCGTTTCGGGTCAAAAAAAAAAAAAAAAAAAAAAAAAAAAAAAAAAACCTATCTGAGTAAGGGTTAATGATTTATATAGGGTCAGTACTGTGAATACAGGCTCTCGGAGTGTGACCCAGTCTTTCAGATACAAAGAAAATCGTAGATTTACACAGCTCTACACGTGTATAAGACTTACAAAAAAAAAAAAAACAATTATTTTCAAACACGCGATTCCACGAACAGCGATTTGAAGAAAAAAGAGACAAATACATAAAATATAGTATATGGGAAAAGCACATAACCAACATGGAGACTGCGCACATTATATATCAAATAATGTTTCCAAATGATTGTGTTTAATTCAATCACCAGAGCAGACTACAAAACAACATATTGTAAAATGTGACCTACATGTATGTTCACCGTCATTATCACCATTCTAGTTTATAGCGAGGGAACAGGTGCGGAAAAACGAGTCTTACGTAACCCACTGTGGTTTCCTGTATCAAATCTAGTTGCATGCAGTCTTACACGGGCAT